ATTGAAAATTTTGGAAACTGACAAAGATTTCTGGATAGATTTTTCAAAAGTGGGGGGGTGCAAACCTATCTTTTTGAATTTGATGACCTTTTTTTGAAGAAAAATTGACTATTTTTGCTGCGAAAAATTGAAAATTTTCAAAAAGTGGGAGGGTGCGCACCCCCCTGCACCCCGTGGTCGCCACATCCCTGTAAACAAAATAAAAAATAACACAATATCATACATGTATTCCAATCACCATTTGCCGTATCAAAAACTATTTTTTTATCTGCAATCTTAACATCAATTACTTCACATTTGGCACCTAATTCACGAAACATTTCATCGGCAGGTAATTTAAGTGGACTTCTTGAAACATATTTTCGTGGTTTAGTTTTTTTTAGTGCAAACGGATTTGAAAAAAACGACATGATATCACTTTATAGATTTTCGTATAATAAAAAATTGTCAATAAAATTGATCGGCCATTAATTGAGTCGTTGTCACTATATGATTTCTATACAAATGTATTTCTAGTAAGTAACATATGGCGACAATGTTATGTTCGACTTGTTAATCTCATAAACCAATAGAAAGAAAGCTTTGGAAATCTTTCTTTTTTTTTGTCTTGTCTATCTTATACTTTTATTTTTGACAAATAAATAATTTTAATTCTTATCATTGATTCATTATTCATTTTTAACAATGGCTTGTTGTGTGGCAGTTTTAATAAAAGAGGTAATTAAAATAGAACTTTATCATTTTGTGAGCATTGTTTTAATAGAATTTAATATATCTTCGTCGATCAGCCGAAGAACTTAAATTTCTATTTCTTATTCATGCTTCAATCGATATACTCGACGATAAAGTTAATCAATTAACTAAACCTGCCAGTGATCGTGATGTACGAGATTTCTATATTGGTCTCCTTTATCCAGTCGAAGAATATAAAATGTAAATTGTTCAAAAACAAATGGTAATAAAACAAATAAACTTTATACTAAATATTTTTTAGTTATGGATATGTTTCATCAACACGTGTTAAATTTATATTAATTTTTGAACATTCTACTTCAATATCACTTAAGGATCAAGATATAAAATTACTTTTTCAACGTTTACATCAAGCATATATTGATTGTGTATCAAATCCATTTTATGAACCAAATACACAATTAAAATCGAAACGTTTTGAACAAGTTGTTACAAGTTTAATGGTTCAAACTGATTCAATAACATCTACAACAACATTACCACAACAATCATCATCATCATCATCATCAGTATCAGCAACATCAGTCTCGATTCCTACAGCAACATAATTTTTCTTTGAATATTTATTTATTTTTAATCTGTTGAAAAACGATTAATATAAAGTTCGACAATATTTTCAAGTGCTTTAGGAATGAGATTTTCAAATTTTTTTACACGTTGATCTAGACTATCTAAATGTTGTTTCATTATTGATGATTGTTCAATATCAACTGTATTTACAAGAATCATTTCACGAGTATTCATATCTGTTTTTTGCCAATCTTGTGCTAATTTTTCATATTGATTATTAAAAATTTTAAATTCATCATAAAGTATTTTAATCGTTTTATTTTCTTCCATTTGAAATAGAAATATATCATTATCATCATCATCATTATCATTGTTAAGTAATAAACGCTGTAAAAACTTTTCAATAACATTTTTATTATAACCATCATTGAGAAGAGTTTTTTGTAGTTTTTCTACAATAATAGTTTGTTTTTCGTCTAATGATATTTCATCATCTTGATCATCTGTTCGTATTTCAGTATTATCATTAAGATCAATAGATTTGTTTAAAAAAAAATTAAGAAAACGATTTATTTGTCGAATAAATGCAGCTTGAAGTAATGGACGTCTAGAACGACGAAAAGCATTTAATCCTTCATTATTTGATCCATGAATATATTCTTCTTGAAGATCATCTTCAATTTGCTTTTGTTCTTGTTTACCCAAAACATATGCTTCGTTCACAACTGCAACTAATAAATTGAGTAAAACAAAAAATACAACACATACATATACCATATAAAAAATCTAGACAAAAAAACAAATGACTATTAGACATTATTTGTACTTGTATAATAAAACTCTTACAGGAGTCCATGTTGGTGAAACACGATAGGCACGATCATATTCAAATTGACCGAGTGTACAACGAATAAGTGTGTAAGATGTTAAAGCAAAAGTATGAAACTAAAAATGAATCAGTTACATTAAACGAATAATAATAATAATATGAGAATTATAGTTAGTTAACATATAGTAGTGGACAAAGATCTCCCATCTCATGTATTTTGACTAACATGCATGCGCTATGGTTGGAAAAGTTTGTATGCACATGCTTCACTAAGAAAGTAGATCTGAGATTCGAGCTTAACTCGATTATTTAAATGAAAAAAGAATTATAGTGAGTAGTAATATATCGTACCTATTTATTGTTTTAATTTCATCACTCTAAAATAGAAGAACTTCAAGGATAAGCCCATTCTTCATTGTTTAGCAAAGAATTTAGAGGCATGTAAAGATGACAATCTTCAATTAAATTATCTGATTATTTTTGTGAAAAAAAAAAGACCATAGACTAGACTCGACTTGTATGCTAAAATATCAAGAATTAGTCACGTATTGGATATAATAAGAAACGAAAAACTTAGTAAACAGTTTTTTTAAGGTTAAAAATTTGAATCTAAGATAGGCGATGTCGTTCTTCTGAACTGAATTCTGAGTGCAATATGTGTTCATAAATTTTCCTATTTCCGGCATTGTAGAATAGTCATGATATGGGGAATTGAAGACGTGTCGACTACTGTATGTTCAAAGACAAAGAATCAGTGAATAGAATTCTTCGTATCTTATCATTCGTTGAACTGCAACCTACTTCATATAATTCATCGCCATAATGGAATGTTGCAAAAATCACAAATGACATAAATATAAGAAAAAATAGAAAAAGAAAACCAAGTGAGTTTTTAATTGATTTGTAGAAGACATCGAGTAAGTTTGCTATTAAATTCGAAAAATGAGGCAAGTAACGAAGTAGACGAATGAGAACAGCTGCTGCTATATATGCTTGTAAATCGATACGATTGATTTGTGTTTCAATGAAATAAATCAATTCTTTGAAAATGTCATTTTTCGGTATCGAAAAACATTTTAAAGTTTGTGAAATATACATAAGAAATTTAATGTCAAAGTAGAATGAAATAGTAAATAGAATAAGTAGACCAAGATCATAAAGATTCCAAAAAGATGACATAATAAACCATAAACGATGTTCAGCTATTTTACCAACATAATAAAAAGCAAATATAATATAGAATAGATTAAATAATATTTGAAATATGCCTAATAATTTCTTTCGACCGAAGAAAAAACTATTGATTGGAACGGTGTAGAAGAAATCTCGTACTTGAACTGTACCTAAAGAAAATTCAATTTTTATCTTTTTGTTATTTCTTTGTTCTAATAATTTTAATGAATCTTTTTTACCAGTTGTAAGAAATTCAAAAAGAATATTAATTGATGTAAGTAATTCAATATTTGGATTGAAATAGATTAATTCAATAAAAATTGCTCGTGTACTTAAATCTAACCAAGCACTTTTTTTCAAATTTATAATTGCTTTATCATTTAAATCTTTCGTTGGACGAAAATGATAAATAAAACCACCAGTATCATAAGGTCCATAGGCGTTCAATAATTCTAATGCAGCTGTTATCTTTGGTGATGTATATTCATACTGAAAGCCTGTAACTGTGATGAATTTATCTCGATATTCTTTAGATTTATGATAAGGTGCATAACACCTAATTGGTCGCACGCTAAGATCTTTAATGATCTGACAATGAGTATCATCAACACGAATTTGACGTAGACGAGGAATACCAAGAACAAAATTTTCATTTGATAACAATATTTGATGATTGAACTGTTCTTTGGAATTATTTGTTGATTCTTTCCATTCAACGATATTACCTAAATAGAGACAATAAATGGAAAAATTTAAGAGACAATATATTTTAAACTATAAAGTTCTTCATTGAATCGATCTAAATACTGCCAAAAATCGTGAGTTTTTGTGACTGTGTCAAGTTCAAGTTTATTAACTAATAATCGTCGAATACATCTGTCTGCATTAAAAGCATCTTGAGACATATGACTTAGAATACTGATTATTGTAACAGTGATAAAAATCGCTAAAATGATATATAAATTAAAAATATAAATAAGTGTAGAAGTGAAATAAAACAGTGACCTGAATAAAATATAAATTCACTGAAAGTAACATTCTTATCGCTGATTTTGTTTCGTCGAAGATTTTTATTGAGAATTAGACGAAGCTTACGTTTAAGTCGAACAGCGGATGGTTCGAAACCTTGAAGAATAAAACTTGAACGGTCTTCTTTTGGCATAATATATGACGCGCCGTCTATAATTTCATTAAGTAAATTCTATCTTAAAAATTGTATTCAGTCTAAATAAGTAAACATATAATTAAAAATGAGACGATGTTAGTAAATAATTTTAAAGATTTCATAAGCACTTACAACCAATTATAAACATGATGGCAGACAAAAGTTCTTCTCTTTATCTTAGAAAAATCTACAGACAATGACTCAGTAAATGATACATGAAACATTCAAAGTTCTATTCCGAGAACTGTGCAAAACAAGTGGAAAATGTACACTGAAAGGAAATATTACACTTTGCTTCACAGCATCATACAAAATTCTTGAATTTTTCTCTCTTTGAAGTTGATCATCCAAAATTCTTCATCGGTATCATAGACATAGAAAGCCATTGAAAATTTCAAGCAGTTATGATTGATTCATCCATATTAACTAGGATGATTGATTGAAAAACGAATTTCTTATCAAAAATAGTCTGATCATTATCTTATTTTAGTGTCGTACTTTCCAAACAGCTCAAATTGAAGATGCAAGAATTGGTTTACGAGAGAAGTGCCCAAATACTGTTCCCTTGACTTAAAGCTCATGTTTTGCTCACAAGTAGAACTCAATGTCAATAGTTAAAGTCTAAAAGGATTCGAGCTCATGGGTTGTTGAAGCCGACTGATGACTATTTCACTGGATTTTCGATGTCAGACAAGGCATGCATGAAAAAAATCAAATGATGGTAGTTTGATCTGATATTTCGGTCATAAAGAGGTCTCATGGTTATTCGAGCGTTCTAAAATTTCAATTGAAATGAATGCTTTACCCTAGAGACATTGAATTTTCTGATTTTTCTACTACGCATGATCGATTTTTCGACATCCAATATCTTAAGGATAAAGTATCTGTTTTGTTTGAAATTTTTAGGACATTCTAATAATCATGAGACCTCTTTCTGAACAAAATTTCAGATCAAAATACCATTGGTCAATTTTTTCATAGATATCTTGTCCGACATCGAAAATCCAGTGAAATGGTCCATAGATCGGTTTCAACAGCTCAAATTGAAGATGCAAGAATTGGTTTACGAGAGAAGTGCCCAAATACTGTTCCCTTGACTTAAAGCTCATGTTTTGCTCACAAGTAGAACTCAATGTCAATAGTTAAAGTCTAAAAGGATTCGAGCTCATGGGCTGTTGAAGCCGACTGATGACTATTTCACTGGATTTTCGATATCAGACAAGGCATGCATGAAAAAAATCAAACGATGGTAGTTTGATCTGATATTTCGCTCATACAGAGGTCTCATGGTTATTCGAGCGTTCTAAAATTTCAATCGAAATGAATACTTTATCCTGGAGACATTGAATTTTCTGATTTTTCTACTACACATGATCGATTTTTCGACATCCAATATCTTAAGGATAAAGTATCTGTTTTGTTTGAAATTTTTAGGACATTCTAATAATCATGAGAGCTCTTTATGAACAAAATTTCGGATCAAAATACCATTGGTCAATTTTTTATAGATGTCTTGTCCGACATCGAAAATCCAGTGAAATGGTCCATAGATTGGTTTCAACAGCTCGAATTCTTTCAGACTTTGACTCTCAACATTGAGATCTACTTATGGGTAAAATATGAGCTCTATGCCGAAGGAAGACTTCGGTTATTCCCTTCATTAGTATTTTATTTTGCTGCTTTTTTTCACAAAAAGAAAATCGTTTCAAGTCAACTATTCAAATTTTTCAAATATGTTTATAATCCAATTGATCAAACGATCAACAGAGACACATAGCTCGCATATCAGCTGCTAATCGTCATATTGAGTTAGTGTTTATAATGAATTAGTAAAGCTGACATAGAATATTCTTTAACTTTGACGTATTTATCATCTAATGAAATCAGTTGTTTTAGAGTTCGGGTTCTCTGATCCTTTTTGCCTCTTATTTCAAAATAGAGGGTGGATGTAAATGAAGGTAGGCTTTAGGTCACGATGAGCATGTAGGTGAGGTTAAGTTTTCAGTATGGAGCTCGGGATATCAAGATGACATCTAACTCCATGGTCTTGTCTCAATATCCTGAACTTTGGGTATATATTAATCTAGAGTTGGGTATCCATCTCGTCACACCAAACTCACTCAAAATCCCCAACTCTATAGATTTATGGATATCGAGCCAGGTATTCATCTCATTACGTTAAATTGACTCAAAATCGTTAATTTAACGGCATATGGGTATCGCAAATTCATTAAGCGAATATCTTAATAGCTATTGTTGTGAATCTCGATATCCGACTAACGGATATTACACGACATCCTTCATTAATTTACATGAATGAAATATTATAGACCGATTTTAGTATCTTGGGAATGAATTAATTTTTCTATAGATTTTAAATCATAGCAATAAATATAACAGGACAAACCTAAGTCAATCGAATAGTTTAGTAATTTCGATCTAGAGCAGTCAAAAAAAGTTGAGTAAAATTTCTAATCAGCTTCTCACTGAATTTGTTTATTAAAAAGAAATCGTTCAGATCCATTGCCGCCGATATGAGCATTGAATGACTGCAATATTGTGATGTGTTTCAGCACTGGATTCGAAATTTCATTTTTTGAAAAACACTTATTCTTATATATGATTCGATCGGACTCGAAGTGCCAATTGCGAATAATAGATTGGTTTTGCGTCACAATGGCATTGTAATCGGGAAAGTAGGAGTTTAAGTCCAAAAGTCTGATATTTTTTTGGAAATTCTTGCATAGTCCACGCTCATTGGTGTGGATTGATGCTATGGTCAGCGATAGAGCTCATACAGGAAAATAATTAAGGCGTATGTGAAATCAATCAGACTTAAACTCTTTGTAGAGTTTTGAAAATGCGATGTTAACTATTGTCGAACCTACATTGAGTCCAGCAATCTTTTTTTTCTATTTTAATTTAAGTTCAATCAAAATACTTTTTTTCAAATTAAAATGGTGCCCATAGAGCAGTCATTCGTTTCTGGTACTTTGTATTAACTTGATAGGGCTGAGACTTTTCAGCTTTTCATTTGTTTTCTGAAAATTTGCTTTTAGGCCAAGATGCAGTAGTTATAAGTTTATTTACTCTAATATTCGAACTTGGGAAAAGAATACTTTCGTTTATATTCACTCGTTTACTCACTCTGTGTCATTGATATGAACATTCATAAAACTCTTACCATAACTACTTCTAAGATAAGTCATTGACAGATATCATCCACATGTAGCAATGCTCATAACTGTGTCTTTAAGTTAGTCCCTGATAATAGAGTACGATAGTCTGCAATGATAAAAGCGAATCTTTTGCTCTAGACCAATTATCGTTGACTAGATCACAGTTGCAATTCACTATCACTCATAGACACATTGTAGGAATGTCTGCAGTTGAGTTCGAATTAAGACGTCACCAATGGTCGTGTCTGTCGAATAAATATGTGTCAAAATACTTCTGATTTAGAAATATAAGTTTGTGTTCTTAGCTTGACTAAAACGCTATCATTGATATGATTTGCTAACAGTTTTTTTAATAGCAGAATGATACGCATCTAATTTACAAGAATCTCTTCAAAAATAGTCTAATGCACATTTTTGATTAAAACATGTTCGAAGCTTCTTAAAGTGTTGACTAATTTACTTGCAACTGGATGTATGTGTAAAAACTGGTAGGCATGCACCGAGCCCGAACTTTCCGGGTTCGGCCATTTCCGGGTTCGGTCATTCCCGGGTTCGGTCATTCCCGGATTCGGTCATTCCCGGATTCGGCTATTCCCGGGTTCGGTGTTCCCGGTGTTCGGACATTCTCGGTACCTAAAACATTAGATTTAGTGATTCATGTACTTTGGTCTGCATTAGGCATCCTTAGAAGCCAGGTATGACTGAACCCTGGGATGACCGAACTCCGGGAAGTTCGGGCTCGGTATTCCTGGTATGCTCCTGGCTTCTCCGAGTGTCTAGCAATGACCTAAATAACTAAATCCAGCATTTCAGGTACCGGGAATGACCGAACCCTGGGCACACCGAACCCGGGAATGACTGAACCCGGAAGCGACCGAACTCCAGGAATATCGAGCTCGGGATTCCCGGTCTGTACCCGGGTTCGGTGCATGCCTAAAAACTGGATATTCTCTCCTTCTCCCTCAAAATGAACTCCTTTATGAATCATGTTTATTATAGTGTCTCGGTACTTTAACTTGATATACTATCACGAGCAGCGAAAACATACAAACGAAAATACTATATCTACTAATCTTATAATGATGAAAAATGGTAAAAGAAAAAGTAAAATCTTTAAAAAGAAGCACAAAAAAGAGATGAGGCAAAACCCAATTATAAATCAAATGTATGCAGACGAAAACAAAACAAGAATTCAGTCTTATTATCATATCAAGAATGTACTGATAGCATTTTTGTTGTTGTTGTTATTTATTGTTTAGATGTACTCAAAAAATTTGTATTTCATCAATTTGACGTTTCAATTTGATATTCTAAACATATTGAAGAGAAAAAGAATAAATAGAACAATACAGAAGAATAGAATACTTTCTTACAGTTTTCATTTTATCAATAAATTGATTCATGTTACTAAATGGTAACTTTTTATGATTGACATGGACAACAATCTGTTCAGCTGCTTGAACCTGCGAAACAATAGAAGTGTAAGCAAAAAAAAACTTGGATGACATCATAAAATGGTGTATTTGAATTCAATTTAAGCTCAAATGAAAAAAACTAATACTCGAATTTCAGATAGAAATGCGGAGCTAGACGATCTTTAGTATTATTTTTCGATATATATATATATCTGTATGTTCTCTTCTTTTTCGATGATGGTTCTACCATGTCTATAGTATATATAATAAAAAACAAGAATTCTAAAGACATCCTAGCCCCACTTTCCAAAAAGAGGAATGTGTTGTTGTATATTATAATATATAATTCTAAAAATCCATGTGATCCACCATGCACAAAATAGGAGCTACAATGAGTCTGCAGATGTATGTTATAGGAATGGCTTCTTCGAAACACCTTAATAAATAAATGAGGATATCATTTGGTTTGGATGAGTGGGATGTGTAATATCTTGTATGTATAGTAAGATTTCCTCTCCGTCTTGTTTTGTTGAATAGGCTTCTTTTTCTATATTCCCAAAACGTTCGTTGATGGCAAAAAATGAACATAATTTTTTTTTCCAAAATTCAGTTTGAAACTAAAAACCTCATAGACTCAACAACATACAGGTTTTGAGTGTTTATAAGCACTCAGTAGTCTTGAAATAATATTTATTGATGTCGCAAAATTGATTGGTTTAGTTGTATCATTATTAGTCTCATCACGACATAATACTTCTAACATATCAACAACAAATTTGTACCGATTCAGTTCGAACTAAAAGGAAGTAAGAAAAAAAATAAATGATTGATCATGCAATAAAAAGAAACAAATTTTACAAGATTCATATCTAAAATTGATATTTCCTGAACTGAATACCTCCAATGATTGTAGTAACTCGAATGTTAAGTAATATGAGCTTGATGTTTTTCACCTCATATTTGAGCTATTCTTTTCTTGGTTTTCTCATCGTCTGTAGATTGGTGATCTTTCAGAATTAAGAAACAGGAAGGAATAAACAATCATTTGAAATGAGCGAAATATATATGTTAAAGGTCTTATGTAGTCACAAACAAGTTGCTCACTTCATAAAGATGTTATGAACTAATAGAATTACGATTCTTGGTTTACCGTGTTTCAGTTACCGTTTGTCTTTGGTTTAATTAATAACATCAGAAAGTAAATTATATTAAAAAAACTTAAAAAATTTTTTGTATATTCACATTCCTCTTTTCAATAATTTTCTCTTGGAATTATTGAGCTCAATTCTTCTATTTGGAATAAATAATAATAAGAATGTCTATCAGTTAATTTCATTCTGCTCGGTTTATCCTTTGTACACGTAGTTTCTTATATTCTAAATAGGATCATTTTTATTTCGTTTGTGAACGAGAAAATCACTATCAATCAACGCTGAGAAGCATAAAATTGAATTAGTCACTTTCGCAGTAGATTTTCGGTCATTTTCAAAAGATTGATTCGAGACACAACTTCATGAGTTAGTCATGTGTTTGAAAGTTGGACTCATGGTCATACTTTTTAGTTAGTACGTTTTTGATAGTGATAAATACATTGCTGTCAAAGTACAGTAACTTAGAAATTAAGATACTTATTTCCAGTAGGCCTAATAATGAATAGCTGGATTTTTTCAGAACTTTATGTCATATTTCAATACTGCAAGAAAGAAAAACTGCTTTCTAGCTGCAAATTTTCCCACTAAAGTGTTAATAATATTTCAATTAATTTATCATTCATCTGGAATTTATTACGAAATTTGAACTTACATGATTCGTTGTCGAAGTCATGCTCAAAGTAAAATTATAATAACTAACCTTGAAATGAAACTTGTTTTATATCTGTAGAAAATATGGAATTTATTACAGTGAGAGAGAGAGAGAGAGATTTGTTTGTTCGAATCAATAGCTATGCCTAGATTTGATGCACGTTCGACACATTATCCATATCATTGAAATCGCACTAAAATCAGTGATTGTATCGCGATGTATATGACTGATTAGTTGTGAGATTAAATCGCCTAAACTGACGACGTTTGCCAAAGTTTCTCCAATTTATAACACAAACGATTAATATGTAATTTTTTTAAAATTAATGAATGAATAGTTCTAGTGAATTTTTCATAAGGGAATTTCTAAGGAGCGACTTAAAAACTTCTCAAAGAATCGTGACTATTGTATACTTTCGTATAAGACGTCGTTTATTGTTGTTTTCTCAGAAACTTCTCATAAGTGAGAAGAATAAATTTTTCTTTCCCTCTTGCCCTAAATATAAAAATACAATTTATATTTTAAAATGGTATTTACTGATAAAATTGTTGCTGAAATTGATACAAATAAGCAAGAAAACAATTTAGCTCTTGAAATTGATCCCAATGAAAATAATATAATTACTTACTACTGAATTTATTGTGGATTAAAATAGTTTCTTCATTAAAATAAGAAGAATGACACAAGAGCTTGAAAAACGAAGTGGTCATGCCTATATTGGACAGTAAATATTCACTCTGACATTTTCCATCAGATACCGTTCTATGAAAATACTGAAAATATTTTTTAAGACAACATCATCAAAATTTAGTTTTTCTGGCTTCCAGAAATAAAAAAAAAATAAATGAGTAATTTTTATGCAGATGATGTTTATATCATTGTTTTTGAAATATTGCAATTCATCGCTTAGTTTTACTTCTATAAAAATCCGTTCGATAATAAAATAACATCGACTGTCTGTTTTTGTAAAGTTAAAACAAGAGGAAAAACATATGAACTGTTTTTCATAGAACAGTGATCTTTACTCTCTTTCATAGTTTTTTTGTTTAAATTTCATCAAATAACACAAAAAATGAACACGATTCAATTTCTAAAACACACAATCAGTAGAATTAATAACGTGTAGCATAAATCGTCATCAAAAAAAAAAATCAAACTCGTTGATATTCATTTGTTTAATAATGATTTGAAGATGGTGTGTATTCATCACAAAAGACAGCAAGTTCTCGAGAAAAAAATATCATACGTTGTTCTACCTAAACAAAGTCAAATGAATTAATCAACATCTAACAACAGAATTATATAAACTCACAGTATCAATCAAAACTGGGTCAGTCAGAACAGGTGGTAATCGATATTTTTCATTGACGAGATTTTCACAACCTATTAAAAGAATATCTTATCAGAAGATCGAAATGATAAATAATACCAAGTCGAGTCATTGTCGAGATTTCAAATAAATAAATTGCCAGAATCATATCAGATTCAGTAGCTTCCAGATGTACATTACATTTAGCTATGCCTTCACACAGTTTTGTTCTATATCCAATTAAAAACTATCAAACAAAATAATTACATAACGACTTACAAAACATCATTGGTTGAAGCAGAAAGTTCTGCATAAGCAAACAGAGTACGTTTTGTTCGACGACATGCACAAAAATATTTTTTCAAAAGAAATTCAGCTTCCGGACTCAATGGCATTTCTATCGTTCGAACATAGACAAGAAACTATATTTAACGAAAACAATATTTAAATCATTCTAAAATAAATAAATATTATATTTACACTTCGAATATCATCAATCCATTGACTAGTTTGTTGATCTATTATTTCATGTTGATTATCATTACTTAACATTGAATCCAAATAATATTCAATTGTTTCTTCTACAAATATAGACGATAAACGAAAAAGACAATAGAAAAATCTATTCTCACCATATTCATTTTCGATTTCATCTAGTGGTAATACTAGACTAAATGCACTTGAAAATCAAAAAGAAAAAAAAAACGATATACTACTTACACTAAACGAAAACAAATAGAATCTTACTCAGCTAATGTTGGTGATAAATCATTGGTTGGTTCTGTTACTCGATCAGCATGCAACCATAACCGACTATCATGATAAGCCCAAATATTACTATTAAATGGTGCAGTATAGATAATTTTTGATGTTTCTTCACTTTTCTTCACTTCAATATTGAGTGTTTTTGTTTCAAATGCTACACCAACAAAAAAAAATAATAATACGAAGATATTGATCAAGAAGTTTTACATTTTACCAGAAAGAAGTTCTTTTATTTGTGATTTGCTTAAACTATCAATACTTTCCAGATACGTAATTCCACCGTCACCAATAGTAATTGAACCAGCTATATAAAAATGATGTAATAAGAGTAACAAATATCAAAAAAGATAAAATTAACCAGAAACAATGAATGAACAATGTTTATTTTTAGAAATCGATGCAAGTGTAAGTGGATGTTGTTGTCGATGAATAACACCATCTCGAGCATATTTCAATGCTGTTTGACAAAGAATATCAGCTACACGACTTTCATTACCAACAATAAGTAGATGAATTGAAGATGACACAAGACTTAATATTAAACCCATTTTAACATGAATACAATATTTAGCTAATCGAATATGTGCTACAAATAAATTACAACTATTAAGATAGAGAAAAAATAAAATAGAACATACGACAGAAAAGTGTTGATAGAATATTAAGAAAACTGAATGAATGATAACGAGCAAAATTGTTATGTAAATGACAAATAGAATCTGGTAATGAAAAACGACGTGATTGTATGAATTCACAATGTAATGTCTATAAAAATAGTATTTATGAAACTAAAATATATTATTTCATTATTTATACTTCAAAAATTACTCCATTCGAATGAGGATCATAAATAGCATAGCAAATGAAATTATATTTACCACCAAGACGAATATGTGAAATATATTCATCTATGAGAATTTTTTTTTTAAAGATGATCTATTCAGAAAATTCATTATTTATTTACCACGAACGATTATAGTGTGTGCATTTAATAATAAAGTATCTATTTGAAGATTGGATGTTGATAAAATAATAGGTGTTTCTGGTTCTTTTATTTTGACAGCAATAATAAGTTTTTCTATTTGAAAACGAAAAAACATTGATATTTTTATTAATGAATGAATAATATACCAGAAGTCCATCGTTTATTTATATCTTCATCAAGAAATAAATCGCATCCTTCACACAAAATTGTTCTACAAATACATTTATTTTTTTTTTTTTTTGGTACAAACTGCAATTTATTTATTTTTTTTTTCCTTCGTCTTACTTACTCTCCAACTTTACAAACATATGGATTTTCAATATCAAATAATACAAATTTTTGACGTTTTCGATCACTTAAAGGACACATTAAACTATGACATACATACTTGAGTCCACGTCTAATAAGTAAATTTAAATATTAACAAAAAAAAAATAAAACATAAAATATTGGACATACATGTAAGGTAAAATAGCACTCGATGCAATAACAGTACCACTAAGACGAACAGGATGTGTACGAGAAAGTAAATCGGCTTGTGATGAATTTGATAAAATACGAAATCTATTAGTCAACAATATTTGTTCGGTTCTTTTTTCAAATAGAAATCTTACTCAGGTCGTGGTGGTAATTTGTCATAAACGAATCGAATAACAATTTGATTCGAATGACTACAAAGACTTCTAACATTCTTATAAATAATCTAGAATTAAGGATAAGATGAAGATATCAAAATAGTATAAACAAATCCAATAATGATACTTGTTGAGCAAATGTCGTAGCACGTTTTTGTTGATGAATAATAAATTCAGTAAACGAATCTTACAAAAAAAAACAACATTTTATTTTTAATATTACATATGAAAAAAATGAATAATCTTTACCAGATATTTGATAGCATTTATCTAATCGAATTGGAATAATAAATGGATAAAAACATGTCTATCATTGATAAATGAATTATTGTCTCATAAATATATATATATATATATACATGTGTGTAACACTTACTTCTGAATCTTTTGAATTTTGAATTGTTTCAACAAGTTCTTGTAAACTAGCATTTGATACTTCTTGTTCAATATATAAGCGTAACAAACTAAAATCTGATTTTTCATTTAAATGAATTCCTTGACTAAATGCTTGACTAGTCATTGTTTTTGTAAGACACAATTGACACACGTGTTTGTTCAAAATAATTTAGTGTTCAAATGAACACGAGAGAATCTTAACCACCACATGTTTTCTTTTTCGTTTCCGTTGAACGAAAAGAAAAAGAAATAGAGCTAATAACATAATTTCGATATTTTGAAGAAATTCTTTATCATCATAGTACATATTTATTCATCATTATTTTGAAAAATTTTTTTTAAAATTTACAAAAAAAATAATAAATTAGAAAATTCCTTCAGAAAGTGTCAACATCTTGTAATGATTCATTACTGCTCAATAATGATGATGATGTCGATTTGAGATTATTTAAATATTCAAGAAACCATGTTTGTTCATCGACTGGCACAAAATCATGCAAACCTAATAAAAAAAATCAAATAATATTATATAAACTAACATGTCATAATTCCATTTACCGTCAAGTAAATTTCTTCGAGATTCTCCATATAAATGAGCTGTTTGTTTAACAAATTGTTTTGTACTTAATTGATTTGATTGCCATTCAGTTAGTAATTTTCCAAATTCAGCTAACTCATTAGGTTTTAATTCAAGTTGTAACTAAAATGACGCCATAAAAACTTCAAAAATACCAATTAAATAATATTTAACTTACATTAAGAAGATAATTTTGAATAATTTGTGATGTTGATTTCGTTGAAGATTTATTTGAGGATTTATCATCATGTCGATGATGTGATCGTCTAAAAGAGAAACAAAACAAGAAAGTATTTATTAAAGATTCAAACTTCTACAATAATTTTGTACCGATGTCTTCGACGTGGAGTTGATAAGCCATCATCAACAATCGTTGATGCCTCAGGTGAAATAACACATGCTGAAGAAGCTGATGCTAATGATAAAGAACGAATTGTTGATGGTGTTGAAGATGTTGTTGAATCAAATGAATTACGTAATTGCTGGGCTGATGAAAGTGATAAAGTGAGTAACGATAATTTTTTTCTTATATCAGAATTTTGTTCATTAGCTATAAAGATTGCGCGAAAACAAAAATCCATTGATGAACATAATTCATCAGCTTCATATCGATCGTTTAATAGAAAAATAATTAATTCAATAGTAGATGATTTATCTCTTGCTGAAACTAAATCAATAGAAATATTATTAAAATATGAAGAAAAAAAAATAAGAAATACCATATTTCATTGTGACAATATGATCGTTTTCATATTCAACGTAATAACAAGCAATAATATGATGAGATGGAATAGATAATATTATTTTCTTTAAGATTTAAATAATTATATCATCAAAAAAAAAGTACAAAATCATTAGATTTTACTTGATGAATATTGAAAAGTTTCATTTGTGCTGTAGTTATATGTAATTGTGCAATAGATTTTTCCGTTAATCTTTTTGGTAAACGACGTTCAACCTATAATCATATCTATTATTAAATTTGTTCGTCTCTACATAAAAGATAAACATTGACTACCTGACATTGATAAATAAATTGTAAAAGCTTTTTTTTATATGAAAGATCGATTTCATCATCATGCGTCAAATCGACTGTACCGGCACACTAATATAAAACAAAATTCTTTTTTTATTTATAAATCAATAGTTAAATAAACTACTTAAAAGCAAGAGTTATTTATTGATTATTATGAAGCAAATTCCAGTATTTTCTTTTGTTATTTTCATTTCACTCATGTTAGTAAATTTACTTGCTTGTACAACAAAAATAGCAACTCCTTCATCAGCAAGATCATTTGTCCATGGTGACGGTGGTCGTAATCGTTCTAATTTATGTTGTTTTGTTTTTGTTGAAAGAGAAGCTACCCTTGAAAACATCTAGATTAGATATAAATGAATTTAAAACTTTGTCTTTATTTTATGTAAAAAAAAAAAAAAAGGGCAAGAAAGAAGAATTGGTTTTATTGTTGGTTTTTTTTTTTTTAAATTTCACAAATTTTTAACAAGTGCACGACATCGTTCGAGACATTCAAGTGTATCAGCATTTAATTGTGATGCTGATTTTTCAAGTGCAGTAAAAAATCGTTTAGCACTATTATCAGATGTTGTTTGTACATTAAGAACAAGATCAGCATTAGTGCAAAATAATGTTCCTAAACCAAGTATAAGACGTTTTACACCATCTGATTCAAATTGTATATCAACAAATTCTTTATAACATTCATATAAGTAATCCGAAAGACGTTGATCATTACTTCGATAAGCATAAATACAATAATTTAAAAAAACATTTGTTAATGCTATCTGAGTATTTCTCTTTGTTAAGGGTAAACATATAAGAGTTTTAGCTAAAATTGAATTACGATTTTTAATCATATATTTTTCACCTAAATCATTTGAAAATAAATTTGTTAAAGTACGAAATATAAACATTGTATTAGCCGATTGCTCTGGTTGAAGATATATAAAAAGTTGAGAAATAAATTCATTTGATTTTGTATCATTCTCAAAAAGATATTTGCAAATATCAGGATTGAGAATAATTAAACGAATTATATCTAATATAGGAAATATTTTATCTAGAAATAAAAACAAATAATTTAAAATTATAATTAAATTTAATCAATTTACATACCAACAGGCCATTTGAATAATTGAAATAAAAGATTTATTTTTGTTTCGAGATTATTTGTATTTCCATTGACTAATTCATTTATTTGTTGTATTTGATTATCATGTAAATGAACACCATCACCAGTTGCATTATCATTAAAATCTTTAAGTTTACCGAAAATTTTCATTATATCTGCATTAGGCATTGTAATATAATGAGTTTGAGGAAATGTTGCTGTAAGTTCTGCATCTTTATCTGTTTCTATATTAAACAAGAAATATTTAAAGATATTTTAAAATAAAATACAAATATCATACTTATAACAGATGATTGTGAAGCTGATAATGGTCGTGTTGATTGTTCATTACCACCATTCGGAATATATCTTCCAGTACCTGTAAATGGATCTTGAATTGAATTTGTTTCTTTTCTACTTGTTGATGAACTTGCATTAGGTACATAACGTCCAGGATCAGTTAATGGATCATAATTAGCTTGTTGTCCTGTTGTATCCATGGCCGACGTACTACCAGGAACATAACGTCCACTACCTAAAATTTATCAATAATAAAAATGAACTTTAAATTAATAAATAACTTGACCAGTAAATGGATCAAAAAAATCTGATGCTCTTTGATCAATAACCATTCCTTTTGTATTTGTTATAATAAATTGTGCTATTTGATCAAGAAACATTTGACTTAATTCATGTCGATGAATAAATTCTTGTGCAGCATACCATGGATCATCTGTTATATTATATGGAAGTTTAAGTGGAACATTTTCATCAAGTTCAACATTAAATACATAATCATAATATTGTCCTTCGAACAGAATTTTTTCACCTGTTGCTGATGCTTGTCCTTGTGCTGTACTATCAGCTGAACCAACAACATCACCAATTTTCATCCAACGTTGATCAAGCATATTCCATTGATATGCTTCAACATGTCCATTGCCTTTATTAATCATTGTTGTTTGACCTTCGCGTGTTCCAGGTTTTTTTAATGCATCTTCATTTGGTAAATCATCTATTTTAACTTCTCCTAAATCACCAGTTTTTGTTTGAATAGTTGTTGAAGCTATTTCTTGTTCATATGCTGAAATTTCTTCCATTGTGGCTGTTCGTGATGCATCTTTAGTAAAAATAAATATACGTCCATCACTAAAAATTGACTTATTTTTATTACAAAATTCATTTTTATTTTCATTGAACTAACCTACAACCAACAACAATATCATTATTTGTTAACGAACAAACACTCCAAACAGTTCCTGATGGTAATCGAATTGTTTGTTTTGATTCACTTGTATTAATTGACCATAAACGTAATGAACGATCTTCACTTACAGATGCAAATTGTTCAGAAGATATAATTGATATACTATAAACAAAACTTGTATGACCTTCATATGTTTGTAAACATTGTACAGAATTAATATTCCATCGTTTAATAGTAAAATCATTTGAACATGATAAAAATTCATTTGAATTCAATGCTGCTAACGATCGAACACAATTTGTATGACCTTATATTTAAATAAAGACAAAAAAAAAAAGAAATCAAGAACAATTCATTTTCATAATAAATAAATATTCATTATTCACCTTCATATATTTGAAATTTAGTATAATTTTTCCAACCTATAATAATATTATCAGCAGCACCAGTTAATATAATATTCGAATTATTTGTCACATCACCCATAGAAATAATTGTCCATACTGCTTTACTATGACCTTAAGTATGAAAAATAGTTTCAAAACAAATTTTATTTAAGTTTTTATCATTCATAAATACCGCTAAGAGTTTGAATACATCGTTTACTAGATAAAGACCAAACACGCCCAGTTTGATCCCATGATCCACTTAATAATAGATCACTTTGTGGTACATAAGAAAGACATGAAACTTTTATATAAAGAAAGAAAAGTTAAATGTGATGAATATAATTAAATAAAATATTTTTACCAGTTTGTTCATGTCCTTCTAATGTAAATAAATGTGTTCCCTGTTTAGCTGAATAAACACAAATTTTTTTATCATTGCCTCCTGTTACAATCAGACCGTCACCAAATTTATTACTCGGTGGAATATAACATGTTGCAATAACAAAGTTCGTATGATCTTTCAATACTACACGTTGTTCAAATGAAGTTTTACTAAAAAAAAAAATTTTTTTTTTCTTAAATTTAAAAGAAGATTTTTAATAAATATACTCTGATGGACGCCAAATTCTTGCTGTTTTATCTCTTGATCCACTGACAATACCATCATATTCAGTTATTGTCGAAACGGAACGTACATCTGTCTCATGTCCATATAATTGACAACGAAGACGATAGGAAGTATTAGCCATAATAGAAATTCCAAGAAAAAAAAAATTGAAAAAGCAAAATATGAATAGCCTTTTCTAAGTCAATGAATAAAGAAACTGATGTCTAATTGGATGGTTCTTATAAAATTGATTATAGCGTCATCTAACAAAATGCATCAAACTATATATAATAACTTCTTCATTTCTTCTTCGAATTACAGAAGCATTAATTCGTCTCTTTAAAATAGCGAATGATATTTAAGATTTAAAAATATTGGAATTTTTCTTTGGAGAACTGTGCAAATTTCTTTTTTTTTTCTTCCGAATTTTATAAAATCATTGGTTAATTTTTCTTTTCTTTGACGACCTTTATACTTTTTTATTCATATATAGTTATTTGATAAAATTTCGAAATTACATATGTTTAAATACCTTCTGCACATCAGATTTTTTTTAATTTTATTTATATTTCAGTTGCTAAGTAAGCCTTATTCACTATTTATAAAAAAAACAATATTTCATTTCATTTCTATTGGGATTATAATAAGACTTAATACAAAACATTCTTATTCATAGCATTTTGTCGTTGCTAAGCAATTTTGTCTTCCTTATTTTTAGATCTTCTTCATTTGAAATGCATTACTATTTCATTTTTCTTCATCTATGAGCGACAATCAAACGAAATCAAAAGCAAACGGTTATAAAGCGAAATCTCCATTGGAGTAAGTATTTTGGGAAAAAAAAATAAACGTATTCATTTTTAAGGAAGAAAAAAAAATCTACATTGGATAAGGCCTCTCTACCGATGTAAACTAGTCCTTCGATGATACAATAGAATATCTGTATAATCCATCCGCCATTTTCCTTATATGCTTGCCTGACTCTCGAAATGTGTGTGTGTGTGTCTGTGCTTTGTCATTTTTGTGAATAATAAATAAATAAATATAACTTATTTTCTATTTTATCCCTTCTAAATTAGATTATGTCACCAATCAAACAAAATGTCTAAGGACAAGTACGAAAAGTTTCTTCTAAAAAATTTAGAAAAAAAAACTCTGAATTGTATTTTGTACGATTAATTGAATAATATTGACTTGTATTTTAGGAATGATACTCATCAGAAACCGAACACGGCAGTTCCTTCTATGGAACCTGGTAAATAATAAATATTGAAAAAATAAATCGAATAAGTATAAATTATTTGTATATATCTAGATGGAACGATCGAGAGTAATTGGACTGAAGTGGTCGAACAATTCGATCAAATGAATTTACGTGAACCACTTTTACGTGGTATTTATGGTTATGGTTTCGAACGACCTTCAGCTATTCAACAGCGTGCCATTAAACCATGTATATTGGGTATGTTTTTTCTTCGTTGTATCAGAATGAAGTTTTTCTATATGCAATTATTTTTTATTTTAGGTCACGATGTGATTGCACAAGCGCAATCAGGCACAGGCAAAACAGCTACATTTGCTATTTCAATTTTACAGCAACTTGATATGGAATTTAAAGATTGTCAAGCATTAATCTTGGCACCTACTCGGGAACTGGCCCAACAAGTATATTCTTTTTTATTAAAAAGAAAATTATTCTCATTTACTATTTTGTGTTTTCTATTTATTATGTAGACCCAGAAGGTAGTATTAGCACTTGGAGATTATATGGGAGTTACATGTCATGGTTGTATTGGTGGTACAAATGTTCGCGATGATATAAAACGACTCGAAGCAGGTGTTCAAATAGTTGTGGGTACACCTGGTCGTGTCTATGATATGCTTAATCGATCAGCTCTTCGTATGAATTTTTTTTTTTCTTCGTGATAATCTTGTTAATTATGTTTTTTTTGTTTCATGTTACATAGATAGTAAAAATATCAAAATGTTTGTATTAGATGAAGCTGATGAAATGTTATCACGTGGTTTTAAAGAACAAATCTATGATGTGTTCACAACAATGCCACAAAATGTTCAGGTTATTCTATTATCGGCTACAATGCCAAATGATGTACTTGAAGTAACAACGAAATTTATGAATGATCCAATCAAAATTCTTGTAAAAAAAGAAGAATTAACTCTTGAAGGTATTCTTCAATTTTATGTTACCGTCGAACGTGAAGTAAAAGAAAAATTTATGAATAAAATTTTTAATAATATTTTCTATTAATTTTAATAAATAGGAATGGAAATTAGATACGCTTTGTGATTTATACGAAACATTAACAATAACACAAGCTGTTATTTTTTGTAATACACGTCGAAAAGTTGATTGGTTAACTGAAAAAATGCGTGGACGTGATTTTACTGTATCTGCCATGGTAAGTAAAAAAAAACAAAAAAAGAGAAATTCTAATTTTCAATTGATATATGTGGCCAATATTACCAAACATTTCATTTTCGTTTAAATGTTATGTACTGGACTTGGCCAAATATTGAAATAATCGATTGTAAACTCATTCTATTAGTTTGACAAAAAAAAAAATACTTGGAGTGAACAAATATTGATTAACAAAGTAAATATTTTAATTTTAGCATGGTGATATGGATCAAAAAGAACGTGATATAATCATGAAAGAATTTCGTACAGGTTCTAGTCGTGTATTAATTACAACAGATTTACTTGCACGTGGTATTGATGTACAACAAGTCAGTCTTGTTATTAATTATGACTTACCAAATAATCGTGAGAATTATATCCATCGGTAAGATTGAATAAGAAATGTACGACATAAAAAAAACAATTTATGGAATTGTTTTTTTTTTCTTCATAGTATTGGTCGTGGTGGTCGATTCGGTCGAAAAGGTGTAGCCATCAATTTTGCTACTGACGATGATCGACGAACATTACGTGACATTGAACAATTTTACAATACACAAATACAAGAAATGCCAATGAACGTTGCCGATCTGATTTAACAGAGAGACAACCATTCATCTCTTTTCATCGACATCATCATCATCAAATTTGTTTTACTATCTTCTATCTATTCTGATGATAATAAATAAACTTATATCGAATATTGTTGCCTTCTCTTTTTTGTTTCTTGCTCTTAATTTAGATTTAATATGGATATATATACATACATATGTTTTTGAGGGACTGGAATACTTCAATTGATGATGTTTTCTCATATTTTTCTTGTTATTTCGTCTTTCTATATATAAATATGTTGTTAAATTTTGTTCATAAAACAAAAATGAGAATTTTTATTTCATATACCTGATCTGACGAAAATATCCAAAGTCAACCAAACAAATTATTGATGTGTATGTGTGTGTATATATATGGATATTTTTATTTATTTTGTTATCAGGAGGTATTTTTCTATTTCCTCCCCGCTTTTTCATGATTCACGTTCTACCATCTGTCTTTGCTTGCATACATATACAAATCAAAAGGATACTTTTATCATCTTATTTCTTTCGCCTAGAAAAATATTTTGTTTTCATCAATCTGTTTCTCTATTCATCAAAACAAAACAAAAAAGAATTAAAGTTCAAAAGGATTAAAAAAAAAAGAAATAAACTATTTATTTATAATTAATTCAAGTAAGTCCCTTCATAACTCATTGATTGATCGAGTACATATTCACATGCTTCTTTCACACTTTCAGTATAAGTTGGATGAGCAAATGGAAGACGACATACTTCACGTAATGGAATATCTGAATGTAGAGAAAATATAGATTTGACTATGAAAAATAATAGTGAACTATTCTTATTCGATTTGCTTAATTGCTTACTCAATGAAATAATCATGCTATAATATTCAATTATTTCGGCTGCTGCTTCATGTACAAGTTGAACAGCAAGAAATTTCTTTGGTTCTTCACGTGTTGTCCACATTTTAATAAAACCCCAAGTTTGATCATCAATAATTGCTCTTCGATTCGATTGAAATTTGAATGTGTAAATAAGTACATCATCAGTCAATTTCGGTACTTCACCAGCACTGGCAACTGCCGGAATGACATTAACAACAAAAGGTGTAACTAGATTAATAGGGATATGGGATTTATTATTGTCTTTATATTCATTCAATATCTTTTCAGATATTGCATTTGCTGCTAAATGTCCTTGATGTATAGCACAAGGAATCTATTTTTGTTTTGAAAAAAAAAAAAAACTAATTAAAAATCATTTTTTTTTTTGGTTTTTCTTTCTCTCACATACCCAAGACCAGCAAGATGATACTACTCCACCACATGCATAAATAGTTGGTATTGATGTTTGACAAGTATTTTCATCAATAATAATAGTTGAACGTTCTTGATCAATAGCAATACCAAGATTCTGTAAGTTTTCATAATTAAAAGTTGGTTTTCGGCCAGTACATATGACAACAAGGCTACCAAAAACAGTACGTTTCGTATTTGTTTGTTGTAGTTGTACGATTACTTCACCTTTTGATACTCGTTCAACATGAGCGTTGAGAATAATATCCACACCGATATCTTTAAGACGTGTTTCAACAGCAAATGATACTTGTTCATCCATGAATTTGAGTAATCTTGAATTTTTTTCTATTAAGACAATATTCGAACGTAGATGACGATAGAGAGAAGCAAATTCACAACCTAATACACCCTAACACGAAATATCAAAATGTATTACTTTGATTTTTTTCTATAAAATGAATACCCCGCCAACGATAATTAATGAGTCAGGTATATTTTTATGCCAAAGAAGTCGCGTAGGATCTACTGTTTTGATATCATACGCTTCAACAAAATTAGGTAATTCATATTCAACACCTGATGCAATCTGAATAATAAACTGAAAATACGAAATTATATTTTCCAAGGTTTACAATAATATTTTTGCCACTAATTTCAACATCAGTTCTAATTGGCACATAGTCATCAGTTTCATAAGGATTTCCACCATCAGCATTATATACATTAGCATAAGTATATTTTTGAATTGGTTTTATTCTTATGTGATTCTTATCAATAATATTTGCAACACCAGTATACACTTGAATATGATATCTTAATTGAAAGAGAGTGAATGTTTATTATATAATCATATTATATGAACTACGAACAAAACAAAAAAAACAAGATTACTTTTCTAAAAAACTTTTAATTTGAGAACGAGATTTCTTAACTGCTTCATCACGATGACGAGCAATACGTAAAAAATCAATACGATGTGATGATATATCAATACCATATCGAACTGACTCATGAATTGAACGAATAATACGAGCAGAAGCAATCATTGCATTAAGTGGAATACAACCCCAGTTTACAGCATGACCACCTAAAAGATCACGTTCAACTATTGCTACTGATTTACCAAGTTGTGCACATCGAATAGCACTCGTGTAACCTGATACAAACATAAATGAACATCATTTCATAGTAATAAAAAAAAATTGAACTCCTTAGTGCACGTACCCACCTCCTGGTCCTGAACCAATCACAATAACATCAAATTGATATTGTTCATGTTGTGCCTCTTTTTTCTCAGTATAATCCACAGATAGATCTCGTTCATAATGATCTACAAATTGATCTTGTTCATTATCGATTGATCCATGTTCCGAAAGTTCAGCTGCATCAATTAGATCAATTGTTGACATTAGTATAATAAAATAAATAGAAAATAAACATACACACTAAAATTAATAATAATTCTGCGCATTTTTCTTTTTTTTTTTGTGTTATATTTTACTTTCGAGTTTCATGGGAACCGCGGTTCTATTTTTTCAAATGAAAATCGCTAATATCTAACTTTTTTCTCTTTTTTTTTTGCGATGTATTATGCAAAGTACTTGATCGTTATTATTAGTATTTGCTGTTGCAATGAATTACCTTTCTAGAAGCATTACAAACGTTTTTACATTCTAGAAGTGTTCCGCGTTGTCGACAAAGAATTTGAAGTTTCTATTTTGTTTTTCTACAACCATTACTGAATATAATTTATTAACGTATTAGTCACTTCGCGCATTTTTCGGTGCACAAGAAGACTTCTCTTCTTTTCTAAATCGAAATAGAAGAACTATTTTTGTTTATTTATTTTTGTGCATATACATAAGAAAGCAAATCAAGCAAATATTTGACACAAAAACAAACACATCTACATAAAATGAAGAACATAATTAGAAAAATATGGATGCAAAAAAAAAAAAAAAGAAATTCAAATGTAGAAAAAGGCTGATTTTGAGTATATTGATGATCACACAGAACTTTCTGTTCAACGAAACAAAATGATATAGATATATATTTAGAAAAAAAAAATACTAAGCTTCACAAAGCAAGTCATTAATAAGTTAGCAACCAGAAAATGTTTTCAATTAAGAGATTGGTTCGCTTCAGTAAACTACAGTAATGATAAATCATGGAACTACCAACAATATGGTTATTTCTCTTTTGAACAAGTGTAGAGTGAAAAGATAGAATCGACTAAATAATCTAATAAAAATTTCTATGAATAATTATTTTCTTTGAAGTGCTTTAAAAATATATATCGTTAAGATAATGCAACAGATGTACACATTAAAATCATATTAAGTTCTTTTAATAGAACTTGAATAACACCGTGCCAAAAGATAGTTATAATTCAATGAATATATATAATAAATAACTCAATTGAGTTGATTTCATTCATGATTCTTTTTTCGAGATCGATCGTGATCTTGATAAAATCTAAGTTAAAACTTTAAAAGTCGATTTCTTTCTGTGTTTGATCATAAGTTTTATTGAAAATCAACTTTGGTAAACTCATGTATTTTGATTCTATTTAAAAAAAGCAGAGAAGAAAAGAAAGTGTTGTAACAATGACTCAAGCAAGACTATCTTCAAAGTTGATCAAACAAAAATGAAAGAAATAAAAAAAAGAAAACGACACGCTCTTTAAATAACGTCTGGCAATGAAGTAAATCAATCGAGGTCATTGGCATCAGCTGCTCCACCACCCATTCCACCTACAAACATACAATAATGTAAAATATACAACAAACAAACAAAAGAAAACAAACCTGGAAAATTGGGAAAACCACCACCCATGGGTCCACCAGCGCCACCAAACTTGCTAGCCAGTTTCTCCATGACTTTACGGACCTTAGGATTGCTCTGATGAGCAGCTAATTTCGAAGGATCGGCACTGACTTCCTAAAATAAACATTATCTTTAATAAACTGATTTGCCAATATAATGTTATCAAATCAATTCAATAATATCAGTACAAAATATATTCAGATTTTGCAACTCAACAAGTATCTCCTATTTAAAGTTATTTTGAATTTTACACCACTTCTAGAACGATAACAGAAAAGAACATCTATTTATACAATTTATTCTTGCATGCATTTGTTTTCTACAAATATGGATTATAGTAAATTAATTAGTGTAATAACAAAAAAAGTGACAATTACATATGACTTACCGAGAAAGCCTGTTGTACATCGGGATCTTGTAATGCTTCCAATATTTCTGGATCGTTCATAACGGCTCCTAAACCTCCTAAATCAGCTCCACCACCCATGCCGCCCATTCCACCCATGCCGCCCATTCCGCCCATGCCACCCATACCTCCTATAGAAAAATATATATAAACACTCTAACATAATTAATAATTCTCAAAAAATCACCTGGAAATCCTGGAAATTGTTGACCTCCTGGAAATTGTTGACCGCCTGGAAAACGTGCTTGTTGTTCTTGTGCTCGTCGTTCATTTTCTTCTTGCTGTGCTTTTGCATAAGCTTCTTGAGCTTTACGAACCCGTTCTCGTTTAGCATCGGCTTCTTTTGTTTCTCGGCGACGTTCATGTTTACGTTTATGTTCAGTAAGCTTCTTAGCCTAGACAATAAAAAAGAAAGTACAATAGATCAAGAAAAAAAAGAAAACAAAGAGAAATATATACGTTCACTTCGACTTCTTTACACCAAATTTGAACATCTTCATCAAAATCAGACAATTGTGCTTTACAAAAATCTTTGTAAGCTGCTTCCCAATTGCCTAACATGCTGGACAAGAAAAATTTTACATAAAAAGCTTTCATGTTTTTATGTTTTTCGTGCCTACCGATGGGCTTTTCCTCTCCACTTGAGTCCTTGTTGCGAATTTTCATTAAGTTCTAAAGCACGATCACAATCACGTATAGCTGCATTTGGCTTTTGAAGTTTAATATAGCATTGAGCACGCTTCGCATGTAGAATAGCCGATTGTGGATTGTTTTCAATAGCTTGCGTAAACAAAGAAATAGCTTCTTCAATTGCACCTTCAGAAAGTTTCGCCTGAGCTTCACCTCGTTTGACATCAGCTTGTTCTAACATGGCATCTGTCACCTATTCAAAATAGACATGATAATACTTAATATGATTTACAATGAAAATTATACTTCGATGTTAGGATCACCCATTGATTGTGGTGGCTCATGATCACCTTCAATTACACCAGTTGTATCCAATTCTATATGAATAAATATAAGTAAACAACAAAACATACAAATATTAATTTACCCAATTCACTCCCTGAATCAGTTTCAACTTTTGGTGGTTCTTCATGACTTTTCGATGATGAAGTACTTTCATGATCAGCATGAGTTGTTTCCTTTTCTTCTGTTTTCGATTCTGAAGTATGATGACTCGAATCACTTGGAATTGATGCTCCTAATCTATATAAATCAATTGTTTAAAATACGAAAGTCCATATTGAAGAATTAAAAATAATAATTACTTAGTAAGCCATTGACGAAAGAATTCAAGTTCAGGTGCTAGAAGCATATCAGGTTGAGCTTCACATAAAGTAACAAATTGTCGAAGAAGTCGTACATGATCGGGTGGAATATTTTTAGACATTTTCGTGCGTATGCTTCACTAAATCTAAAAATGAATGCACATTAAGTTTCTATAACGCCATCTATTTAAAACAATTCTAGATTCTTCTCGAACGATGGGTATGTATGACACGTTGCAAAATGTCATGAACTATGGAATTGAAACAATAATAAATAATTTATTATTATCAAAACAATATTATTGTTATTGATAAATGTTTTAAAATAAATCTATTTCAAGAATCTTGACTTCAATTCAGCATTAACCTACATATATACAAACGATACCAGTAGAAAGCACGACGTTAATGAACATCGAGTATGGATGACTCATTTTAAAGATAACTAATATTAAGCAGCGTCCTCCCTCACTTGAATATAACACTTTTTGACAAAGATTAATTAATAAAGAACACAATCATTTCTTATTAAGTATTTTATTTATTTTAAAAATCAAACTAAAAGTAGGATTTTTATGTTTCAAAAATAGATGGCAGTCTATAGTTTTTCATATTTATTGAGAGGAACACTTATGGAACATAATATGACAAAGAATCAAACCAATCAATATTGATAATAGTGTATTGTTACTCATAAACAAAACTTCAATTTGTAATTTGTGATAGATTACTATATCATTTAAAAAAAAATGAGTTTTTGCGCATAATTTTATTTTCTTTCTACTCAATAATCGAGCTGTGTCTTTTTTTTTTAAATTTTCTATTATTAATGTTTACATGAACATAAAAAAGAACACGATTAGTATACATTCGAGTCTGGTCTCTGATCAAATAAATGAGACAACACTGCCAAACAATCAGATTTTCAAATCAGATCTTACATTACCTCTTAGAAAACAATCATTTCAGTCATTGGATAAAATATACAAACATTATAAAGAATTTCAACATGCATTATATATGCTTAAAATATCTGTTGAAGAACTTTGGCGTCTAGAACTTGAACAATTACGTAATCATGAATTAATATCATCACATCCATCGAACATTAGGTTTGATTTACAAGTTCCATCCACTTATACTTGTCGAGCAGTGTTACCGATGACTAGTGAAACACAATGTTCGAAAAATGATATTTATTCTAGTGTTAATTCACCAATTATTCTTCATTCAAGTCCGACAACTAGTACTCATGAAATAATATCGAACAAAATGGGAATAAAAGATAAAATGTTTCAATCAAATATTCAATCAATGTTTTTTCAGAAATCGAAACCCATAGACACACATCTTTCAATAAGTAAAAAACAAAAACGACATGGATTGGAAGATAATTCTATGAAATTTTGGACAAAAAAAGCATTACTACATCTAAGATTTCGATGTTCACAACACTTGCATTGAAAAAAAAAGTGATTTCTGTTGAACTAACACAGAAGAAAAGTAAACCAAACTAGTGTTCATTCGAATCTTTTGATAATAAGTTGCCAGTGAGTTCTAAAAAAATATGTATTAGACATGAAAAGCTTTGAAAAATAAACAATACCCGATAAAGGTGTTTCTTCTGGTATGGTTGGATCAGCACGACGCTTTTTTGCCCACGGTTGTATTTCACCTGAGCCAATGAATAAGAATACAAGCATACCAATAATATAGATAGTTGCACAAATAAAAAAGACATAACGCCAATTGTTTGGATCCTATACAGGCATTAGTAGAATACCTCAATATACATAAAAAATCTTTTAATACTGACTTTGTCTGTAAGAGCACCGACAACAGATGGACTTATAACACCTGGTAATGTAGCAAACGTATTTGAAATACCAAAGATGATTCCTGCATAAGGTGGAGCAATATCATTTGATGTAAGCAAAAATCCTCCACCATAACAACATCCACTACATTCAATGAAAGATGAATAGAAAAATAATTAAATACACAAAATACATACGTAAAAGTAACACCAATTGTTAATAAAGCTACAGCAATATATTTAATTTTACATGTCATGAATGCTAATGCAATAACAAATATTGCTGGAAGTAAATTTCCTAATACATTAAATAATTTTCTTGTTTGCGTTCTTGTTAAAGTATTTTTTCGAATAAGTGCATCAGCTACTGCACCAGATATATTTATATTGAGCCAAAACATAAGATATGGTAGCGATGAGAGTAATCCATTCTATGTTAAGAAAATAATGACATCATTTTATGTCAATGATAGTTTTTATTTACGTACTGATTTAATATCAAATCTTAATACTTCTGACATATATTTTGGAATCGATGTAAGAAATGTATATGTTCCCCAATTATTGCACGTATGAATAATAAAAAGTGCCCAGCAAGCAGGTGATGTTAAAATATCTTTCCATGGAGCTTCAAATTCGTTTTTATCATGATGTGATGTTTGTTGTTGTGTAGAATCCAGTATATAATTTTTTTCTCGATTACTAATACAACGTTGATCACGAGGTGAATCAGCATAAAAAATAATCCAAAAAATACCCCAAATAAAACCCATAATACCTGTAGAATAAAAAATTAATGGCCAACCACCAACAAAACTCCATGAACACATAAGACCACCAATAGATAATGTCAGAACATTACCAATTTGAGCACCTGAACATAAGCGAAATTTTTTATAATTTTAAACAAATTTAATTTACCAGCATTCATAAAACCGATAAGTTTTCCTCTTTCATCAGGTGGTGCCCAATGTGACATAATAACAGCCATACAAGGCCATATAACACCATGTGCCAATCCAACAATTAATCGTAAAAACCATACTATACCCCAATGTAAACTAGCACCCCAAGGAATAGCTACTGAAAAAGCACCAGCTACAAGCATAGCTCCGCCAAATATAAGCCGAGCACCATATCGACCAGCCAAATATCCACCAGGTATTTCAGTAATCAAATATCCCCAAAAATATCCACCTAAGACCATACCTTGAATATTTTTTGTCCAAGGATATGGACCTTCCTATGAAAATATTAGAAAAGAACATAATAAGTTTTTTGTTTCTTTTTTTCGATTTACAATTGTAACAGTATTATTCGGGCGTGGACAATCAATGTCAGCCTGTGTAATAGGCATAGCAACAGAAGTTTTCTGTTGAAGAATCGATGAATGATTGACCATGCAAACAAGAGCCATACCAATACTGATCTTTTGTGAATAATGTGCAACCATACCAAGAAATCCAACAAAAGCAACTGCGACACGAATCGAACACAAAAAAGAGACTAGGAATATTAAAAACAAAAATTCATCATTCCAAGTAAAAATATTTATAATTATTATATACCCGATTTCGGTTGTTTAATAACTGTTTCCTTCATTGTCTTTTGCTTGATTGAAAATAAGAACAGACGATGATTTGAAAAATTTTCTTTTTCGAATATGAAGATTTGTGTGACACTTTTATGTTAATGTAGCATATAGAAAAGTAAATATCATCTAAATAACAATCTCAAAAATACCCTTTCTGTCTTTTTGGTGCATTGGATTCATTCACTTTGTTGTTCTCATTATTCACAGTTCTTTTTCTTTGGAGTGAAAAGAAGAAAAATTCTTCGAATACCCGTATTTTTTTTTCTTTCATACCATGCATAAAAATTACTCACTTTATTATTTTAACATAAAAGAAAAAAACAACGAAAATGTTAATACGCACAAAAAAAACAACAATGTCCATGAAGATAAAACATCTTGATTACTGTCTAAACACATATGCACAACATATACAGACACACACACACGTACACTATCTGATAAAAAGGGGAGTAGAGAAAGATCAGAATCATTTTTTGTGAATAGTTTTAATTTTTGTTAAAATTGTTGTTATCTAACGAAAGAAACATTTCACCGGAATAGATGACAAAAAAAATCATCGAAAAGATAAATTATTATGGATTATTTGCTTTCAATGTTCATTAACAATCTCGCCTGGGAAAAATGTTCAATGTCTACAACGCATGGACCTTCTTCAAATGGTTCTCCGTCACATTGACAAGGGAAACGACGTCTAAGTGTTAACTAGATAAAAGATTTTAAAATTAATAATATATATTTTAAATATAATACAAATTTACTTTAACTCGACGAGCTTGTCCTATACGGAATGGATCAGCAAGACCAACTTGCATTTGTGCTATATGAAATGAACTATAAATTCCAAAAACTTCAACTAAACCATCATCAATTCTAAATGAATAAAGAAAAAAAGATCAATAAGAAACGATTATCATTGAACATTATTTTTATTTACTGCTGAACTGGAATATTTTCACCTGCTCCCCAAACACGAACACCTGCACCCCATGATGGAATATTTAATATACAAATACCTTCTAATGCTGGAAGATTTTCAATAACTCGTCCATCCATTTCAAGCTAGAATATTCAATATAATCATTGATTAAATTTTCATCAAAATCTATACAACTACATACAATAGCATTGTTTTGTAGATCTTTGCATTCCTCTATAAGAAAAAGAAAAACAATAACATTTGAATTCAATTCGTCAACTTCGTAGTTACGAAGAAAAAAAACAAACAAACGTACTTAAAAAAGTATCTACTGTTCCATAATGAAAATAATGTAATTTATTAACAAAACGGCTAGCAAAAAATTCTGGTATTTTCTCGCGACGACGATGGAAGTTGAGTGTAACTAATGCATCGCAACCAACTGAAAAATAGTTCGACATACGCATATGCTATAAACAGAAAAAAAAAACTAGATAATAGAAATATTTAATGATTACACAAGGCATACACGTGCACTGGCTGTTGCTACACCAAAATGTCGAGCATTGGCACAAATATCTACTGACCATCTTATCAACGAAAAATTTGTTTTTATGAATCTAATATGAAAAAGATCTTACCGATCAAGAGCAACAACTTTTGCAGCCATTAAATTTTTTAAATAAATACTGACATCAACAGCAGAATCTTCTCCATAACCCCATTGTAAAATACGAGCTAAATCATTACCTGTACCCATTGGAAGAATACCAACAGCAGGTTTTATCTAATAGAAAAATAATAGTTTTTTTTATCGAATTTAAATACATCCACTTACGCCTGATGTTGTATTTTCAATACTTTCTAAAATCCAATTAACTGTTCCATCACCACCACATACAAGAATATAAAAACCAATATTTGGAAGTGAATTACACCATTCAAGAATTGAAGCAGGTGAGATCGTTGAAATATCAATAACCTAAATATTACATAAAATAATGAAAACATCGATCATTAATTAAAAAAACAATAATAAATATATCTTACTTGTACAGAATTTAAATAAGTTCGAAATGAATTAAGAACAAGATCCGTATTAGCTCCACCTGATTTTCGATTACCAATAATGAGTAATGGACACCAATCATCAAAACCACATGGTAAAATACGTTCAACTACTGAATGAGCATATCCAACAATTTTTTTATTTCCAGTACGTGAAACAACAGCATTAGGCTAATAGAAAAATAGCAGAGATCAAATAGATGCATATATATATATATATATATATATAAAGATGTATTCAAAGTATGACATAAAATACTTACTGGTATAATCAACCGTCGAAATTCACCGAAATCGCATTCAATAGGTAATGCTCTCATACATGAATCATGTACAATACGTTGACACCATATACATCGATAGTCACACAGTCTTGGTTCAGCTCCACATGGTCGTCGACAAATAGTACATTCAGAATCTAATGGTAAATTACCTCGAGTCCATTGATGTTGTACTTGTTCTTGTTCGCTTGTCATATGTTTACAATGAAAAAGACGTCGAGCAATACGCACACAATATTCGTGTAAATAAATTCCACATGATGAACAATGAAAACCGGTTAATAAAGTTGAGGAACAAACATTACATAAAGTTGGTTGTATAAGATATTCATCAAATGGCCATAAATGATGTACGTCATCGACAAGACGGTGGTGACGAAAATAACGACGACGACGTTTTGTTAAACAAGAAAAAATTATAATAAATCCTGTTACAAATGAACAAAATAGTGCAATTGACCAGACATTCTCTGTGAAAACTCGAACACGCATTATCGAGAACGAGATGTAAAATACATCTGAAATAAAATATTATAAGAAAAAAAGACTCTTAATATACATCAAATACATCAAATACATCGAAAATAAATATAGAATAAAAAAAACGATGTATTCAAATACCAAAATGTTTTCAATCACATTTTAAAGATGGATGTTCTTTCAAAAATTCAGTTAATTTCTCATCCATAGCAGATGTCGACTGCTGATAAAGAAGATCAGTAATAGATCGATCTGCTTGACATAATTCTTCATTATCCTTTAATAAGTTTTCATAAATATCAAATCGAACAAATGGTTCTATTGAACCATTATGTGTTTGGTTTTCACGTCTATGTCCATTACTTCTTGATGCATTACGGTTTCTTTCTCGTTTTTGTTGTATTTCATTATGTTTGGTAATAAATTTTTTCACTTCATCGACAGTAACTTCACCATCAACGATTCGTCGCATTGTATTTGGTTTAATTGAAAATGGGGAAGGTTGACTTACATTCTTTGGTTGATGAAAAAAATGAATAAGTAAACCCATATCTTGAAGAGTAATGTCCTCGTTAACAGAATTATTTGTCTTCTGAAATCTTTCTTCAATTTTAATAAGAATATCTTGTGCTGGATTAACTGCACTTATAGATTCACGAAGAAGATCAATAAAATCAGTTGGAATATCATGTTCAGAAATACCTTAACAAAATTAAATTTGAAATTTATTTTTATTTATTTGAATAAAAAAATACCTGTTTTTAAATACATTTCATAGAGTTTATCAGTCATCATAACAAATGCAAAATCTTGAGGACTAATTCTAAATTTATCAAACCTTGGTTCACATACAAGTGCACTGCAACGTGCTTCATTAACATCATTGGCTGATGCTGCTGATGAAAGTAATTTTTCAGATAATTTTCTATAAAATAATAAATATAAATACAAATACAAATAGTAGAGAAACAAAAGGACAAGTTCTTACCCAATACATCGAGTAAATTTAGAATGATTATTATCCAAACCATCATTTTTAACTTGTGCAAGATTAACATTAAGATTTCTTAATCGAAGACTTTCATCATCATTATCAATTGTATGTAATGAACCGGTATGATAATATTGTGGTCGATTATTCAATATACATAAGTCACCATTATTATTCGATATAAGAAAAGCTCGAATAGTTCCTATGTAAAAATAATTATACATTAAAGACAAAGAAAATTTTCTATTAAGTTTACTAACCAACATATGCAATGTAAACATTTGATTGTGTAACAGTAGCAGCAAATAGAAAAGCACCAGATTGAGCTTCACCTAATGAAGGTAAACATTTTTCAGCAGTACCATCACTTGATGTTGTCAATGTTGCTTTCTCTTCTGCATGATCAAATGTCATTTGTAATAAACGATTTTCCGTTTCATAAAAAATTTGTTGCATACTATCACTAATTTTCTTTTTATATGATTCATCTTCGAATGATATTTGACTTAATTGCTCTACAAGCATATTAACACAAACATCAGATGCAATCATATTTGTATCCATTGGATCAACAAGTGCATAAATAGCTATTGAATTATTATTTGTTCGAAGACGACATACACGTGGAACAAGTGATCGTTGAAGATTATTCGAAAAACTTTCATCATATGTCTGATTTTGTTTAACTCTTGTAGCAACAAATGTATGTTGACACGGTATAAAACTCGAAAGATTGCTTGAATTCGTTGGAGTATTTGTCGATGACGACGACGACGATGCTGTACTAACACTAGTGGCCATCTAAAAACAGTAATAGAAGTCATGTTGATTATTCATGTTTGAACGAAAAATGAAAATAATGTTATATTAATAAAATTTAGTCTTTGCGTAACAAGAAAAAAACAACGAAAAAGAAAACAAATACAACTAAACGAAAATAATATCAGAATGGTCGTAAAATCTCCCTAAATAAAGCATAGCAAGAACAAATACGTCGAGTACCATTAAAAAAATATAATGTATACACTTCTTGAGCTCTTCTCTCTTGAGCTTTGATTGCAATCACTATTATTTAAACATGTATGACTGACTAGAACATTGCAAAGCGAGAAAAATAGATCGCAGTTAACATTCTCTAGCCATGAAAAAAAAATTTATACCGACAAAGAAGGAACGATGAAATAAATAGATTATTGGCAAATAAAACGCATCTATGACACCTTTGTAATATCCAAAAAGCAAGATTACTAACTTGTCAAAAATACATTCTCAACCGTTCTTTGGTTTTTTTTTGTTTATCAAATTTTTTTTCTCACAGTTCAGTGTTCTTTTTAAGACATGTTTTAAACGTATGTTCAAGTCGATAGATACTCGTAGACAATTGAGTAAAACCATTAATAAGTGAAACAAGTTCTGAACGTTGTAATTGTATTGGATTCTCGGCAAAAAGAATTTTTAATGTTGTACCTGAAAAATTAAAGATAAATCAATAAATCAAAACTAATCACTAACTATTCTCCATTTCAAACATAAAAAATATCGACGGTTGTTTTTTGAATAACATTTGATAGGGAACGACGATGAGAGCTGAGACTTTTGTCATTCAACAGAAAACATTCAAGTCATTGAAGTAAATCGAAATCTGCTTGGTCAGCAATTGATCAACCAAGTGAGTTCTTTGCGAAGATTTCAAAAACGAAATTCTGAAATTATTTCCGATTAGATTTTAACTTGTAATATAGCTAATTGATCGAGAAACGTCTTCCCTGTCGATCTACGTAGATCCAAAATTTTTAGTTGCTTACATTCAAGAGGTGCAGCGGTTTTTCTAATACTAATGATTTCAACTAATTGACCTTGGAAGACTCGAAAAGAACTTGAGACAGGAATGATTCACCAAGTTGAGTGGAATGGTAATGTTTGTTTTCAGTTTCAAAGCGACCTATGTGACTACTATTTGAATATTTTCAGAACGTCGATTTCTATGCTGTATAAGGGAAATTTTTGAAATTTCAAAAATACCGAAATAATGGCCACAGATCACATTGAAGCTGAAAACTAACATCATCAGTCGACTTAACATGGTGAATTATCCGTGTATGGAGCTCTTTTGGAGACTTGCAAGGTCAACTTGCTGAGATCGGACAATCTCAGGAAAACCCTTGTAACTCGTGAACGAAAGTTGCTACGAAGTGAGTGTTTACGTACATCGAAACAGAAGATTTTTCTCTATCGATCGGTCATATTATAAATCAAAATCTAATGAGAAATGATTTTAGATTTTCATTTTCAAATTAGTCACTAAGAAGTCTTGTGACTGACTGATCAATTGCTGGCCAAGCAGATTTCAATTTACTTCGATAGCTTCGGGTTTCCTCTCATGAATAGTGAAAACCTTAACTCTCTTTCTCGTTCCTATCAAAAGTTATTCAAAAAACAAACAACCAGAAGCATTTTTTTGAAATGGACAATAATATTAATAATTTTTTTTTTCTTCTTCTTACCCAATGCTTGTATTTGTAATTTTCCCCATAATTTACATTTATCACATCCAACACAATCCATTATCCGACTTATATTATGAAAATGTTCTTTAAATTCGATTTTTAATTGTTCATTACCATTTCTAAATAGATCATTCTCATTAAAATGATTAGCAAATGGTTCTATTTCTTTTAATAAATTATCTCTTATTAATTGTTTTGTATGTAAATCATCAGTTTGATTTCCAGTAAAATATGTTTGACTTTGTAAATAATCACGTGCTTTATAAATCGCACGTAATTCAATTAAATAAATAAAATAAAGATTTTTCAACCATGTTGGACCTTCTCCACCTGTTGTTTCAGGATCAAAACGATGTTTAAATTCATCAAGATTTGGTGCCCATCGTCCATCAGTACCTGAATAACCACCGCCAAGTATTGGATAAAAATATTGTGCACATAAATGTATACTAATACTTGAATGAAGACCTGATACAAGACGATAAAATGTTCGTCCTTCAACACACATTTTGTCTGCATTTAAACGTTTTTGTCTTAAATCATAATAAAGTTTTGAATCAGGTAGAAAAAAACAGTTTTCATTATAAATAGCTGACCATATTCTTTGTGTTGATATACCTGAATAACCAGTATAACGTTCAATATTAGCTAATAAATCAATATATTCAAGATCAGTTGATGTTTCATCATCAACATCACAAAAATTTTCTGATTGTACATCATCAAATTTCATCCAATTTTCAATAGTTTTTTTATGTTCTTCACTTAAATTTGTATCAACAAGACCAAGAGTTGAATTTGTATCGATTGCTGAACATTTTATTTCATTATTTTGTTCATTTTGTTTTGTATTTATTAAACGATTTGATTTATCGCTATTAAATGAATCACGTAATGTTTCAGGTAATTTTTCAAGAGGACATGATTTTATTTCACATGTACGAAGTGAACATTGACCATCACGAGGCCAAAATTGACATGTTTTTTTAAGATTAACTGGAAAAAAACGAAAATAATTTTTTTGTACGATTTGACGTAACAATGGATATAAAAGTTGATTATTTAATTGATTTAAATCTGATATATGACAATTGCAATCATCAACCATATCATTATTACGAGATAATTGACAGTCGTCATTAGTAGAAATTTCTTTTATATAACAACCATAGAACAATAGAATAATTAGTAAAGAACAAATTTTTAAAGCCATTTGTATCTGAAGAAAAAAATAATAAATATGTATATAAATGAAACAAATGAAATTTAGCTTTCGTCAATAAATAGAAAGTAAAACTATTTTTGTACTACGTGTCACTATTAAAGTGATTCATATATGAATACATGGAAAATTGCCACATGAATAAACAGAGAAATTATACAATTGAGAAGATCCAATCATTATTGTTCACGACACATCAATTTGTCAATAACAACAACCAATCAAAATATAGAATGAATAAATAAGCAAAAGAACACTCTTTCATGAATTGGGTTCATAGCGCTAGTATTCTATACGATATAAATAGACTAATAAAAATTAAGGTTTCTATTTGTTTGTTTAAAGTCCAGTTTTATTTGTGCCGTTAATTATATCTTTGTAAGAAAAATAGAAAAACAAACAAGCAAGACTTCAGCAATTTTTATTCGTTAGTCATCAAATTCAATATGGCTTTTACATTTGTAGCTTTAGCCTACATTATTGCATTGATTTTGACAGCTTTACTTATCTTTTTCGCTATATGGCATGTAAGTTTATTCTTTTGACTTTTATTAAAAATTCGTGATAAAATAAGAAGTTCTTTCTATAAATAGATTATTGCATTTGATGAATTAAAGAATGATCATAAAAATCCCATTGAACAATGTAAATCATTAAATCCATTAATTATTCCTGAATATGCCACACATATTTTTATGAATATATTATTTCTTTTGGGTGGAGAATGGTTAACATTATTTTTCAATATACCATTAATTTCATATCATATGAATAAATTTCGTACACGTCCAATAATGAGTGGATTGGGTATATATGATCCAACAACAATAATGAATGCTCAAGTATTAAGTGTAGCACAGCGTGAAGGTTGGATTAAACTTGGTTTTTATATGATAACATTCTTCTATTATCTTTATTGTATGATTGCTGAACTTATTCGTGAATAGATCAAATGAAATAAACTTTGCACTTGTCATTAATCAAAATGAACTTCATTTGTTTGTTCTTCGTTTTTCTTTCTTTCTTTTGCTTGCGATTTTTGTTGTCAAAATGAACAAAACCAGCAAAATTATATGTGTTGTCTTCTTGTGTTTTTTTTCTTCTTCTTGGCTTCATCTAGAAGATGTTTTTCTACTGATTATTCTAGATGACAAATAATCAATCGGGTTATTTTCTTAAATTATCATCTCAACCAATTGTTTTCGAACCAATTAGTAATGGTACAAGTGTTTTCTATGATAAAGATAATCAACAATTATTTTGTGTTCGTGGTTCAGGTGCAATGGGTAAGAATAAATTAATATAATATTTAATTATTTTTCTAGATCAATAATGTCTTATGAACATGAAGAAAATACAGATAGTTTTCGTTTTACTCGACGTAAAAAACAAAATCGTCGAATTATATTAAATTCAACCATAAATGAAAATCAATTATCATTTAATCAAGAACAACTAATAAAAAATATTGAAAATAAAATTGAAATTATTCGTAAAAGTTATTTTTGGCAACAATTTGAAAATTATTTTCTTCAATGGATTAATCAACAAATAACATCTATTGATATATTATCATATGGTATTGGTCATATAAGTTCATCAATATGTTCACAATATCAATATGCATTATTAAAATTATTAGAAAGAATATTTGAAAATAAAATTCAAAATATTTATCTTTATGATCCAATTTGGATAAAAGAAGAAAATGATTTTCTTCAAAATAATAATACATTTTCAAAATATGAAATTTTAACAGAAAATAATCAAGCTTATCAAATAATTAATCGTTCATCATTTATTTATATACCATTTTGTTCAAAACCTATACATAATAATTTAATTTATTCAAATTGGAATAAAAATAAATTAAAAGATATTTTATTTTTTGGAAATAGTCTTGAAAAATTTTCTAATGAAATACAATTTGATGAAAAGAAATTTTTTTATATTTATCAAGCAACAAGTTTTGCAACAGAAATTTCATTACCATTATTTGAACATTATATAAATGCTTTTAATGAACAAGTATTTACATCATTTAATCGAACTGTTGTTCCGATTGTTAATGAAAATAAAATTATACAATTAAAACGAGAAAAAAATAAAAAAAATATTGAGAATAAAAATCAATTAGAAAAAATAACTATCGAACAACTAGCAGAAAATATTTGGTCTCTACATATTAGACCGATCTATACGAATGAGGACGAAATTGTTGTAAGCTCTCATTGTGATATAAATAAATAACATAACTTTATTATCTTCAAAAAAGAAAAGAATGTTTTGAATAAATAGATGTATTTCTTCTTTGTTTTTAGGCGTGACTGTGAAAGGACATCGTCATGAACAAGCTTATTCATTTCGTCTTGAAGATAAAGGTGCAATACAATCTATTAAATTCAATCCTGATCTTTCTGTATTAGCCATAAAACGTAATTCCAATTCAGTTGAATTTCTTAATTTTGCTCCTATTCCACAAACAATATCATCATCATGTCCATCAACATCAACAACAGCTACAATACTTCAACCAGATGCTATTGAATATTCACAATTATCAAAAACAAAATCAAGTAAATTATATGATTTTAATTGGTTATCAGATAAAGAAATTGTTTTTGTTACTGATCAATCAATTGAACATTATTTATTAAATGCTGAAAAACGAACATTACGTTCACTTAAACAACATCTTGTACCAAATACAAATTGGCAATTATTTTCACGTGAAATGAATCTTCTACTTATATCAGCTGGTTCACCATCGGGTAATTCATTAATTCCATTTTCTTTCCATAAAATGCAACAACAACAATTAGTTAAATTACCAAAATTTGAAGTCGATTTACCACAAGCACAAACAACTATTCAACGTTCAAATTCAGTTGCATCAAATTCATCAACTCAATCAGCAAATAGACGATGTTATGAACTTACCGAACGTGATTGTATGCTTGCAACTATCTATGACAAATCTTATCTATTAGTTATTCGTCAAGTATTTCGAGTTGCTGGTTAGTATTTTTTTTGTTTTGTTTCATATGAGAAATTTTTTTTACATATGCTGCAAGGATCTAAATTCAAATGAATAGGATTTTAAATACATTCAACTGAAGAGACACAACTTGTAGCATGACGTTGAATTCGGTGAGAAAAATGTATTTTATTATGAAAAGTATACAGAAATGAAGTGTATGCCTTTGGGAATTGGTTGGATTAGAAAAGGTGTGGATGCAATTGAAAATGAGAAAGTGGAGTGTGTATGGGCGAAGACACGAGCCACACCCACACCCACACCCTTGAATAATTATGAGCCAGGTATCATTTTATTTTGAATATATTGTAGAAATCAAAGAGAAATTAAAGCAACAACATTATAATATTAGTCATTAATTTTAATATTCAAGTTACTCAATGAAGCATTTGAGAATAGTTAACAGTAAAAAGATGAATTTCTCGATTCAAGTCAACATGAAAGAAATACACTTCATTTCTATATACTATTTATATTAAAACCAATTTTTCATGCTTATTTCTCACGGTACTGAATTAAATTTTAAGAAAATAGGAACTTACAATGTCATGTAGGTTTTTGCAAAAATCGAGCCAAAAATAAAATAAATGTGATAGTTCAATGAATGAAAGAAGAGTTTTTCAACTTTATAGGACAAGGTTCAGTTGAAGTCGTACTCTATCAAATAGAAACTGATCATAAACCTGCTCAAAAACGTCATATATTACGATTAAATGTATATGGTAAATGTGCATTAAATGTTGTCGATAATCTTGTTTTAATTCATCATCAACCAACGAAAACAACCTATGTTTATGATATAGAAGAAAATTCCACTTCACAACATGATGGTTTTCAAACTATACATGAACCATTACTATCACAACTTTCTATACAACCAATTAATGTTAATTGGCAATTAGCATCATCAACAATATCAACATCATCAACAACAATTGAATTATATTCATCGAATTGGATTGTTTTTTTACCAAATGTTATTATTGATGTAAAAATGGGTTGTTTATGGTATTTATTAATTAATTTAGATTATTTACTTGATCTTATACCTGATCGTTTACTTCTAATTGATATTTTATTAAGACGAATACATGGTAAATCATCAATACTTACTTTACTTCGAACATTATTAACAAATATAATTGCACCTGTACAAATTGATTCAAATAATGTATCAAATATAAGTTCATCTAATGTACTTGATTGGTGGATTGAAATTATTGATAGAATAAATCGTGTTTTTATTGAGAATTCTCCTAATCGTCCATTATTAGATCAATCAGATGTATATTCTGTTCTTTCATTATTTTCAACAATTGTATCAATATCAACAATAGGAAGTACAACAACACTTCATCGTTCATTATCAATAGCATCAAATGATACAATATTAGATGATAGTCATCAAACAAAAGCATTGAAATTTGCTATAAGTATTGTTATTGAATATATTCGTTCATTAAATGGATTTAATATTGAAGTTCAATATTTTATTTATGAATTACTTGTTAATTTACTTGTTAAAAATAATCAATTTTTTCAACTTCAACAATTAATTCAATATCAAGTTTTAACGGATTCATTAAAACTTGGTAAAAAAAAACAATAATTATTTCTTTTTCTATTCTCATGAAATAATTACAGTAAAACCTCTCATAGTGGACACCTCTGTAAAATGGACAGTTTTTGAAGTTTCAGCTTTCATTTATTTTTTTGCTGGACATCAATCTTCCTATAGTGGACATTATCATAATCTTCTATGGTGCGTGCTTTCGAAAAGTCCGAATGGGGGCACTATAGAAAAGTTATACTGGAGTTATGATTTTAGTTATGAGAGTTTAGTCTATTCTTTCATTAATGGAGTTAATTCGGTTAGCTTCGAAGTATTTCTGAATCACTTTCATTATTGAAATTTTCTATTGTCATACAATTCGTCAACGAAAGAATACTTCGTAGACATATAGGTCTTCAGTTGAAAAACAACAAAAGTCAAAGTTTCAAAACATGTTGAAATCTGATCGTAAGAACTAATATTCATTTCCGAAAAAGGTAGATGAATATTTTTTGATTAACTTTTGTTAATGCTATGGTTTTCACTGTTGAAAAGAGGAGATGAATTCAGATCCAATCAAATATTCTAGATTTTCCTAAAATATTTTCCGAAATGTTTTAATCAATTTTCTAAAAAAAAAATGCTGGAAAAATGGTTTCTTATAGGATAAGAAAAAAAGTAAATAACTGATTCGTCTTTTACGACAAATTCTCGAAAAATAGGCGAAGAATTCTAAGTAGAATACCTATAATTGATTAAATGTCATAACGTGTGCCTCGTATAGTTTTGTACATCTTCGATGAGCGGTTCGAATCAACACCTTATAGTTGAAAACCTTCAAAAAACATCCGCATCTTTTTTTAAAATAGACAATTAAAACTGTACAAGCATAAATGTATTTATCGTCCTAGAATCAAGATTTCAGACGATACAAGCATTAATGACAGCAAGTTATTGTTAGTCATCGATTTATAAACATGGACTTGTTTTCTTGAGAAGAAATCATCATAGTGACAACTAAAATTTTCATCTACAACACTAATTCGAGGAGAAAATAAATAAAAAAATAAATAATAAACATAATTTTTCTTTTAGCTTGTCTCCTTCTTTCTCTGTCTCATAAACAACAACCAACAACACAAATAGCACTTGATATGCTTAAACGTTTAACAAAAGCAAATGAAGAAATTGTTGAAATACTTCTTGGAAATAATTTCGTGATAGAAGCACTTCATTTCTGTATAGAACATATACCAATAACACGAGCATTAGCANATATGTTCTACGTGCAATTTTTGTATTATTTTGATTGAGAAAACATATTATAGGTTTTATTATTTTGATTTTCGTCCGAAATCTAAACGCTAAATATTTTGCTGTTCTTCAAGTAGCAGGTGGTATTTCATAGTGGGTAGCAAGATGTATCGCTTTTGTCTGTGATAATATCAGTTCACACACAAAATGAGTTAATCCATTCGCTTTTTTATCTATACACAAGGGTAGTGAAGTTATTAGTGAGCAAATTTATCGATTACGAGATGTACTTCTCGTTATTCTTAGTCACGGAATTGATCTTTATTTATATATGATTGGGTTCATCACCTCTTTTATATTATTTATAAGTCTCCGATTAGAAAATCATCATCATCACGACTGTCTATATATTCCTGTTGTTACTCATGCTAGCAGAAGAACTCTTGAAACATCAAATTCAAACAAAAAACATTATAGATGTGTTCGATTTGGGAAATGATGAAGACTCGACGAAATTAGAACTATGTTAATATTTCAGACAAGAATTTCGAAAACTAGATGATAAACTTGCAGATTGATGTTGTGTTTCTACGAGCCTTTGCTTTTATTTGTCAAAGATTGAAGATTCTTTTTAATAAATGTTGTATTCAATAAAATTGTCTATCCAATCAACATATTCTTCATCGTTCAAACTTGAATAGAGTATGAACAACATCATTAGATATGTTACAAATATCGAGTGGTCGCTTGAAAATATCTGAAGACAATTGTACCAAGTTTATGCAAAAAGCGAATTATATTATTGCAGAAAATTTTTTATCTAATTTACAAATTTAAATTTTTTCATAATTCTGAGTTTGGATGTTTTACAAAGAACTGAACAACACTAGCAAACCTTAAAACTAGCTATGAACGTTTTATGTTTTATATTGTTTTTCTTTATTTTTCTTGTTTATTTATTGTACATTTTTGAGAATAAAGAGCATAGATAGATTCATATATGCATTCTATCTTTTCTTTTTATTAATATACACCACATCATGAATTTAGACCTCTGTTTACGTTATTTTCCCGTAGATATTCGTTAAGTAAATCCTTGTATTCCATTATGTTCATGTGTAATCAGATATGAGTTTTTATTTGAATTTATCTGGTTCACATGACCAAGGATGAATAATATAATTATATTTATTCATTCGAAATTTAGTTTTGTTTGCCTAATTGACAAGAATGAACTGAAGTTTTGTGCGATTTTTTCAGATAATGTTTTTAGTCGTATGCTTTAATTGACTTGCATGGCTAATTGAGATATTCGAAGGTCAGAATAAAAAATCTTGTAATTTGATTTAAACAAAGAAGTATTCATTGCCAAGATTATCGTTTTAGTGTTTATAAATTTTGCATTACTAACAATAGGCACATAATAAATTTTTTCATATATTTTACAACTGAAAACGGACAATGAAAACTACTACCATGTTTATTTTCAAAAAATCGTATGTAAGTTGTTTCATGTTACTCTCCGAGAATTTGTCATTTTTCGTGAAAAAATCGAAATGATTGATTTAGTCGAAGAATATATTTGTCTTTTATATTTCGAATTTTTTAAAATTAATTGATTTATATATGACAGAAACTTGTTAAAACTATACATGATTTATATGAATATGATAGTCTCCATGCATTCTCACGTGTCGTTAATGACAGTTGATAATAAGTATCACACATAACATTGATCTGTTTTTCTTATCTATCAAATATTCATGTTCAAATTTGTCACCATAGATAGACAAAAATTTTGAAAAACAAAGAATCAAAGCTCTTCGTTCAACATAATTTATGTAGAAGAAATTTGAAATCTTCGAAAAAAGAATATACGTTCATTGACAAATATACTCATATTGATAAAACAATGCATTGTCTTGTCCATCATCTTAATCGAACATTCTTTAGTCGAACTGGTAAATACTATTTGAAAATTGTGATTTACTTCTAGGATTTTATTGGATAAATACCATTAACGCATTAAGCATTTTCTCTAGTAGATTTACTCTGTTGAGTGATGGAAAAGTTTTATTTTTATTTTTTATTCGAATGGAAAAAAAAGAGTTAAAGCTTTATGAATGACACAGCTGCGAAGCAATAAAGTAAAGATAAATTCGTGTTATGATGATAAATAGAAATGAATGAGTTCATTTTGAATATGCTTTATTTGGGACTAATGCACACTTTTGCACGACAGCTGTTAAGACAGCATTTTTGATCATCTTGGCAATCATTGTCAACATCACAAAAATGCAAATCACATACGCCCCAATACGGAGCATCTTGATGAGACTTTGGCAATGGACATGTACCATCTTTGGGTGTATCGTCTTTGGGAACAAGACAACGATTTCCACATGGTTTAAGAGGAGTATAACAACATTTCTTGCCATTTGGACAGTGATCACTTTCAAGTGAACATTTATCAACACATGGTTCTTGTGGACGAACAAATCCATAGCCAGGACATACTAAATCTGTATTGGCAACGGTAACGATTGCCAATACTACGAAAATGTATGCAATAATAGACATGTTATTGTAAGACAAAAAAATGAAGAATAACACTATTCGTATAGCCTTGTTATTGTGAAAAAAGAATGAAAAAAAGAAGAAAAGCAAAACTAGAAACCGGCCTGAGCTAGTGAAGCGTATCATTATTGACTACTTTAATTCGATGGCGTAGGTGTATAGGATAAAAGAATGTTGTTATATAATAGTCATCAGATTCACATGAAGTGATAAATAATACGCACTAAATATAGAATAAATAATGCAGTTAACAACATGCACAATAAATAAATGATGACTAATATATCACATTAAGCTATTGATATAATACATATCATGACATATGTAAATCACTCAAGCACTCTAAACAACTAATATTTAAAGTTCATATAATTTTAGCATGTACTGATACACTTTTCGTGCATAGTTACAAGTCTCATAGTGTATTACCTTCTTAAACGAGAAAAAGATCAGAAAACCAGGACATAGCATTGATTATAGCTACCTTCGCTGCAAGGTCTGTAATTGTTCTAATGAACGTACTTAAAACAAATACTTCTATCGAATTCATTCCATCAAAGTACTAACAACGCAGTTTGTTCATACAGTAACAATCTTGCTGATATTGATTGAAAATTTTAGAAGAGATTCTTAACATATAGCAAAAGAAGAATTTTTATTCGAGGAAACATGGAACGTAGATATATTTCCATCCATCACGATTGGAATATTTCTCTGATAATATCGAATCATGATATTTATTAAGAAACAGAATCAGTTTCATTTTGAAACCTATATTATCATGAAAAAATAATGAGTTATTGAAACAGTCATAGGCAATACAGATAAGCCAGGTGCTATTTAATGATCCTAAAAGTAAAGTAAGAGTATCGTCAAACTAAATTAGTTTATACATATCTAAAGAAACCATTTAAACATTTTAACCACAATAAACAAGGTCCTATTGGTTATTGTTCTTTTGCTGCATATAACACTAACAAACGTTCAAACTTTTTCCAGCGACATAATCTTTTTACTTATATTCATAAGAAAGTGTGAAACAAGGGAATAATAGCTTTTCGTAATATTTTCTACAAAGCAACAGGTGCTGTTTTTTTCTTGTGATACAGTTAATTCTATCTTAAATATTTAAAATCTACACTAAAAATTCTTATTATAAGAGTGTGGCATACATTTGCTTCTCGCGAAAAGTATTAAGAAAAAATATTTTGTCTAAATTACTCGCAAAAAAAAGGTGAATGAAATTTATTTTCGACTTTTTAAAAGGAGAAAAAAATTAAAATACATTCATCTCCCAAAATAACTTATAATCATTTCTGTAAAAATAAAGATGATATTAGATCTCTTTTTCCATCAATGACATATACTTGATCAAATGAGGTTGGAACAATCTTCACACGGCTAAGCATATTTAAGACATAAACAATAAAGATACATTTAGTTTGAATTAATATGATTCGAATTTTTTAAATAGTTTTTCTTTTATTTGACTGATAATTTTAAGTATTGCATAAAATTCTCTCTTGATTCAAGGTTAATCAATAATTAACTTTTTCTAGAAGGACTTATGTAAAAAAAGAAATTTTGTATCAAATAGCAAACTATTAAATCTTATAATTTATTACATTATCAAGAGAAAGTGTTTTTTTTGTTAACGATTAGATACTTTTCAATATTCAATCATATACTGCAAAGAACACCTCGAGCACAAAAGTTCTTCTATGTCACAATAGTATGTCACATAGTGTTTAACTAACAACAGTTAATAGTTCGACGAACATCGTCTTTGACTAAAGAGGGAATGTTTTTAACTGACCAAACGTTTTTGAATTGAGACTATTCATAAAGTAGAGCCCAATGAGATAATAAAAACCTTAAGAGGGTAAGTCTTATTAGATCGTCTATTCAAAGTTGTAGGTATTTTAGTGGAATCTTCGCCTCTTGTTTATTACATACTGAAAAACTGAATGACGGTATTTTGACCTGAAATTTTGCTCAAAGACAAATCTATTTATTGGTAGAATACTCTTCAGATTTCAGCGCACAGGAATATTTCGTTCGTGATATATTAAAATTAAAAAAAAATCGAAAATTCAACAATCTCTCATAGAATATGCTTAATTTTTGTGACTTTAATCTCTCGTAAAGAAAATATTCTATTGAGCTGATATTTCCAAGACACTCTACTGACAAATAGACTAGTGTGTGAGCAAAATCTCAGGTCGAAATATCATTATTCGGTTTGTTGGTATATACCGAGTCAGAGGCTAAAATTCTCCTAAAATGCGTATAACTCTGAACAGAACGTCTAACAGTACTTATCCTTTTGAAATTTTTCCATATCTCATTGGATTTTACCTTACGCACAGAGTCGGAATTCAGAAGCGATTGATAAGTTGAAAATGTTCTTTCATGAAACTAAATAAAAAATAGCTATTCAACTCTTTTACATGAGAGACGTTTAATTTATTATCTCGAACAATGTGAGACGAAATTCAAGAGAAGTATATAGTAAGTGTTCCCGTATTTTAGAAAATTCTTAGCATTATATCTTATGAAGAAAAAAGATAGTACAGAATGAAACTCCTATGTTCTTCTTTTTCTTCTGTAATTTCGATAAAAATGTCACTGCATAGTAGCTATCATTTCCTTTTTGTTCCTTCCTAGATATCTGCCTCACCCGTTTTTTTTTTCGATTTTTTTTCTATAGTCTGATAAAAGACTTGTAGAGAAATAGACAAGAAAAAAAGAGAGAATTTTGTCGCGTTCTTATGTTTTATTTTCTTCATTCTATCGACAACAGCACAAGCATAACGCAAATTCACATTACGCTATCAGTGAATGGCAGGAGATAATGTTAAAGAGTACACCGTATTTTTAATTCTAGAAAAAACAATGGAAGCAGTAAAAGCTGGCATAGAAAAAAGCTAAGGAAGCAGTTGATGCCAAAAAAGTTGAGCAAAAATTGGAAAAAGGTAATGATCCAAATGTAAAACCAAGTGATCGTTTAGATGATCAATTTGAAGTGAACAAAGTAGCAGCTAACGCCGCGGATCATCATATTAACGCTGAGCATCACCGTGCCAAACATATTGTCGATTAAACATGACTAATATGTTTCTTCAGTGACTTTATATCTTTTCTATTGTTATGTAAAAAGGATTGTCACGTATTTCTTTTTTTTTATCGCATAAATAAATACTTATTCCAGCTGTCGCTATAGCATACATCATCTGAAAGTGCTATTATCATTTGGTCATAGTTGAAGAAATATTCAGAAGTACATCGAAACAATATGCATAGGATGTTGTATATAAATAGCCAGCTTTATGCTAATTTGATCAATTTGTTTTTTTGTTTCTACAGAACTATTAGCAGGAACGAAAACGTTCGGATAACCATAAACATATGTCAAAGTTGTAACTGCACCGATCGTTATTCACCACTTTTTACAGGTTGAAAAGTATTTTATATATATGGCACTGTTTTCTGATAAAACTCGGTGAGAGCAAGTTTGCTTGCTCTTATAAAAAAAAAATAAAACGATGTTGTTTCAAGAACTATCAATTTTAATTTTTTCTGTTCGTTCAGAGTGTTCTATTTTTTTTAATCGAAGTATATTTCATTGTTTGAAAAACACAATCAAAATTGTGTTACTGGAGCTAAACTCATATCATATGTTTTGGAACGGTTAAATTTAGCTTCGAGCCATTGTTCATAGAGGAACGTTACGTTTGTTTGAAAAGGTTAAGTGACACAATTTAAGAGTTTGAGTTTAACAATCAGCGGATGTGTAAATGACTTTTTTTTTACGCGTTATGCATATAAATATTATATATTCATATTTGAGAAACCTAACAGATATAAATGACTATAAAATGGCATTTCTTCGCATAAATTTGTAAAAATCTGAGTGAGAAAAGAAGAAGGAATGCGTATCTGAAGTCTTTCCTATTAACTGATTAATAATGGTGTAGCAAATCGACCGGATCGGACAGAATGAAAAAAAACCTCGACCAGTTGCAACTGTATCACATGTTAGGTATAGTTTATGCCTGATCCAATAATTTTAGTTATACATTATTCCAATACTTTTTCTCATGTATCGAGTAATGAGTTATCAAGTGTTTGTGTTGATTAGATCATATTTTCTTCAACAGTTATTTATTAGATGTTTGTCAATGAAACAAATGAACTTGTGTGCTAGTTTGAGACGAGCTCATGAATTCAATAGAACCTGTTTCACGTTCGAAAATAACAGAAAAGCAATTTATGAAATAACAAAGGATTCTGGTTTTTTTTTAAGATTGTTATTTTCTCTTTGTGGTTCGTTTTCTGTGTTCATTCAACAAATGTGAATCACGCATAAAAAACACAGAGTTTCTATTCTGACCAATCTGAATTGCTCTTCATACTCATTCATTGACCTCTATGAAAACATTTTTAACTTTGCTTGCTTTTATTCTTTTCACTTCTACTCACAGATAAGAATAGCATGTCGTCGTACTGGTGGCTGAAAGAGCACAATGAAGGTTCGCTATTACGAGTAGCAGTCTTCGAAGGTTCATCATTGACTGACGGAAACGTTTCGGTCAGTGTTGCTCAAATAGAATTACAAACAGAACGTGCTAGTCGTGAACATTCGGCTCATTTACTTGTTTTTCCTGAATTGTTTCTATCAGGCTATGGGCTAAGTCATGAGATCACGCTATCCGCTGCTCGTTATATTATTGAAGAAAAAGTTATTGCTCATCTACAAAATGTAGCAAACCAATATTCAATTGCTCTTTTAATATGTTATCCTGAATTAGTTGATGAGAAGATATATAATTCGGCAACATTAATTAATGAGCATGGTGATATTCTACTTACATATCGAAAAACTCATTTATGGGGCGATAAAGAACGTCAAATTTTTGCTGAAGGAGATCAATTATCACCTGTTGTTGAAGTACGAGGAGTTCGAGTAGGTGTCATGATATGTTATGATATGGAAATGACTGAAGTAGCACGGTGTTTGACTCTTCTCGGAGCTCAACTCATACTCGTACCCACTGCTTTGGCTACATCACCAGCAAATGAAAATATTATCCGTTTTATCGTACCAACTCGAGCTTTAGAGAATCATGTGTGGCTTGCTTATGCCAATTTGTCTCCACCTCAATTTGTTGGTTTCTCACGAATTGTTGGACCAGATGGTAACGACCTGTGTCGAGTTGAAAAAGATCCTCTCATAGTAGCTGATCTTATTCCTAAAAATTATTTACATGCAATACAATCAACACCTTATTTAGCCAATCGTCAACCATTTCTTTATTCAATTATTAATGATCCAAAATATCTCGTCGAATTGCCAATCGATTATAAATATACTGATGACTAAATTTGGAAAAAGAAATCCTTGAATAAATACCATAAACATAACTTCATATGTTTTTATTTGTAATTAAGTAACATCAATAACAATACTTTGTTTGATAAATTAATATTTGTATGTTTTCAAATGTGTCTATTTTACATTTTTGTTTTATAATTAAAACTAAACCTCTCTTAGATCGTCTCTCAACTAACTAGTTTTCATTTATTGTACAGTTGCATGTTTAGCTCAAGAATGAAAACGCACATTTATGTACATTTTACCGTTATAGATGAGAGAGAGAGTTAATGACAATGATGTTTATTATATGAAACTTAAATAATTTTCACTACTAGCGAGAACTTGTGCATACTGCACGGCAGCTTCTTTTCATTAACGTACGACCTCAAACCTCTAACCTTTGACTCGGTAACAGACACACACACACTCGACATTATGCACATAGAAGCTCTACGGACTGATATCCTTATATCGCTAATAGTTCATATAGGCTTACGGCCTTATGGCCTAATATTTTTTGTAGCTCTTGTAGCCTTACTCCCTTATTGCCGTACCCTTAATAGTCTTACCTCTTTATTGCCTTAGCACTGATTGTTTTAGTCCTTTATAGCCTTACCCTTTATAGCTATCTCACCGTATAGTCTTCCCTCTTATAGCCTTGTCTTCTTATAGCCTTACCCCCTTACTGGCTTACTTCCTTATAGCCTTACTTCTTTATAGTCTTACCCATTTATAGCCTTACCCCTTATAGTCTTCCTCGCTAATAGTCTTTCCCCTTATATCCTTATCCCTCTATAGCCTTACCACGTTATAGCCCTACCCCCCTTACAACCTAGCTTGACCTTTAACCTTTGACCCGGCACAGACACGCACGCACTGAACATTATCTATATAGATGACATAAACATTTCAATTTTACACTTGCTGTGTCATATTGATAGACGCATGTTAATTCGTTATGTAAATGAATTTTTCTTTTTTCATATATATGATATTACGACGCGTATTATAACTAGTGTTAGATAAGTCAAAATATATTAAGTCATTTAAGCAGAAAAATAAAAAACAGTTAAAATATTAATTCACAATTTTCGGGGCAACGATAATTAGTCGCAGTGTAAAATTGATCTCAATCCTGAAAAATAAAATCGTCAAGAAGAGAGTTCATAGCATTATGAAGAAATAATTCAGGAAGAGTCCACAAAATAACTAACAACTAACTCAAAAACAAGAAACATTACACATAAGTACAAATGCGAATGTTTAGTGCACCCTTCTAATTGAGTATGAAGATTTACACAAAAGTAAGTAGTAGTCACGGAAGAAATCTCTCATAATCCTCTATAATTTTTCTGTATTTTGAAACCTTCTGTGTGTCCTTTTTTTTCGCGATTCAATAGTGAATATAGGTTTTCTGCCTCTTTATCACATTTCGATAAATTCAAAATTTGCACGTCAACATTAAATTACTGTTTACCAGCGAGATCATCTAATTTCATGAAGTAAATTTTATTTTTCACATGCCATTTTAACCCTATCACGGTGCTGCATGTAACTGAATCATCTGTTTGCAAGTGAAGATTAGTTGGAAGTGAAATAGGAACGATGCTTGTGTTAAACATGCGACCAATTATACATTGTGACTAAGTGTCGGTGTTCTTTTTTAAAACAAAATATGTACACTTAGCCTGAAAAACAGTATATAGTTCTCTAACTTTTTCAATCTTTTTATTTTTATTATTTGATATTATTTTCAAATTCCCAAAAATTTACGAAAGTCAGCTAAGTTCATTACAATGCCAGGTGCATTTTTTGATTTTATATCAATGAATTCATTGATATTATTTGTTGATTCTATAGAGAAAAAAATTTTTGTATTATATAACATTTTAAAATAAACAAAATGTGATACTTTGATTAGAAATTGGTGGATATGATGGTGGTGGTGCCATGTATGTTATTTTATCTTCATTGAGCATATGTGAACGATCTGATGCAAACACATCAAGATACTCTTCAGCAGGTATTATTCGAAACATACTAAATACAAAACAAAAACGATGAGGAAATTATAAATACTAAGACGTTATTTTAATATGTACCGATGAAATCTATGTGCTATGTTTATTTCATCACGAATAGCCAGTTGAACATAATCGGTTGCAGAAATAGGAAATGAAAGCGTAGAATCGAAATCATATATGACAGGGGGAGAAGAAGATTTATCAATTAAGATCACATGATAATCCTTTGAAAATTTAAATCAATATTCATAGTTAATATTAAATAAAAATGTTCATACCCATAGAGCAAGATGTTCACTGTTAGAAGCAGACTTTTGCTTCCAAATAGGAATTTGTCGTCGTTCATTAGAAATAAATACTGCATAGAGAGAATTTAAATGATTTGGATTATTCTTTTTCCAACATTCACAAAGTTTCCAAATATTTTCTTCACTAAAATTCGACTTGAAATAGAACTATTATATCACCAAATATAAATTTCGTATTTTTTACCAATAACAAGATGTATAAACACATTGATCACGATTAACTACCCACGTTTCCATTGAAATCTATCTGAAATTTTGTTTTCTTTTTTTTCTAAAAATAATTGTTCACATATATAGATATTTAATTTAAATATAAAATAAAAAACTATCATGTCTACTGAATTTATCATCAATCATTTCGTTTAATGTCTCTTGAATTCCAAAATATGATGGTTTACGTTTGAAAATCAAATGATCATTTATGTTTTGTTTTTGCCGATAAAAATCTTAGACTCGGTTTTCATCTGATCTTACTATATCAAAGATACAATCTTGTAAGATTTTACCATCTGAATATTTGACTTAAATAGTTCGAAACAAAGCGTTAGAATATGAAACAGACATTTATCAATTAATAATCCACTAGAAAAATAATGGACTTGTTTTGTTTTTGGTAATAATAGTATTGATGATAATTCACAAACTCGATTGATAGATGCACGGAATGCTGCTTCGTGGCAAACTACCACTGGATGTTCTTTTTGTTCTAAGGGATGATTGTGTTTGGGTCTTGACAGACGCTGTGATACGTGTAAGTGCATATGATAGTGGTATTTGTTTTTGAGCTGGTGATATTAATAGTCTTGCATCAATAAATTTTTCTGATATATCGACGATGATATTTTGATCATCAGCTAATGCAGAACGTGGTAGAACGGTTGATGGTATATGATTGAACTCTCATTTCAGTGCAAATAAGAAAATGTTTTTATTTTTATTTTTCGATAATCGACATAATATGACAGTGAGAATGGCTAAATCTAGAATGAATAATACATACTAGACCAAAGATTATATAAAATAATAAGTGGTGAATCATTGTGATATTGAATAAATAAGAAAATAATAATGATAACATGATTTATTCAGAAAAAATTATTTTCTTTTTTTGTTGGATTATTACTCATATAGAATAAATTATTTACGCACAAATACAATGCGAACAATGAAGTAAAAATAAAAATAAATATTATTCATTTCATACAAAAGCAATATATGGACCCTATCATGAGATGAGTAAATGATTTTATCATTGACAATTTAACGAGAACCATATCTAAATATGAATTAGACGATGCAAAATAGAAGAAAAAAACAAGAACAGCTTCATTTTAGTTTTCACTGAGTTCATTCAATAGCTTATAATTATCAGGATTATGAACTTGTTCTTTTTTCGGATAATATTATAAGTAAATAAATGAGCACGATAGGTGTCTTTTACATATTTATTCCATAAATTTCTCAAATCAACAAACAAATGTAAATGCTCGTTATCCTATTAATGTTGTGAGTACATGAACTTGACAAATACATTCATTATAATACTCGAAAGCTCTTCATCAATGAGTTGGAAAATAAGAAGTATTGAATAACATGCCAATACACTTGACCATCAAATCCAATTGCTCCTAATCAGTTCAAATAAACTATTTTAACAATCTAAATATTGCCTCATGTTTATGGTTGATATAAATCATTAAGATAAGGCTATTATAGCTAAAAACAAAACAACATCAATTTTCCAATAACAAAAAACGCTCTATAATATGACTCACGAGGAAACTCTTCCAACGGATTAATTGTTTTTGAGCCGGAGGCATGTGGACTCTAATAGATTATGAATACTCCGAAAAGAGTTCACGCCTATAACTTATTGCTTTCGACATATTGCATTTTTATGCTATTGTCTAATGCAACTATGTGTTTCTTCTCAGAAACATCAGGAAAAATTGATTTTCGAATATTAAGTTGAAACTGTGCATAGAAACAAGCCTTAAGGTGAATAATTAATTGTGAAAGTATCAGGCCATTTGATCTATTCTTATTCTGACTTAAAAGATCGAATGTGCGAATGTATATAAGCGATGTAAAAAACACACTTTTACCATGACTGTATTTTAGCATAGAAACCATGAAAATATCTGAGTCTTTCAATGTAAACTATTCTTGTCAAGGCTTGTTTCTATGCAAAATTTCAAGTCGAAATTCGAAAATCAATTTTTCCTGATATTCTTGAGAGGAATCATGGCATAGTATAGAAGAATACTGTAAAAATAAAATATGTCGACAGCAATAAGCTCGAACTCAAAATTAATTAATCAGTTAAAGAGACTTCTCTCATTAGATAATTTTTAACATTTCAATACGTTCCTAAATTCTCTTCAAACCTTCTATACAGAGCGTAACATTTAATGATACAAATCCCTACTGTAATCTTCTTTTGATTTAGGTAACCTGTCCAATATTTATCTATCTCAAATTTGATAATATCGAGTGAAACATTAAACGACAATGACATCAATAATAATAATACAATCAACTCTTTTTCTTGTTGTATCTACAATAATATAATGAGATTAAAAAATTAATTAGATTCCACTTTTAGTATGAATGTGAGATGACCAAGAAAGAAGATATACTTTATACGAAAAATATTTCAAATGAAAACAAAAATCTAAAATACTGTTTTATGTTGAAGATTGTTCGTATAATGATAATGGAAAATGATCATGATTCTGACGCACATGTTCATTCATTTCTTTCATTTGACGTTGTAGATGTGGTTCCATCTTATCATAAATATTTTCAAACATTGTTGTAATAGGTGCCCGTTTAGTTTTTTCACAACTAGCAAATGCTTCCATTACCTAAATAAATGAATATAGTTTATTAGATTGAAACAGCAAAGAGTCAAACAAGACAGACCATTTTTTGTGAATCTTTAGTCCATTGTTCTTCTTTTTCTTCACTCCAACAACCACGTTTATTCATATATTTACGAACACGTAAATTTGGATTATCTTTTTTATCACGTGAACGTACTTCATCAATCGAACGATAAGCTGAACTATCATCTGACGTTGAATGATGACCAACTCTATCATAATCATTATTAATTAAATATCATTGATTAGAAAAAAAGAAAATTTATACCTGAGTGTCATTGCTTCAATTAATACCGGTCGCATTTCATTGAGAGCTAATTCACGAGCTGCTTTTGTTGCATTATAAACACCAAATAAATCATTTCCATCAACACGAATTGTTGCCATACCATAACCTGCTCCTCGGCTAGCAATACCATCACCTCGATATTGATCAACTGTTGTTGTTGATATAGCATAACCATTGTTACGACTAGTTATATTAAAACAAATGACATATATAAACAATCATAAAAAAAAACAACTTTACTGACCAGAAAAATATTACCGGAACTTCGAGAGTTGCTGCAAAATTCATAGCAGCATGAGCATCACCTTCACTTGCAGCTCCTTCTCCAAAATAACAAATAACACATAAACCATTTTGAGCTCTTCAACATAAAACAAAATCTCAGATTTCATTAAACTTAAACAATTATTTACCTTTTATATGCATAAGCACTACCAACAGCTTGTGGCATTTGTGTAGCCAATGTTGATGAAATGGTGACAAAACTCAAATCAGCTGAACCGTAGTGTACTGGCATTTGAATACCTTTACAAGATGCATGAGCATTACCAAAACATTGATCAATAAATTCATGTAATTTAAAACCACGATACATGAGTACACCTACAATAACAAAGAAAAGGAAATTAGTTGTTTAGTTTTAGAAAAAAATTCGATCATTCTTATCTACCAGCTTCTCGATACTGTCCATAAACAAGATCTTTTGGATTAAGAGCAGCAGCACTACCAATATGTGTTGCTTCTTCACCAAAATTCGTCATATAAAATGAAATACGACCTTGCCGTTGTGATTCATATAAGATTCGATCCAATACATTGAGTAGAGTCATATCTTTATACATTTTTATCAAATGTTCGTCAGTAAACTAAATAAACAATTTACGTATATAAATATATATGTATGTTACTAAAGAAACCACAATTTAAGACAACGTAAAATTCTTTCGAGAGGAAATTAAAACTTAACTTCGTCTAGAATGAATTTCAAATAGTCCTAAATTTTAATTTTCTCTGTAGCACATATACAGCGAGTATTGAAATTATTCAATAGAGTTTGTTTTCCAATTTTTCCCACTGTCATAAGCGTGAGGAGGGAATCCAAACAGTGATTCGAATAGAGAAAACTATTTCCAACAAGAATATCAGATAATAAAAACTATTATTAGTATCACAAAGATAAAGACTCGAAAACACCAAAAGCATAGGTTTTCGACATCTAAAACACTTAAATATAATTGTGTTTTGACTACATAGAATGATAGAGTAAGTCATCCTCAACAAAATGACACACCGCCAAGTTCTCTGTGACGTTTTTCAGCTGAGATACACCAATTTGATTGGAGACAACAACAAAATTTTCTATAGGAAATTCAAAAAAAAATGCTTTAGGAGCTTTTGTAAGTTTGCTGTATCTCAGCTAAAATATGGCCCAGAGAACTGAGAAACGTCTCATTTTGTAGAAAATGATTTGCTCTATCGTTTCATATAGTCCAAAAAAAATTATGATAACTCGTTCTAGGTGCTGAAAAACTTGTATTTTGGTTTTCTGGAGTCGCTGACTTTCGGAACCTGATAATAGTTTTTGTTTCTTTGTATTCTTTTTTTGAAATAATTATCTCTATTCTAAGCACTGGTACTCACTGTATACTATATAGGATGAATCATGAATAAATAAACAATAAGAAAATTCACTATCTCCTGTCTACTTTAATCGATCGGACTGTTTTTTTTCCCTCAGTCATAGAGGACTTGTCAAAGTTTTTAATCATAAGCACACTATCGAAAAGATGCGTTGTAGCACTAACACTTGACTTCAATGAAGACATACTATGCGTCAAAAATATCTTACCCTGCGATATTTGTTATTCGCACGATTAGACATGCAAATTTTTCAGTATATATATTAACATAGAAATCTAGATTAGTGGGATCAATCTAATCTCTTTCACTCGGGTTGAAGAGAAGCTATGATCTATGACAACTCTTCTCACTTCAAGTCCTATAACTTAAGAAAGAACCTTATAACTCATTGAATCTAACAGCATATGTCTTTATTGAGGTCAATAATGTTATTTCAGAAAAATATTCATTGACGCTTTGATTGTAAATAAGAATTTTGAAAAATTCTCTATTGCCGAGAAAAAAACACTAGGGCGATTAAATAAAGTAAACCAGAAATATTGAATTTTTTTAATCGTCTAATTATTATTTATGGACCGCTGTGTATATAAAAAATAAAATAACATTTGAATTTTTCACGCAGTATAATAAATGAATTTGGTTATAATAAATCAGTCACTTACATCTGGTGCGTGGCTTTGCTCTTTAATACTTCCATCAGAGTCAAGAACTTGATAAATTGAAATCGGTGTTATATTTTCTGGACGAATAATTTCTAAATTATTAGTAATTGCTCCTTTTATATGTCCACTAAAAATCGACATTGTTGATGCATTCGGTTCTAAAGGAACATTTGCTGCTGTTGTTGATGATTGATATCGCTTACCAATTTGATTACTAAGTGACCTGCACAGACCATAAATGGCTCTTGAATTGCTGTAGAATCGAAGCATTTTTCTTCTTAATCTAAAATTAAACAATTACAATCACATCTTTTTGTCAAATAAAACATTGTATTTGTATTTTCTTATAGTACATGGTCTGATGAAAAAAAGCAAGCGAAAAACAGCAATCAGTGTTGAAATGCACCACTAGTAGTGACATTTTTGCGAGTGTAAATGTCAGAAGATAAATTTATAATAGAAACTACTTAAGACCAGTTCTCTTTAAAACTGGATTTTCATTTTTTTAAAACAGAGAGTCTTATATGAAAGATGGCGCCACATTACAATTGTTGAGCGTCATGAACCACGTATTATTATGACATCAAATTATGTAATGGTGTCTTCTCAATAATGAACTGTGTGGTTCATTTCAAAATGTTTCTATCTACGGCATAATAGGTTACGTGCAAGGCATCTTTTCAATTTTCTATAAAATCGAGTTACATGCTGAAGTGTTATTTAATTGTAATGCAGAATTTTTTTAAAATTTTATTTATCAATACTTTATTAAAATAAAAAGAATTATACAGATAAAAAAATTACACATATAAAAAAATTATTCAACTAAAAAATAGAATGAAATACGACGAATCAAACAACAAGCATTTCTTTTTGAATATCCTAGAAAATGAAAAAACGTGTGATATTCTAAAAAGAATAGATGAGGAGAAGAAAACGATATTAATGGCATATTGTTATATACGGCAGCACTTTCTTGTGTCATGGCTCCTCGACTTCTAACTGTAGTTAATGTTAGTTTCTGAGGTGTTGATGTTACTGGTTGGGAGAAAGGTCTTGAGAAAGATACAGTATTCTAAAACGAAATAGTGTGATGAGATGAGGCTTTTGATTAGAGGCCGACGGTTCAAAAAAATATCCGCAATAGACACAATGGTTTCGATGCCGGTTACGGTTAGTACAATTGAAGAAAAACAGTTTCAATTTCACTTCCTAAAAAATGGAAGCGGAATCGTTCGTCTAATGTTGGACACTAAGAAACTATTTTGTTTTTTTTCGGAAATTTCAATACTTTTTTTAAATCGTTAATATTTCTTACTATCAGAAAACAATTTATTAAAATTGTAGATAAAATAAAATAAAATAGGAGAAATCATTTTCATATGAAATAATTATATGAATCCGTTTACGCATTCTTGTATTTTCTTAGGCATTTCTCTGTGAAATTAAGAATTTGAAAGTAAAATGTGAAAGAGGCAGTTTGCTACAACTAGAGTATATACGAATACTTTGTCAAACTTCACATGATCAATTTTTCTTTTATCTTTTCTTTCTGTTATGGTCATTGTTACATCGCCCATTTTATTTGACATTAAACATATGATTATTTCGCTATATGGACACTTAAATAGATGTCGCCGCATGAGGTTTTTAGATTTGATGGGCCAGAAAGTTTTTTTCTTGCAGTGGATAAGTATTTGGGATGCACTAATTTTGTGGAAAATTTCAGCTCATAAAAGTGAGTCTCATCACAAAGTGTATTAGTAGATATCGATTTCGATTTCTGCATTGATTGAGTGACTCATATATATGTGTCCACAAACTATTATACTACCGACACTCAGCTCAGAAATCAAAGTGAATAAGGGAAACAATATCAAATGCTTATCGATTGGTCTTTTATTTTTTGGAAGGGTCTAGATATACTTTTAATGCATACAGATCGAGAAAATTACTCTTTATCAAATTCAGCTCTTGATTTTTTTAAAGAATAGGCATGTAAAAATAGAAGTTATAGAGAACACTAGCATACAATGTCGAAATAATTAGTTGAAGAGACTAAAACGTGAAATACTGCTGGTTTACTATTATATTTCTGTCTTTACCATTTGGATTAAATATGAATCTAGTTGAGCAAGATTGCCTGCAGTCTAATAACTTAATAGATCATGTATGAATGCCTTCAGCAGACAATGAAAATATTTATCTATTGTAAATATATTTATTTGCAAGAAGAGAATTATATTTAACAAAAAAACTACATGATGCAACTAAAAAATAGACTGTACAGATAAAAGAAAAACATCGCACAATTAAAAAAATTTCCGTACTAGGTATGCACGAGTTCCAGTTCTGACTGAGTACTTAATCATTTGATCTTTATTCCATGAATCCAGTAGTGCTTTCTTCTTTTCTAATATATTGTAATGAATTGATTCTCAGGTTGTTAAAATACTGATATGAGCTTTAACATTGAATCAATTGACTATTCTTATATTTCTATGTGTCAGTTGTTATAACATAGAATATTATAAATAAAATTGTTCTATATGTTCATTAAATATTTGTGAGCGATTCATTCAGATACAGTTTTCTTTTATTATCATCTTTTTTTCTATTTTCTTCGCTATGAACAATTATTCTAGATGATGAATTTCTCTCATTACTTGTTCCGGAGAGAAATGTTTCCTGTAAGATCAATACCTATATTAAAAAGCAAAAAGGCCGGACTGATTTTAATAAAATCCCACCAATATGATTGACTTCATGCATATAATGGAAATTTGTAATCGATTAAAATAATTATTAATTCAGAAATTTTAATCCTGAATGATTCTGTTTCGTATTGATGAGTTTCAAATGGTATCCATATTTTGCTAATAATGCGTAGAAGAATGTTCAGAATTTCTTATATACATTCGAGACAAAAGCATTTTGGGTCAGAAAAAGAATTAGAAATCGAGTTTGGCAAATGATTATCAGTTGTTAAAACATCAGTTATCGCTCCTTTCATTTTGAGGTGTTGCAAAATACTCTCTTCGTGCGAGTATAGCTACCAATAACAAGTATATTTAATATTATGTTTATAAGTTACGACAAATATAATGAAAGTTCAATTATTTGAGAACTTCAGAACAATTGAATATACTTTTCTTAACAGAATTTTATGCTATTTCAAATGCATAATTGAAGAGAGAGAGAAACGTCTGTTGACATGACAAATAGATCATATATATATAGGGGGGTCAAAAGGTTTTTCAGAACTAATTAGTAATATTTCTTCAATAAGAAGTACAGTATATTTATTTTGTCTACGTCAAACGTTAGAAGACATCATAACAATGCTCGATAACAAACTCGATTTACTTTTGAATGATCTTGTTGTATTCATCGATATGTGTGAAACTGATGATTCAGTTATTGCTTGGTTATACTCGTCGATTCAGTGCCGAAAATTTGGTGGATTTTATGAAACTGACACTGTGATGATGGGATGTAATGACAGGCGTTGAAAGACAGATTAGACATCGCAGTATTAGCTAGAGGCAAGAGAGAGCATTTTACTTGTCGTAAGAAGATGACAAAATATAAAGAAGCAGTGTCATTTTCTTTATGATAACGTGGGCATTACTTATTTGTCAGATGCATTCTATACGATCTGTTAATGCTATCTAATGGTCGCAACAATGTTTAAAAAGCATTAGTTAAGAAATTTTCAACAAAGACTATCATGTGGCATCGATGGTATCAAACCCATCATGGTCGTGCAAACCGCATATAGTATTGTTATTAAATTTCTCAAAGAATATCGTTTAGCAGACACATTCAACTGGCTTCGCTACATCTGAGCTTCTGTTATTCAACTATTTTAAAATATAGATTAAATATCTACTTAGATGCAATAAATTTAATTAAGCAACAGCCGAGCAATCAGTTTGACACATATCAATGAGTACAAAAAGATTATTGAAAAGTAAATTGGGCTTGCTATTAAACATTTTTATGATGTTTTCTAACGTTTGATGTAGACAAATAAATATAATGTGCTTCTTATTGAAGAAATATTACTAGTTCTCAGAACTTTTTACCCCCCTATATATATATGATCTATTTGTCATGTCAACAGACGTTTCTCTCTCTCTTCAATTATGCATTTGAAATAGCATAAAATTCTGTTAAGAAAAGTATATTCAATTGTTCTGAAGTTCTCAAATAATTGAACTTTCATTATATTTGTCGTAACTTATAAACATAATATTAAATATACTTGTTATTGGTAGCNCCAAAATATACCATCAATATCAAGAACCCCCCCCCCACCGCTATGTAATTTATCTAGTTGCAGATTTGTTCTTCATTTTGTTTGTTCTACAATTAAGCAGCGATACAGACTTCTTTGTTTAAGCTTGCAATTTTAATAAAAACGTAAGCATGAATCGAGCTTATATAGGCAGTAATCTGAATTCTTTACAGATAGTTCTTCTAAAATCAAAAGCTCTACATCGTTAGCGTGCAACTTTAATCTCATAAAGACTTGGAAAATATACTGTTTCGTGATAAAATTTTAAGCGTTACTGCTCAATTTTGCGAGACAAAAGAACTTCTCACTGTGCTGCCTTGTGTAAATTACTGATATAGGTCTAATTTATTTATAATACTCTACGTTATAGCGATTGACATGTAAAAGTATAAGAATACTAAATTGATTTAATGTTATAGCTCATATCAGTATTTTAACAACCTGAGAATGAATTCATTACAATATATTAGAAAAGAGGAAAGTATTATTCGGTTAATGGAATAAAGATTAAATGATTAAGTATCCAATCAGACTGATACCCAGTTAACTGGAACTGATGGATACCTACTCGGTACATTTGACAAAAAATGAATTATATAGTGCAAACAACAGCAAAAAATACGAAAGAAATCAGAAAACGTCTTAATATTCACTAAGAAAAGTGTCCCAAATTAAATCGCTAAAAGTATATATCTTTCTAGTCACTGGATAAGTCAAATAGTTCTGTTCGTATAGTATATCTATATTTGAATGTTAACAATGTTCTTAATTGACTGAAGAATAGACATGTCTATTCGATTAGACAATGCGATTTTCACTATAAAACTTCTATTGGCTTGATGTAGCCATTGACATGTACTTCTTGCCATGTATCAACAAGCATCTTGTAAATCAGAGTTGAGCTAGCAAATCTGACTTGACCAAAGTGTATCAATCACTCCATGAGTTAAAACTGTGATCTTTAAATTTCTCGAAAAAGTGTGTAGACATGTGGCGCCCGCACAAAGTGCATATTTCGGTATTGATTCGATGAGTCATCGGGCTCAGCGTACATACTATTATAGTTTCCTTCTTTAATTTCAAAAACACTTTAAATGCGAGACAAGCACAGAAAAAACAACGAAGTATAATTTTATGGCATAAAACATGACAACAAGAGGGAAATTACATAAAAATGAAATAGAAGAAAATAAATAAACGAGTATTCATTTGGCTTGTTCTTTTTTTTAAATAATTGTTGTTCATTCAAAACAAAAAAATCATACGCTATGTATCAATGCATTCAATAAATTAAGTTTTCATTAAAGTTAAAAGTGAAACATAAATACACATTACTGACAACACACATATAGAAATTTATACGGATTGATTATTTTTTTTACTTTATAATTCATCAAAATCATCTCGTTCTCGTCGAATTCGTTCAAGTGCAGCTGAAACATGTTTTTCGCGTGAATTGTTTGTTGCTATATTCACAAATACACTATTGTCTGATAGATGATGAATACCTTTATGTCGTCCATTACTCCATACAATTGTACGACCATTTTGAGAAGAATCTAAATCATCATTATTATTATCATTGGATATATTTGATGAAGAAGAAATTTCATTTGATACAGATCTAAATATTTTAAATAATATTTTAAAATCAGAATTCGATTGATTTATTTTTTTATACTTTGAATATGGTTTATTAACATCAAATGATTGTAGATTCTTTTTTGATGTTCGTATTTGTTGATCAATTTTTGAAAAATAATCTCCATAGGAAGACATTGTCGTTGTCGGAATAGAAGTTGAACTATCGGATGTTTGCATAGATGATGTAGTTTCATCATTTGTCGTTGCATTTGTTAATGATCTTCTTATAGTGTTAGTTGTTGGCGATGGATTTTGAACAACATTTAATGTTGAATATAAAGTTCGTAATGTTGACAATTGAGATAAATTAATAGGAATATATACATTTTCAAGTAAATTTAATTCAGCGTCTGACCATAATTTATTAACTCTTTTAATCTCTTGAATCTTAAAAATTAAAAGAAAACAAATAATTTCGTTGCTTTTTTATATTTAGATTGAAAAACAAAAAAGAACATACATTAATGCTATATTTTAACGCAAGTCTTTGCATTGTATCATTTGATTCAACTTTATGACAAATATAATATGTAGGTTGTAATTGTGATTTAGCCAAACTACCATAATTACCACCTGAACGTTTTGTACTATGCATTACTTCACTAAGAGCACGCCTTTCAGTTGGAATTGTTGTTGATGCAATCGAGCCGCTAGTTGATATATCATTTGATATTTTGTCCATGGAGTTTTTGTCATTAGATAGATTGAGAGGCCGTTATGGTGATTATTTAGGCTCGTTTCGTATTCTGCCTCTGTCACATGGGCACAACTGATTGTCTTCCTCGTAGGCGTAGCTAAAATAAATGACTGACATATTGACGATTGCTATTGGTTCTATCTGATCCAGTCATGTTATGCTTCTTTCACCATGACTCTCTGACATCTATGGAATTGTGTGAGTTTTATTTTTTACTACTACTACTATTATTTGATCCAAAATAAGAGGCAGGTTACTATTTTTCGAATAACTTTTGATAGAAACGAGATAGAGAGCTACGGTTTTCACCTTTCGAAAGAGGGATATTCGAGTCATCGATCGGTAGAGAACTCATTGTGACAAAAGATGCTTTTTTTATATGTATCTTTGGATCAACACTGTTTCCTTCGAGTATTTTCATCAATTTTTACAATAATCCCCAATCAAATTATGTGAAATGTAGCTCAAATCACCCTTTTTTGCGCTATAAAATTAACATTTATTTTTTTTTAAATCTCGAAAAAAGGGTGGCTTGAGCTACATTTTGATATAATTTGATTTGGAATTATTGTGAAACTGGATGAAAATACTCGAAAGAAAAAGTGTTGATACAAAGGTACATATAAAAAAGCACCTTTTGTCTTAATGAGTTCTATGCCGACTGATGGTTCGAATGTCGCTCTTTCGAATGATGAAAATCACAGCTCTCAATCTCGTCTCTATCAAAAGTTATTCGAAAAATAGTAACTCGCCTTTTATTTTGGATCAGATAATAGTTATGCTCATTTAAATAAAACTATGTATTGTGTTGGAAAAATCCAATGAATTGTTCAATTTGAATTTCAATATAAATGGAGTCCCATATACGTAGTTTTATTTCGAGAATAAACGAAAAAGTTCGAGTCAGCACGTGGGTATAACACAAGTAGAAAAGCAAAAGAAAAAAGCAATTTATCTCATTATAATTGTAATTCAAAATTTGAACCTGTGCGATCCTTGCCCGGTAGAGTCCGTCGCGTCCAACCCGGACCCCGATCCGGACTCGGTCGAGTCTGGGGCGGGTCCGGGCCTGAAGATTTATATTGGTTAGTTCCGCATTGAAAAAAACATAGATTCGTACTAGAAAGTTTTTTGAAATTTCTTTAAATTCTTGTTCATCTTACTCCAAAAATATTGAATTTATTTTGAAAAAATAGAAAAAAAACAATAAAGTTCTTCCTGACTATAATATGTAAACATAGTTGCAATCATAAATCTATAAATGAGACCAAATATTATCTGGTTCTTCACTATTGTCTATACTTTCAATAGTATTCAAACAATAATCATGATCATCACGTGTTTTATACGCATTGTTTTCTTCATCAGAAGCTATTGCCGTGCGATGCGAACTAATTGTAATTTTTTTCCTACGGTTGCGGTATCTGACTGTTTAAACAAAATGTAGGCAATGCTCTCCATGGAACAAGAAAAAACAAATCAAACGTATAACATAGCCTCGAGCAACAATAAGATTTATATTAGAAAATTGAACACAGTTTTACGAGTTCGGTTCAAATCTGAACCCATAAAAAATTGGCCCCTGAGCTTTGAATTCAAAAAATTCTCTAGCGGGTCCGGGTCCAGAAAAATTTTACCGACCGGGTCCGAGTCGGGTACGGGTTCAAAAATGTTTGAACCCGATGACCTCTATTGCTCAGGAGTTTCAATCACAAAATATCGTGCAGGACACATCGCTAAAAATGACAGTGAGAGTAGAATGGATGACATATGATGCATTGTCAAATTGACGGTAAGATCAGAGATAGATTACACAACGTCTTTCCTCAAAGTGAAAAATACAGCACATGCATATTGTAACTTATTTTGTTTGTTGTTTCCATTACAGTTATTATCGAGATTAACTACATGCATAATTTTCATTATTAACTTCAGGTTTTTTATGGAGAAAACTAAATGGGTATTTTGCGACGAATATTGAAAAGGACTATGCCTCTAAATACCCATGCACAATGCAAAACTTAAATTTATAACATTGTTTCAATACAGAGGACAAAGATATTGTAATTCGAGGGTCAATACCTATGTCTTGATGCTATATTGGACAACATTGATAGTTCGATACTGTTTGAACAGTTTGTTTAATTCATTTTGTAAGTCATTGTCAACCAAATTAGCATACTCAATGGAAAATTCATAGAATGTATTTTATTCTTTTCTTATTTACTATTTCTACACAAAAACTCTTCGTAGCTATAATTATAATTGCAATAGCATTTTATCTTTCTCTTTACCTGTTGATTTCCTTATGTGATTTCGACAAGTTTATTTCTATTCGAACTCAAATTAGTAAATTGATGTCTCTACACAAGAAAACAAAAACCTTCAAGTGTATTTTCAAATAATAACAATGCTAAAAAAATTGCTATTTATTATTCTGCTATGTTCTTTGTTATAATATTTACATCAATCTCAACATTTATAAAAAGAAAAAAACAAAAGGTTGCAATTTTTAAAAATAAATTTTCAGATCACAAAATATTTGATAACTTGTAATGTTATAATTTTTTCTATGGATAATAGAAAATAAATAGGAGATATTTAAGTAGAAAATTTGTCACAGCATTTATTTATAATGCGCTATCCAAATGTTGTAACTTGTAAGAGTCTTTATGATTGAAGTAAAATTCATGCATAATGACTTTCTATATGAAATAATTAAATCTAATAAAATGATAGATATATGACAAAATTCATCTCATCACATTGTTTTGTAATGCCTCAATCAGAATACTGTACATGTTCGATACCAACTCTAAAGAATCGAAGATCTGATGTTTTCCATGACTATATAAAAAATAATATTAAGTGAAATATATAAAAAGAGTGAATATATTTGTCTTACAATGACAGTTAGTAATATGGTACTCAAATAGTGTCTATCCTCATGATTAATTGAATTGAATGAGTAATCATAACTAATCGGTGTCTGGTTAAAATCATCGAATTAAAAAGTATATGAACGGAAAAAGTCTCTCTTACTATATTACATTGTAACATGTATGCTAGAGATTCGATAATTTTTTCGTCTATTGGTGTCTCTGTCAATATCCAGCGTTATGAACATCTATATTAAATATTAATAAACTATTATGAAATAGAAGAACAAAAAGAAAATACTTGTCCTACAATGTTATTTTGTAAGGCATCCGTCAGATGTTGTGCTCTTGGTTTACTGGAAAAATTTCTTTGATAGTTTGGTGCAATGAATGGCTATATTAAAACATAAACATAAATAACAATATAATTAATAAGAAAAAAAAAAAAATTTCTCTATCTTATTGAAAAGTATTAATAGTCCATCATTTACTTTATTTAGTATGTGGCCATCTGTAATCGCATTCAGTTCTGTGCAAACATCACGAACTAAAAATACAATGGTCATATCATTGAGATTATAACGAACGCTGTCTAAAAACGGTGNTCTGGCGTCGAGCTGGCACCCCGGACACCACGCGATACACCATATGATTCGTGCCGGTGCGGGCGCGGCGCGGGGTGGGGGGGGGGGGGGGGGGGGGGGGGGGGGGGGAGGGGGGCTAAAGAATACAGATTGTCTGACAATGTGTGGAAAATTTGCCTTATGAAATGTACCATGTCAGATTGAAGATTTTTCATCGGCATTATTGTACAAAATATTATGCTTGATAATAACAGTATCTCAACATAAAAGATATAAACTTACAAAGTTTAAAAACAAAAGATAAAGTTCTTATGTCCGATATTTAATTTAATTGAATAAATTTATGGTTGAGTATTCTTCACCAGATTTTAAGACATGATATCTGATCGAAAATGGTAAGTGCTGAGGATTTTTAAAAAAATTCATTGGAATAAACAATTGACTTTGCTTGTCAACTTATTTATCATTCTTTGCAATCATCAACTTAATAGTAGATGTCCATGAATGATAGTTTATGATACGTACAATCACATGGCAAATTGTAAAAAATGTTAAACACATTTAGACAACTATACATTGGTTGTTTAAGCATTGCTATACACAAGTTAAAAATTGCGATCCAATTTCTAATTTAAAAATTATAAATTGTAACTGCTGTTCATTAATCGAATAAAATAAATAACATCCAGTTTTAGGCTGCGTTGTGTCTTGTAAAGAAAACAAAAGAAAATATTTTGGAAATGACGACGGTCGTTTTCATCGCCGTTCTGATGAATCCACCACTGTACCCAAAGAGTTGTATGGTAAATTCATCCGATTCCCAAAAGTTTTCGGATGTTACGTTTATATGTTCTGCATATAAGATATAGATCCCGTGTGAAATCGTGTCACTATATTAAAAATAAAACTATCATAAGTTGAAGGCTGATATGTATAAAATATCGAAGAAAACGATGTTGGTAGTTTCTGAGTTAATCTAGTGTTTGAATCTTGGTGTATACGACTTTATCGGTAGCAAAGGCCTTTTTTATGACTTGAACGGTAAAAAATAAAAACAGAAAGTATAGATAAAAAATATTGAACGAATCAATGAATTAGCTCTTTGAGGCCAGATTTTTCTTTTAACAAAATAAACGAAGTTATAGCGTCAGAATCGATTATAACCTGAAAAGTGTTAATTACCATAATTATAATACTTGCTCTTACTGCAACGACACAAATAGAGAACTCTGAAATAGAAAACGAAACAGAACACTCGAAGAATCTACTCTAACAAATCCAAAGATTTAAAATTTCTGCTGGAATTTTCAAATCGTATATATATATATGGCCTTGGTTCCAAAGGGTTAACATGAATAATAGGAAACTGAAGAAATATTGACAATTCTACGATCAATTCTAACAACAGTTACACAATTATGATTATATATGGTACAGGTGTAGATATACGTAGTCAAAGAGTCTGTCTAATCATACAAATGACTTCATTTACTTAACCTATATTTATCAGCATATGTTTGATGTTAGAAAATTATACCCGACCTACATATCTTCTTAGAATATTTTTAGAGAAAACATTTGAAACAAAGGCTTGAACTCGATCAATACACAACAAGAGCAAATTTTTCTCTACTGTATTAGTCATTATCGCAAGGTTACCTTGATTTTCATGTCCTTCGTCAGTACATATCGTCATATTGATTTTTTTGTCTGATTCATTTATGTTAACTGACAGCATATCATTCTATTTGTCTCTTACATTAATCGATGATTTGGTATTTCTTTGTAATTGTGTCAATATTGCGCTGTCAGTGTAATATGTCTATACGAAACAAGAAGGTAAAATGTGATGAAGTTATAAAAAAAAATTATTTATGTCATTTGCAAGTTTTATTTCAAAATTTCATCAAATAAATGGCAAATTTTATCGTCGTAAGTGGTTTAAAGGAAAAAAAGAAAGTTTCATTAAGTTAAATATTTCTAAATCAATTGACACTAAAGATGCATAAGGAACGTCTTTTTTGTTTTTGTACTTTCTTCGTAAATAATCCTTCTCTATATTAATCATAATGTACGATATCTTTACCTTACCCTATTTCTACTCTATCATGCAAATAAAAGAAAGTGTTAAGTAGAGTAATATCAATTGTTTTTCTTTTCGTTCTGTTCATCATATATGTGTGTCATCTCTTTTGTCATATACATATGTCACTTCCTCTTTCTGTTCTAAAGCTAGGTATTTTCCTATATTCACATTCGTTTGGTATTTTCTAATGTTAGCGCTCACTAGGATTTTACTTGTATCCTATGTGGATATTTCCAACATGTCGTGTTATTCATCATCATATATATTAGTTGTGATTCTCTGATAATAAATAAGAAAGATACTAAGTCGTAATGTGAAATCATCTTTGTTCAATAACATATTTAAGTCGGAAGCATACAACTTGACAAAAGCTAGAATTATCTATGCAATTTACATTTTTAATTCGTAACAAAAAGCTCTCCATAAATAGAAAATCACAAAGTGAACTTTATTTCGCAGTTTTTTTATCCCATTGTAAGAAAAACATATTAATGAGCGATTATATTGAGGTACTGAAAGCAATGAGTCAAGTTTCTGAATTCATCTATCTTAAAAATACTCATATCAAAACTTGGAACTACATCCATTAATCTATTGACAGCAGCAACAATATCGAGAGTCTTCGAGATTATTACAATGATCATTATGATACTTTTTCATTCCAAAACTATAATTAACGCTTCAAATTTTTCATCAATCATATTTTATAATAATGCAATATATTTGTTTCAATAATATTTCATTTGAATCTATCAGAAGTTTTAAAGTTTGCATTTAACATAATTGAATATAAAGTTGTCAAAGGTTCAAGAGCGAATACTAGCACAATATACTGGCAAAATCAAGTGAAAAATCTAGTGTATCGATCTGAGTTCTCAGTTTTTGCTTGATGATGATCATCATCGAAAAGATTATTCATCGACACGGAAGTAAATTCTGTACCCAGCACAAGTAATTCGAAGGCCAGGACAGAATCAAGAACGAATTTCCATAAAAAATATTCGTATCCAATGCTAAAATTTCTTATTTTTTAAAATGTTTCAATAGGTGTAGAGGTCATACAGCAGATATATTCACTTCTGTTTTTGAAACTCTGATGTACCCATTGGTACACGTTGCATCCAATAATATTATTTTCTGCTTACAGATTGTAATATGCATCTGATTAGGTGTGACAAGCAGATCTGATTTTTATTTTTTTTGAAAATGAACAATTAAAAGGTTGATAATTATTGCATCTCTTGTAGTGCTGTTATCTTTGATATATTCATTTTCATTATGTGTTGACTCCTTTTGTATCTATGGTGAATTACAGATGAGTTTTCTTGCAAGACCATTCACAGAAATTGTTGAACATTCAAGAAGAACGGCAACGTTTATCTTGAAACCATCTTATAATATATTATTAAATTTTCGTTGGATTTCAACCGAACAACCTCAACAAAGTATTATATAAAAACATGCATTACTATTTATTTTTTCTACATGAAGGTGAGAAAAAACAACAATAAAATAAATATGAATATTTATTAGTCAATATCAAAGGACAAAATTCAAATATAGCACTTGTTCAACTTAATCGACCTAAGACATTCAATTTTTTATGTAATGGTCTCCTGAAAGAGGTATGATTATTAATATAGTATCACACATTTTATAATAAAAGCATCAGTAACATAATTAGTCTTTCTATTGTTAAGAATACATAATTAATTTTAGTAAAAACAATACAATGTCGTTTATTTATAATAAAATCGTGTTATTCATATATGTTTATATTCTTATTCTAGTTAGCTACAGTATTAGAATCTTTCGATAAGGATGAGAAGATCGCTTGTATTGTTCTTACTGGTAGTACACGTGTATTTGCTGGTAAATTTTATTTAATTATCTATATAGATACCTTGATTGTACATATTTTAGCTGGTGCTGATATAAAAGAAATGCAACATAAAACATTGTCACAAGTTCTTGAGTCAGATTTTCCTAATCAATTATCAGCAGCATCACGAATAAAAAAACCAATTATTGCTGCTGTCAATGGTTTAGCAGTACATTTTTATGTTATTTCCAGAACTATTTTTCAATTTTTTTTGTATTAGTTAGGTGGTGGTTGTGAATTATCGATGATGTGCGATATTATCTATGCTGGTGATAAAGCAGAATTTAGTCAACCAGAGATTCTTATTGGTACCATTCCTGGTATGTAGAACATGAGTATGATTCTCTGTTCGAATACTTATCTTCTTTTTTTTTTTTCTATATTATTTTTAAAGAAGCTGGAGGCACTCAACGTTTACCTCGCTATATTGGCAAATCGAAAGCAATGGAAATGATATTGACAGGCAATCGAATTAGTGCACAAGAAGCTGAAAAAATAGGTTTAGTTAGTGCTGTCTTTCCAGCTGAGAAACTCGTTGAAGAAGCTATTAAAACAGCTGAAAAAATAGCTAATCATTCGAAAATTGTTGTACAATTAGCAAAAGAAGCAGTCAGTGCTGGTAAATACGATTTTTTTCTTTAGGAAAAAAAAAATGGTTTGCCTTTTGTTGTATAGCCTTTGAAACAACGTTGATGGAAGGCAATCGATTTGAAAATTGTCTTTCTCAAGCAACGTTTGGTTTGGTATGTTAAATATAAGATAGAAAAAAGTAAATAAACTTTTGTGATGCTTGTTTTTTTTTTTATTTAGGCTGATCGAAAAGAAGGCATGACTGCATTTATAGAAAAACGTAAACCTAATTTTACCGATCAATAATAGTAATATTATTGCATTCATCTTAGTGATTTATAACTTGCAATAACATTTTTTAAGAAACATACATCGTTATTAATTTTATGTCTTTTTTTGTTTTCATCATCGTTTTATTAGATTTCGACTAAAACTCGCCTGAAAAACCATATCTTTTATTAATACATGAAGCAAGAGATTTTCACTCATAAAATTTAATTCATCTATCTGTTTTCTTTTCAATTCGGAAACACAGTTGAGTTTAGACGTATTTATAGTTATAACTTCTTAAAGCATCTTATTTTTTTTTCTAGAAGTTTTCATATCGGTAATTAATGCATTTCATTACTCCTATGCTTAGAATATTTACTCTGTTTTTTGACATTTTCAATAAAGCTCTTCATAATACAATGGATTTTGCAACTATTAAATTAGTAACATTCATCTATACTTTAATAATGAATGCATTAATTTAATACTTATTTTTCTAGATATAAAGCGATTCAATCTCTTAAACATGTCAGAATCTTTCAATAATTATTAAAAAAAATTATTGAGTATCATCCAAACGAATATACATAAAGCCTACTTAATGATTCCTAGAAATAGTCTTTGAAGCTAAACATAAGAAAAAAATTTGTCTAAACTATACAAACTAATGTATTTTTATATAAATATAAGACGATACTTTGTCCTTACAAGTAAAATGATTTTAATTTGAATGTTTTACTTTACATGTAAATGATTAAGTCAGATGCAGATTTGTATGCAAATGATAGAAGACAAAAAAATTGCAGATAAGTTGTCCTTGTGGAAAAAATATAATTATTACTTAGTTGGCGTAAAAGAAATGAAAGAAAAAAATCAAAAGGTGCGACGATTAGATAATGTAGCTTTATAAGAGACACATATTAAATTGTCAAGGCTATAAAAACAATGCTTAGTATGTACCTCGACAGTATCAATGCCGTAAATATACAAAAGGTACATTGATGACATTGTACAGGTCAATAATTTACTTCGAACAAAGGTTTTTACTTTTGTATAGACAGCTAAAAAATTCACAAAATTCGTTTCTTTAATCTTTACTTACTGTCTCATTTTAATCTGTCTATTAATGACCGCCGGTCGGCATGTAAAGAAAGAGAATGATGCAAACTTTACTCAAAGGATTACACGAACATTCTCTCAGCCTATTATTTTTTTTCTTTTGCCCTGTGATCATAGTATGTTATCGCGGAGCCTCTTCTCTAACACTTCAATTATTTATTCATCACTAACCCACGCAAAGATCCTCTTTTCCTCTTTTTTCTTTCTTCGTTCGAAAAAGAATAAAAGAATGAATTTACCATCCTCGCTTATTTGAATGGGGGCGCGAAAGAAAATAGAATGTGCGCGTTACTGAAATAATACTTTGAGACTTTTACATTGATCACTAAGCACTGCTGCTCTATGTGCTATTGATTTATGTGAATGCACATATATTTCATATTAAATTATAAAGTTTTTTTTTATTTAACATTCAAGATTATAGATACATGTAATTTACGAGCCTGTCATCGATGAAATTCTTATTTGTTGATGTTTATTGGTATCTTATTTTACTTACTATTATTGCACTTATTCGACAAACTTCATCAGCTGCAGTATCACCACAAAATTCAATTTCATTATATACTGAGAATGATAAAGTAGCAATTCTGACAGGTCAAAATTTTTCATCGATAGTTTATCAATCTAAAACAGCATGGCTTATTGAATTCTACGCTAGTTGGTGTGGGCATTGTCAATCTTATGCTAATGTATGATTTGATTTGATTTTTTTTGTATTCTTCTAATAGAATTTTATGTATACATATTTTAATAGACTTATCGCGAAGTTGCTATTGATATTTGGGGTAAGCATGAGATATTAAGATTTCTTTCGTAAATCGAATAAGTTCGTTTTCTTTTTCAAGGATGGAGAACAGTCGTTCGTATTGGTGCAATAAATTGTTATGCTGATGAAAATAGTGCTTTGTGTGACAAACATAATGTTTCGACGTATCCAACACTTCGTGTGAGTAGAATAAAAGATTAAAAAAATAATTCTCTCTATATTATTTATGATATAGTTAATAGAACCAGAAGCATTAATGAATACATCTAAGATCATAACCCTATCAGCAAGTGATGCCAAAGGTGTAGAAAAAGAACTAATTAAAAAACTTGTTGATTTAAAGAGAACGGACAAAACTTGGCCACATTTCTCACCTTTTAAGTAAGTCTTTTGTTATCATAATTAGATTCCAGTTTTGAATTGGTTTTAAAAATTTTAGTCGAGCTTCATTCGAAGATCTTTATAGTCGTATTTCATCATCTGTGAAATTAGTATTAGTTATTATAGAAAAAGGTGATGACTTTACTGGCCGACAGGTAATATGATCTTTTCTTTTTGTTTTCTTTAAAAATAGATCTTATTATGATGTTTAGATAATGCTCGATTTTTCTAAATATTATGAACAATTAGCAATTTTTCGAATGACAACAGATAGAAAATTATGGTATAAATTTCAAATTAATATGACCGATATACCGGCTCTATTTGCTATTTTTCCAAATAATACTGTAGAACAAATTGATACTAAACAGAATACGAAGTAATCAAATTATTATTTGAACAAAAAGAAAAATTAATTTATGTAAAATATTTTATTTATTATAGAGAAAAAATTGGTAGTCGAAATTTATTAAATTATGCTATTCGTTCATATATTGGTCAAAGACAATTTATTGATAATTTTGATGATCGTGATTTAGAAGAAATAATTCAAAGTAAAAATGCACTTGAAAATATGAACAAAAAAAGAAAATCGAATCAAGATAATACAGAAAAAAATACTTTATTTAATAAAAATATTATTCATCAAAAAATTAATATGGTCGATTTTGAAACATCTTTATCTTATATGTTACGTCGAGAAATATCTCGAGTCCAAGAAATTCGTGGTGAAACTTATGATGCATTGGTACATTGGTTGATTGTTCTCACTAAGGTATCATTATATTAATATTTGTTTTTTCAAATATTGTTCAATATGCAGCTGAACATGACTTGATTCATAACAATATGATCTATATTAGACTCTTACATCTAATACATCTCTTAATAAGCTCATATTTTGCTCATAGGTACGATTCATAATGTATATGAAATTCCTGAAGGTGTTCGTACCATTAAGTCTTTTTTTCTCAAGCTATGACCATTTTACTGAACTTTCAGCCTGTTGAAGAATATTACAATGAAAATCACAAGAAGTTTCGACTTGAAGTCCTCCCCAGCAGTAGGTTTACTAGTGTTATAATATCTTGAAAGTATCAGTTCAAACAGATGATTTTTTCGTAAGACATCGTGTACCTTAAAATTTGACAAGTTTTGGAGCTCTTGTGTGGAAGGAACGGTTTTTTGAGAATGTGTTATCCCATAAGGACGACTTCTGCTTGAGCTGAAATTTTCAGGATATCATATGGATCATGAAAGCTAGTATTGGAAAGAATTTCAGACCGAAACTTTTTGTTACGGCTATTCTTTTGATATCTTACAATAGACTGAAAATTCAGTAAATTGACTATAACTCGAGAAGAAAGGCCTAATCACACGAGCTCTTTCATTATTTTTATCTACGCTATGAGTCATGCCTATAAGCGAAATTTGAGCTCAAACGGAGATGATCAATCGGATGGATTCTCTCATGAAATGATTATTTTATTTCTCAGAGCATACATTGGAAGATTAAAGATTAATTCTGAAATTCTATGACGTCAATAAATTACAAAATAATTTTCATAAAATGTAGATGAAAGCTTAGCTAAAACTTTGACCGCAATTCACTATAAGTTATTCAAGTTTATACTACATTTTTGTGTGAATTTCAGAAAACATCCATAACTGTCTGATGCGTTTAATTACACTCTCATCTAGAGGATAGTAAATTCTTATAGAGAGTGCTTCATAAGTTTCGATTCGATTGTTATTTTTATTTTGTATCTAAGCCATATTTGAAGGTGGGTGGATATTAATATATGTATTTGAAAAGTATCACATAAGTTATCATTCAAAAAAAAATTAGGCTCAATTCGCATCAACATCGAAGAAAATATTACATTTATAGAAATGTCGAAAAAATTTGCTAAATGTTATTTTTTCAACATGGCTGAACATGAAAATTCATTGTTTTTTCTTCTTTGATGAGCAGTATCTTCATGAAAACAAAAACAACTACCCTCAAATTTTCATTATAGATGAACCCCAGTTGAATCTACTATCTATGAAATTTTCTTTCGTTTCGGTACAGTCAAAGAAAAGCTAATTTCGAAAAATACTGTTCTACCAATGTAGTATTTTGTTTAACTTGATACAAATCGAGTTCAATTTCTTTTGGATAAAGTTTATGTGCTACTATTCAAATACATATATTCAATATTCATTCACTTTCAAAGTTGAAACTTATGAAACATTCTTTATATTAGCATTTGTATTTGATAATGTTTAAATTTATTTACTACAAAAGAAAAATTTATATAAAACACAAATAAAAGTTCTTTTTACTTTAATATATGACGAACTTTTCTTTAGTATTTTCCTGGTCGTGAACCAGTTATGAATTATCTTAAACGAGTATTATCAAAAGTAAAGGAACAACCAAATGGTTTAACTGGAAAACAATTTCGAGAATTAGCTGATACAAATACACCAGATAGTTATTTACCAAATAATCAAGTTCGATATGAATATTGTGCAGGTTCTTCACCACAATATCGTGGTTATCCATGTACTCTTTGGGCACTTTTTCATGCATTAACTGTTTCACAAGTTCAATTAGGTTTTTATTCATTGATTCTTTTCATATTTTATTTTATCATTCTTGCTCTTTATCTTTCATATCTAGAAACAAAACGAATGAATACAATTGAAATTCCTTCAGCTATAAAATATTTTATAAAAAATTTTTTTGGTTGTCGACATTGTAGTGAAAATTTTATGAAAGAAACAAAAGATATTCATCAACTTGATTCACAAAATAAACATGCAGCTATTATTTATCTTTGGAAAAGTATGTTTTTTTTTCTATTCATTATTAATTTTGTTTTTTTTTGTTTGATAAATATTTTTTTTAGTTCATAATCGTGTTAATAAACGTTTACATGGTGATGATACAGAAGATCCACAACATCCAAAAATTCAATTTCCATCAGAATCTCTTTGTCCAAATTGTCGTTTAACTAATGATAATAGTGATAATAATTTTGATTTATCAAATACAATTAATTTTCTTTTACAACATTACTCAAAAGATAATATCGATTTATCATCAGTAGAAAATTTCATAATAACTCATGATAGTAAACAAAATCTAATACCTCGACGTGAACGCGGAACTTCACTAGATCAATATTCAATGATTGAAATAACTAATGAATCAACACAAACATCCGGATTAATACGATCTATAATTTCAATGATTCAACGTTTTCCATTGTATTCTTTTATATTACTTGTGATTATTATTATTTTTGTTCGACGACGATATTATAAAGGCAAACGAAAACGTTATACACTCTAAAAGAAAAGCTTCTTTATTTAACTAGTCATTATTTGAATTATGTTTCTTTTTTCTATTCCATATATGAATAACAATACTCTTGAAACAGTGTTCATTTTCTTCTTGTTCTTTTTTGTTTTTCTTACAAAATATTGTAACAATTATTGTTAATGTGTTAGATCTTACGTAAACTGGTTATTTTGTTTTCATTCCACCGATTTGTGTCTCTATGACATAATTGTTGATAACTTTAATCTGACAGATGTGTTGTCTATCATAGGTTTTTGGATTTTATGTTGTCTTGTTGTTTTTATTTTATGAGCTTGAAAAAAGAAAAAGTTCAAGAGAAAAGCATGATTCAAAAAAGAATGATTATAACATTTATTGTTAACAAAAAAAGGCTTCACAGCTACCAAAGTCTTTATTCGTTAATTTTTATAAACGATGATTAGGTCAAGAATTTTTTATTAAATTATATTTTATTTTAGATCAAAAAGTAACAAAATGATAAAGAGAAATATGTAATAAGACGTTGTTTTTTTTACAAGTTGGTGATATGTTGCCGAAATTGAGTCGACGAGTGATACGTTATACTAAACGGGCTATAATGGGGTAAAGTTTAAAAACATAATTATTTATTGTTCAATTTAATTTCATGATCGTTTCTTTCATTGTATCTTAGGTCGGCATTTTTTTTCACGGTAAGTTTAATCTGGCATAGAAAATATGAACTCATGTTGATGACTAAAAGAAAGAAAGCATGAAATCGTACAAATTTAATAGAACCAAGTATTCTTTTATATCGAAAGTGTAAAAAAAAAAAAAAAAAGTCGACCGTACAATCTGTTGTTCTAATTATTGATTTATAAGTTTTTGTAAAGAATAGAGCTTTTAGTAACAAATTGTGATCGTTCTAAGATCACAAAATTTTTTAAAATAATTTCGTTCGATATTAAAACAATACTTTTCATGTTGAATTAGTCTATTTTGTCGATTTCAATACCACCGAATGAATGCATAGACGAAAAAGAGTCTGAATCAAATCTGATCAATTCTATATATAATATGCTATTTTAATTATCTATTTCATTACAAAATTGATTGTTTATGATCTCATTTGGGTGTAGATGTTGGTATTGGTGAAACTGAAGCGAACATTCATACCTACATTCCCATCCACGTCTGCACCCTGATTGATCAGATTTGATTCAGACTCGTTTTCGGTTAAGAGTTGATTCGGGGAAAATGGAAATTGCCTTCACGCTTACCTAGGTGAAATTGCGGATACTAATCTCTTAACAAAGGAAGTCTTTCAAATGATAAATCGATTTTGAGTGGAAACTATAGGCATTATGTAAACCCGAACAAGATGTGAATACTCTGAAAACAGTTCGTGTCCTTAGAGTATCGCGACGGACATACTACACGTTTGTAGTATATTTTAAATGATTGCTGTGGCCCAAACAAAAAACTGATTTACAAGTTTCGACTTAGAACTTTGCATAAAGGTAAGCTTTAACAAGAATAGTTTTTTTTTGTGAATGTTTCAGATCTCGTCGCTATTCCTATCCTAAGATAAAACTATGGTAATAACGTGTAGTTTACATCGCTCATATACATGTGCGACTTTAACGTTCTTATTTTACAATAGAAGCAAATCAAAAGATCTGAAATTTTCATATTAAACTACTCTCGTTAAGATCTGTATCTGTCGCTATGCAAAGTTTCAAGTCAAAGTTTGAAAATAAATTTTTCTAGTCTTCCTGAAGGGGACTATTTCATGCATTTAAAAAAAAATACTCTAATAGTGGAGTATCTCTGCAACAATAAGCTATGGCTATGGACTCTTTTTAGGGTATTCGCAACTCATTTAAGTCTACATAATGCATATATCTTTGACTCAAAAGCGATTTATTAGTCAGAGAACTTCGCTTGTAAAACTGTTGTAGATAAAGATAAAATTTTNCGATATTAAAACAATACTTTTCATGTTGAATTAGTCTATTTTGTCGATTTCAATACCACCGAATGAATGCATAGACGAAAAAGAGTCTGAATCAAATCTGATCAATTCTATATATAATATGCTATTTTAATTATCTATTTCATTACAAAATTGATTGTTTATGATCTCATTTGGGTGTAGATGTTGGTATTGGTGAAACTGAAGCGAACATTCATACCTGCATTCCCATCCACGTCTGCACCCTGATTGATCAGATTTGATTCAGACTCGTTTTCGGTTAAGAGTTGATTTGGGGAAAATGGAAATTACCTTCACGCTTACCTAGGTGAAATTGCGGATACTAATCTCTTAACAAGGAAAGTCTTTCAAATGATAAATCGATTTTGAGTGGAGACTATAGGCATTGTGTAAACCCGAACAAGCTGTGAATACTCTGAAAATAGTTCGTGTCCTTAGCGTATCGCGACGGACATACTACACGTTTGCAGTATATTTTAAATGATTGCTGTGGCCCAAACAAAAAACTGATTTACAAGTTTCGACTTAGAACTTTGCATAAAGGTAAGCTTTAACAAGAATAATTTTTTTTTGTGAATGTTTCAGATCTCGTCGCTATTCCTATCCTAAGATAAAACTATGGTAATAACGTGTAGTTTACATCGCTCAGATACATGTGCGGCTTTAACGTTCTTATTTTACGATAGAAGCAAATCAAAAGATCTGAAATTTTCATATTAAACTACTCTCGTTAAGATCTGTATCTGTCACTATGCAAAGTTTCAAGTCAAAATTTGAAAATAAATTTTTCTAGTCTTCCTGAAGGGGACTATTTCATGCATTTAAAAAAAATACTGTAATAGTGGATTATCTCTGCAACAATAAGCTATGGCTATGGACTCTTTTTAGGGTATTCGCAACTCATTTAAGTCTACATAATGCATATATCTTTGACTCAAAAGCGATTTATTAGTCAGAGAACTTCTCTTGTAAAACTATTGTAGATAAAGATAAAATTTTGAATTAGTAACATTCATTAGTGTTCTTTATCTATTGATATTCTAGGATGAACAAGAAATTAGCCGACGAAGTAGTATTGCTGGAGCATCCTATAATTTAATTAATTCAATAGTTGGATCTGGTGTTATTGGTAAGTTTTTATTTATTTAAAGTATTTTTTTTTTGTACATTGAATATTTCTCATATAGGTATGAGTTATTCTTTTCGACAATCGGGTTATTTTGTTGGAACTTTGTTACTTGGTATGGTAGCTGTTTTAACTGGTAAGCAAAGGTGAGCGTTTTAGACGACACTGATCCATTTATTTATTTGTAGCTATTTTGAAAAAAGAATCCACGGCTAGATTCTAATATTGAATTTTTTCTGATTTTTTTTTTAAATAAATAATTTAATTTTTTTTTTATCATTTAGATTATTCAACAACAATTTTACTTCGTTCCGGTCAAATGGCAAAAGCAACAACATATCAAGAACTTGTTTATAATGTACTTGGAAGGTCTGGTTTTTTATGGCTTTCATTAGTGCAATTTCTTTATCCATTTATTTGTCTTATTTCATATAATATAATTATCGGTATAATAAAGAAAAAAATAAAACTATTTTTCTTTTCTAAATTAAAATAAATTTAGGTGATACAATAACTAAAGTTCTTCATCGTTTATGGCCAACAATACCTCATCTATTTCAAAATCGATATATTATTATTTTTCTTTGTTCTTGTTGTGTTACTTTACCATTATCTCTTTATCGAAATATAGCTAAATTATCTCAAGTATCACTTACTGGTCTTATACTTGTTTTAACAACTGTAGTAATATTAATTAAACGTGGTTATGATACTATACCATTTATGTATGTTTACAAGATAAGAAAATTTGATTTGGTTGAATTTGAATTTTATTTTTAGATCATCTGAAGTTCGTAATCTGCGTCCTGTGAATACAAATATAGCTGAAAGTATTGGTGTAATGGCGTAAGAAGAAAGAAAATTTCTTGTATCCTTTTGTTTTTGTTTTTTTATCGATACATAGATTTGCTTTTATGTGCCAACATAATTCATTTTTGATATATCATTCAATGAATGAAAAAACTCTTCCACGATGGCGCATTGTTACACTAATAACAGCAACAATTGCATTCTTTTTTGCTGTTGCATATGCTCTTACAGGTTATATTGTATTTGGTGAACAAACTGAAGGTAATTAGAATGAAATTTTATATTAATAATATTTTTCACAGGTCTATTTATTTTTTTCTCTTTTATACAATAAATAAAAGGTGATCTTTTGGAAAATTATTGTCATTGGGATACACTTATTAATATTGCGCGACTTATTTATGCTATAAATATAATGCTGACATTTCCATTAGAATGTCTTGTTTGTCGTCAAGTATAATCTTATATAGAAATTAATATTGACCTTTTTTTGTTTATTGAAGGTAATAGAAATTGTTTGTGGTAAATGGATAAATTTAAGTTCAGATCGTAGTCATTATATAATTACAATTTTAATTGTTACTACAAGTGTGATATTATCATTAAGTACAGATTGTCTTGGAATTGTTCTTGAACTTAATGTATGTTATTTTTATTTTCATTTTCTTGTTAAATAACAAAACTTGACGTCATAATATCTGAGACAAGTTAGATAACTGATCAATCTTTAGTTTCTTGGAAGCATATTTTCAGGAATTCTTCTAGATTATAATCTAATAATATGTTCTTCCATAACTTTCCTTGCTATTTGAATTCATTTTCCAATAAGAATCTGTGGAACCAAGCTATTCTTATGTACTGATCCGTATCAAATAATATCGGGTTAAGCAAACGTTTTTCGATATTCTTTGTTTTGCATGTAACCCTGTTCAGGTACATGATAAATCGTTGATCTTTTCTTTTTCAAAGATGCACCATCGATTGTACTACTCGGGTCGCAAGATCAAATCTTTATAACTATTTTCGAAATTCTAATGAACTACTAACATTAAATACATGTATCATCGTGTTATTTCTCGCAAGAAAAAAAAATCAGGTAAGTCCATTTTTGTGATTGACAACTAAAGTCATTTTCAATCAAAATCAATGTTAGATAAAATGAACTGCTCTAAGCACTGTAGAAAAAAACAATATTTCCTATGAAATCAGTGCTGATTTCTCTTCAATGTATTTTCATCATCTTCAGTTGAAGACAAGTTTTCATTGTATTATTTTGTTAAGCTTAATTCTTTTGTTATGATTTCTTTCAACAGCTGAGGAAGTTTAATCTATCGATTTGTGCATCGAACTGACTATTTTTAGACGACGTATTATTTAAGAGCAACACAGCAAAAAAAACGTTTTTATTTCAGGGCGAAGCCTCCAGATCAATTGATATAGACGTTACTTTTCACTTATATGTGGGACATGGATGGATAATAATCCCTCATGCATTGAAAGCCACACTAGATCTCTGATTGGTTCCAAATATTATAGACAAAATGAATGAACAAAACTCAACGATTTTCGACTGTCTCTTATATTTTCTTGTCGGAAATAACACAATGATATACATGTTCAGTGTTAGCAGCAGACAAAAATTTCGAAAATAACTATAAAAATTTAGTTTCGTGATAAGCATAGAATATTCAATGATACATCTTTTGAACAAAAAAAAACAAAAGATCAACCTTTTATCATGTTTCTGAATAAAGTTACATGCAAAACAAAAAATGTCGCAAAACTTTTGTCACACTCTATATGTTGACTCTAAAAATTTTGCTTCGAACTTCAAGAATAATACTAAATTTCGAAAAAGACTATGTAATGATCTAAGTAACGCAACAAAGATATACTTTTTGCTAAGTTCATGTCTATTTAACACGTAAAATAGTCGCACTGTACATTACTCAAGAAAAATTTTAATATGTTTCGCTTCACATTCAAAAATTTAATCGTCTTAAGTTTTGAAGATAATATTAAATTAGAGTAAATTTTTTTTTTTAAAAGAAAAAATTCTTTCTATTTATCTAAAATATGATTATAATTTTAGGGATTATTAGTTGCATCTCCTCTTGCTTATATTTTACCAGCTTTGTGCTATTTAAAATTAAAANTTTCGACTGTCTCTTATATTTTCTTGTCGGAAATAACACAATGATATACATGTTCAGTGTTAGCAGCAGACAAAAATTTCGAAAATAACTATAAAAATTTAGTTTCGTGATAAGCATAGAATATTCAATGATACATCTTTTGAACAAAAAAAAAACAAAAGATCAACCTTTTATCATGTTTCTGAATAAAGTTACATGCAAAACAAAAAATGTCGCAAAAACTTTTGTCACATTCTATATGTTGACTCTAAAAATTTTGCTTCGAACTTCAAGAATAATACTAAATTTTGAAAAAGACTATGTAATGATCTAAGTAACGCAACAAAGATATACTTTTTGCCAAGTTCATGTCTATTTAACACGTAAAAAGTCGCACTGTACATTACTCAAGAAAAATTGTAATATGTTTCGCTTCACATTCTAAAATTTTGATCGTCTTAAGTTTTGAAGATAATATTAAATTAGATTAAATTTTTTTTTTTAACAGAAAAAATTCTTTCTATTTATCTAAAATATGATTATAATTTTAGGGATTATTAGTTGCATCTCCTCTTGCTTATATTTTACCAGCTTTGTGCTATTTAAAATTAAAATCAAATTCATCTCAGTTTGTATGTGATAATATTTGTCCATGTATTATACTGATAATTGGTATATTACTCACAATATCTGGTTTTGTTCTTCCGCTAAGACATGCATTACAAGAAGGTTATTATTGTCAACATGGTATTGAACCTCTTTATTGTAAAAGTATGTTTTCACAAACAATAAATCATACAATGATCAAAATTAGAGTATAAACCTCAAATTAATAGACATCATTAATCAATTATTGTGTTATTTTTTTTTTCTGATATAGACATAAAAGCTTCAATAAATAAATTAGTAAAAAAAATAACAAGGAAAAGTTCTATAAATACACCTATTTATTGGTTAACTGATGTAATTTGTCTGGTTGATTGACATTATCCAGATATATACATAAGCGAAAATCTTTCACTCAGCACCTCTTCTCGTTTTCTTTTTTTTTTTTTTTTTGCTATCCAAATATCATCAACTTCTTATCAGTATGTATATGTGTCGTCAACAGGCGTTCGTCTTATTATAATATCCAATCAATGTGATTATTGCAAGCTTTTCTAATTCTGTTTATATTTTTACATTGAGAAAATATTATTGGTTAAAGAAAAAAAAAAAATTATCCATATAGACGATAGACAAGCAAAGCAAATAAGAAGATGAATCTTTCTCAATGGAAAACGATCAGTCAATTGGTTTGTTGAGAAAAAGAAGAAGAAGAAAAGACAATCACGTTCGACGAATGAGAATAAGAGAAGAATCAATTACATTAAACATATCATCGCGTGCAATTTCTGATTGTTGTTTCAGCTCAAATTTGCCAGACAGAAATATAGAGAAAAAAAAACGAAGAAAGAATTGTGCTATCTTTACATTGAGCAGAAACAGATCGTTTTAATGGGCATCGATAAAAAGAAGAGAGTAACAAAAAAAAAACGAAAGAGAGCGAGAAAAGAGAAAAAGAGCCAAATCTTGGATAGATAGATAGATGCACAACAAAGAAAGCGACAGTAATATCAAGAGAAAGATGATTTGCTCGAACGAGTTTTTAATAAACTAAATGACAAACGGATCATTTGACGTCTGAAAATATTTTTATTCATTCAATCAATCATTCATTCATTCAGTCATATAATCTCTACAAATGAGTAAGAAACTTGGTTTTAATATATCTGATCTGCTTTCTCAACCTGCTACGACGTTATCTGTATCACCAACAACATCATCATCTTTATCTACAACATCAGATTTAGCAACATGTTCAAATGAATATCAACAAGATCGACATGTTGAATCTTCTTCAATTTCATCAATAATACCAATAAATGAAAGTAATAATCATTTATCAAATTATGAACAATTAATGAGAGCTTCATCAATTTATCGTAATCAAGATTATTCTTTATTACCCATTGTTAATGGAACTTATCCATGGATACAAACAGATAGTGTACTAAAAGATCGTTTTTCGTGTAAGTTAATTTCTATTGACATTTTTATGAGAGTAGTCACGCAAATTTGAATAGTTGATGTATTGCCATTTTTAAGTATTCCATAATCAACGACGTTTAGGTCATCCATATCAAAATCGAACACCACCAAAAAGAAAAAAACCTCGAACATCATTTACTCGTTTACAAATTCTTGTAAGTAAAATCTTTTTTTTTCTTCTAATTCAAAATATGCGATAGGTTGTGTTGTTTTTTTTCTATTTAATATTCATATAGGAATTAGAAAAACGCTTTCATCGACAAAAATATTTAGCATCATCCGAACGTTCTCAATTAGCTAAAGGTTTAAAAATGACAGATGCACAAGTGAAAGTACGTGAAATTTCTTTCTTTTGAATAATATTTAATTATAATTGAATCAATAAAAAAAAAAATTCTAGACATGGTTTCAAAATCGTCGAACAAAATGGCGACGACAAACAGCTGAAGAACGTGAACAAGAACGACAAGCAGCAAATCGTCTTGTTTTAACAAATTCTCATCATCATCGTTCATTATCATCAAGTCCAAAATTACCATCACCATCATCTCATCAAATATCAACTGATAATAATAATTCATTAATATATTCAAGTGCATCTTTAAATGCTTTACAAAATTTACAACCATGGTCAACACCATCAAATCATTCAAGTTTATCATCAAGATCATCATTATCTGATGATAGTAATCATCGAACAAATAATCGACAATAATATAAACGAAATACTTTTTCTCTTTTTCTTTTTTGCCTTCATTCGTTTTACTTATATAAATATATTTCAATGATGTAAGTGTGTATATGTGTGTGTGTGTGTGTGTTCTGTCAATAAACACTTGGCAGATTGTAATGTCTGTCTATCTATCTGTCATTTTAATTAGAAAGACAAATCCCCAGAGAAACATCTTATCTATCTATTTCGTTACACTTTAGTAAACACATTTTGTTAGGCAACTTCCATTTAATTATTAAACTCAATTCTCTTCTTCAGGGAGTAATACAAAAACAATTTTATTTAAATATTTTTTAATAGTTCAATCATTAATAATAAATTTTCCTTGATCTTATTTGATTTTTCTATTTCAATCGATTGAATATGTTCGTGTTTTAGGATAAATGTACATATATCTATCTGTCTATCTATCTCTTATTACTATTCAACAGGCGACAATTGTCACACGCAATATTCAAAAAAAAATGATGACAATACTCAAAAGACTAAAGATCATCCACCAATTAATTAAGTAAAAAAGAAAAAGAGAAGAAGAGAATATCTTTTTTGTATATATGTGTGTATTATGATTTCGAATATGGAAAATTGCTTTTCAATGTTTATATATCAAATTGTTTGTCTTGTTTTGCTCATATATATATATATATATGCAATTCTCTAATCGATAAATGTATATATATATATAGACGTCTGGCTATGATCATCTTCACATACAAACACTAGATCGCAAATTTATGTTGTGTTGAACGTTGAAGAAGAGGTAATTGAAGTGATTAATTGCAAGTTAATTTGGATACCAGCCGGTAATAAAAAAAAACAAGAGCTATTGCTTTGTTAGTTAAAGAGCTTTGTTTTGTGCTTATGAGAGAAAAAAAAATTGTTCTAAAGAGAATGATACGCGAAAAAAACGAGTTTTATTCGAAAAAGCCATATACATCGTTTTCATTTGCTTGTTCGTTACTTTTAATTGGTCGTTCGGGTGATATAGATGATGGTGGGCTACGTTTTTCCAATCGAGCTGGTGGTCGGTCATGATCTGTTGAATGATGTTTAAGTATATCATTTGTTGTTTCATCCGTTCTTGGTGTTGTATTACGATCAAAAATAGGTTTTAAACGTGATTGATCACGTACTGATGGTGACGTTGGAGTTGTTGAACGACTATGATTAGCAAGATTAACTTCATCCTCACTATTTGTAGGTGGTGTTCGAGATAGAATTGGTGAACGACTTCGACGTGCTGGCGCCGGCGGAGAACTAGGTTCATCTCGATTAAAATTTGAATTAATTTTTGTTGTTGTTCGAGATTGAGAATGATGATTTGTAATTGTAGTTAGTGATGATTGTGTTTTAGCAGTTGTTGTTCGATCAATAGATACATGTTGTTGTTTTCTATGTTTTTTAGTGTGTTTATTATCAATTAATTGATCATTTTGATTTGGACTTGTGACATTAGATGCTATTGTATCTTCAGTTGTTGTGGTAGAATAGTCCGATAGATTGTTCATTTCTTCTTGATGTTCTAAACAATTTCATATGATTATTCTTAGCTTTAATTACTATGAGGAAAAGAAATCTAAATCTGTAAGCCTCGTAAACGATTTATTTCAATGCTACTTCTTTCTTCTTGCAGTGAAAATAGAATTAAGTTAATTTCAAAGAAGGGCTTTCGATAATCTTTATAAAATATAATTTAGATTAGAGACTTAAGAAAGTAGTCGCGGCATGCTTTTTCATACCGTTTGTATCAATATGTTCTTTGTGTGATACCATTGAGGTCACTTGAAAATCACGCATAGTCTTTTGATCATTTGATTTATTCGATAGCCAAGCATTGCACAAAATATTATAAGTTAATTTACGTATTGGATCATTAATAGATACTTTATTTAAAAACCAACCTGATCCTAACAAGCAAAAAAAAAGAAACATATTAGAAAATTTATAAACTGCTAGAAAAAATGAATCACAATTGAAATACTTACGCATATCTTTTTGATCATGTCCAATTGTAATTCCAACTAATTGTCCAACGTGACACGTTTGAACAGTAAATACATCAGTTTGATCTTTTAAAAATGGTACACGATGTGTTTCAGAATTGTTAAGATCAACAAAATCTGTATATCCATTTGTTCCATAAAATTTTATACGAATAGGTGCACTTGTTGAAGCACCATTACAATTTCCTGTTATAACTGATACTTTATAATCACACAGAATACCTTTAGTACATAGCTTCGCTTTACGCATCTTTAGTAAATAAAAAAAAACATTTTGTTTGCAATTTAGATTAATTTATTTTTCTATACGTACGATGGATGATGCTTTTTCAAGAGTATTTGCAGTCCTACGTTTTGATTTTTTAGGATGTTGAACAGCTGTTGAAAGTCTTACATTTGTTGATGCATCAGTTAAAGTTAGTGGAACTGTTTGTACATTAGATTGATCACTATAAAAAAATATAAATAAATAAAATATTTTCGATTAATTAATCAATATTTACTCTGTTTGACGTGGAGAAGGGTTTGCATTTCGAGATTCATACACTGCCGGTGTCTAAATTTATTTCAATAATAGTTTATGATTAAGTCCTTTTACTCTTGTCTTCAACACAATGTTTTACTTGTTCTGATAATAAATATTTTTCATAAATTGATCGTCGTGTTTTGATCATTGATGCAAGAATATTTGCTGTATTATCAATTAATTGATTTTGTTCATGATGTGAACGTTTTGATGCAGATTTTGATGCTCGTTTTTGAAATTCAAGACTTGATGTTCTAATTTACAATAAAAATTCAACATTCAATTATTTCTATCAATAAAAAACAAAGAAACTTACCCACTGCATGATGAACTTGATCGTACGGTTGGTCTTAAACGAAGTTCAGCAAATTGCTGATTTTCTCTGGGCTAAAAATATTAGTGGAAATCATTTAATATAAATATTTATTTATGTGCTTACTGAATATTTGTATGTACGCATATGGAAATTAAGTTCATCACGACATAATTGTTTTTCAGGACTACTTGATAAGCTCTAAGAAATATTAATATACTGTTATTACAAGTATAAAAGTAAATAAAAGAAAAATAGAGATTACATGAAGTTGTTTTTGTTGTTTTTGAAAACAACGCAGATAAACTTTAAGATCATTATCTGAATGATAGGAACCATAAAGCGGAGGATATTCNTAATTTACAATAAAAATTCAACATTCAATTATTTCTATCAATAAAAAACAAAGAAACTTACCCACTGCATGATGAACTTGATCGTACGGTTGGTCTTAAACGAAGTTCAGTAAATTGCTGATTTTCTCTGGGCTAAAAATATTAGTTGAAATAATTTAATATAAATATTTATTTATGTGCTTACTGAATATTTGTATGTACGCATATGGAAATTAAGTTCATTACGACATAATTGTTTTTCAGGACTACTTGATAAGCTCTAAGAAATATTAATATACTGTTATTACAAGTATAAAAGTAAATAAAAGAAAAATAGAGATTACATGAAGTTGTTTTTGTTGTTTTTGAAAACAACGCAGATAAACTTTAAGATCATTATCTGAATGATAGGAACCATAAAGCGGAGGATATTCTTTTGCTGTTCCATACATAAATCTCTGAATAAAAGACAAAAAGAAAAAAGAACTTGCATTTAATTTCTAATTTCCTTTCTTGACGTACTGCTTTAAGCGGTATGGAACTCGATACTGAAGAATTGGGATTTAAAACAAAAGCATTTTCACGACGTTTTACATCAATATAATATCTCCTAAAGAAAAGAAAAATCCAATATAATTTAATTATGTTTACATAAAGAATCATGAAAAAAAAAAAACTTACAAACTTTTTGACGTTTCCTTAATAACTGAATGTGATAATCGATCCATAAATGGTGTTGTAGTTGGTAAAGATGTATTACCATTATTATTAGTCATTACACGAGCCATAAGGTGTTTTTTTTTTGTTTTTTTTTATACTCACTCAATCAGTGTTGTCAAGTAAATGAGTCCAGATTTTTTGACATAGTAATCTAAGGAGAAAATGAAAGATTAATTTTACATTTCAATGTTGCTTCTCGTTTTCTCTCCTTTTTTTTCTCTTTACTTCATCCGATGCAATTAACCTTCTTCTTTACTCGTTCTTTCTAAGCGATGAGGTTTCACAAAATTTTTATTTCAACTCAATAACAACCATGAAAAATTTATGTGTTTGAGTGTAGCGATGGTGTTGAGTTGTTCATTTCTTTTTTTTTACTATGTCTTACCTTCAACAATAATTTCCTTCTCTTATTCTCTGTCTCCCTCGTATTCTGTCATTCTGATTTCAATGGTGTATTCTCAAGTTCTTCATTTAAAATAAAAAGAAAAACTATTTTTTTCTTCTGTTCTCTTTCATTTCAGATTATATACTCGTGCCAGTTTCATAATACTTTCTCTTTTTCCTTTTGTTTCCTCAAGAGTAGCTGTGTGTATCTTTAGTTACAGAATATAAGAGGAATGTTTTTGTTGAAAAGAAGAAACTAACGACAAGAGTAAAAAGATGTTGCAAGCAGTGAAAGAAAAGAGAATAAAAGAATACAAAATCAACACAGATGCATATGTGTGCAGGTCTGTTACCTTAGTTATCGTTTTTCTGCTGTGTTTATTGTTAAAATCTCAAAGCAGTTTTCATGATGAAGACAAAAACTTATGGCAAATGTTAAATAATATTTGTCGGTATGTTTTTAAAGATTAGATAAAATAATAATAATCGCATTATTTTTTTGCTTTTGTGATGATGGCAATTATCAAAATCAATATAAGAAAAAAAAAAGAAAAGATTATAAATTCTGAAAATAATCTCGAGCCATGTAAAAGTCAAGTAGATTAAATGTTTGATGAACAGATGTAAATATACTTGATTTTATTATCAAAGTTTATTTAGAAAGACACAAAAAGAAAAGAAACATGCTAAATAGATAACTAGATCTATTGGAACATTAAGTTGTAATATTGTCATTTGATGTTGACAATAATCGAACCGAATTGAGATCAGAAAATGGTAGAACAACCTGAAATATATATGTATTAAAAAACTAAATAGTAGAAAAAATAAATTTACCGTTGTTAAAACTTCTTCTGATTGTTCTTCTAATGGTGCATAGAATTTTGATGGTTGATCAAAAACTGTTTGAAATGGTTTATCAACTTGAATAGTTAATTCACTGGTAGTTTGATTAACATCAACTACTAGTCCTTCTTTAAATGTTGACATTTTTGGACAAAAATCTTCACCTAATTCAAGTAATTTGAAAGCAATACGTGTTTGAATTGATGGACATTGTGTAACTGGTGGATAAAGATCATAGGTTTTATCATTGTCTTCAATGGCTTCAGCAACAAGTGGTAATCGAGCTAATTTATTAAATGATGTTGGTAAAGTCTAGAAAAAAATAATTTTTCTTTGTTCTGTTTTTTTTTTGATATAAAGAAAACTTTGTCTAATTACTTGTGGAGTAGAAGATGATGAATGATATCCATTCGGTGATGTCTGTTTTAAAAGTTCACTTTTATCAAGACCAAATGCTTGATCAACAAAATTTGCCATTGAAAAATAATCTAATGCTCGTTTTCTATGTTGTGCACGTTGTCTACCGAATTGTTGTTGAATTTTTTTTGCTTGTCTTTCACCAGGACTTTTATGTTGTTTCATTTCAAAAAGAAGATCAATAGTTTTTTTCTTAGTTTTTGTTTCATTTGTTGTTTTAACTTCATCTGCTGATATTGTTGCTGGAATGGACTGTATATTAATTGAACTGTTAGTATCATTGATAAGAGGTAATGTTTCTGTTGGTTTATTCTCTTCATTAGTAGTTTTTGCTTGTGATAATGATTCTTCATCACTATCAGAATCGAATCGAATATGTGCTTTCTCTATAACAATCTATGATTAAATAATATAAAATATTATAATTGTATTACCATGTACATTGCTTTTGACTGGTGGTGTTTGTGATTTCCATGTTGGTGTCTTTGATTTTAATTCTCTAATACGAACATTTGTTGATGAAAGTGATAATGGTGGTTCTGAAGCAATTTCTTTTTCAATAATTGGCTCTTTTAATACGGGTAATGTTGGTGGAACTACTGGTGGTTCAGGTATAGATTGAATTATTGGTGGAACAATAACTTGATTTTCAGTTGATTTGGTTTTTATTTTCTTTTTACATGATTGCTCATCAATATTTTCAATAGGCTTTGTAATTGTTATTGTTGATTCTGACAGAATATTTTGTTCAACGGATTCAACACGTTGTCGTTTATGGTTGTTTTCAGATAAAGTTGATGGCGGTTCAATAGAAATGGATGAAGACAAATTAAGACTAACTGAATCCTGAAATGAATTTTTGTGTAAACTGTACTTTTTTAATGGTATAAGACTAAAAAAAATAGACAGTTGATTAATAATGTGAAACAGATATCGGATCGGTTTGGTCTGAAACCAAATTGATCTCATCTCGAATTTAAAAGAAAACGAATTTTCTTACGTAAGTTGATCATTGTCACGTAAAATTTGACTAGAACTAAATGGTAATAATTGACAATCATCAAGATTTAAAATAAATGTTTGTTCATCTTTTTCTTCTATTGATAAAGATATTTGATTTTTTAAATAATTTAATTGAATATCTTCAATTATATCCTTAATACTTAACAATTTTGATGGTTCAAAAGCATACCAAAAATTATGATATTTTTTTGATGAGCTATCATCAGATACATATTGCAAATGTATTTGTACACGAATAGCATTCATAACTATTTTTATTTTTCTTTCTATTTCTAAAAATAGAAAAAGAATAAATCTATTCATTTTTCAATTTCAAACATGATTTTATTTAAAAAAAAATATAAAAGTTAATGTCATGAATAAGAAAATTAGATAAATTATTTCTTTCAATACAAAAATGAATATTTAATAACAAAAACTTTTATGATAATAATAAAGTCAAATATAATTGAATTTATTTTCTCTTCTAGAAACCATTATTAATCAATCTAATATGTTCATATTGAAAATCATACGAAGCAAAACCAAAAGCATTCATAATACCAAAATTGTTCATGAAGTTGTTCACTTATGTTCGGACTCGATAATTCATATGCATGTTGAGAGTATTTAAAGGAATCAAAACATTCATGCTTAGTATTAGGTCAAGATTCATCAATATCACAAATGGTTGTAAGATACATTGAACAATCTCTCAGAATTTATGTTTTTAATCAAACTTTTTTAAAGATATTATTTATAACCATTGACCCTCTGGCACTAATTATGTAGAGTTGGTGTTAAATCAACCACGGGAATGGTTTATGAAGCTGCTGATTATGACAGTGATATGACTGAATTTTGACGAAGTCATGTTGCTGCAGAGATGCATAATCGGTTAAAAATATCGCATTGGTTTGCAATGACATTAAAATTGAATTTAACATTAATTTGACCTTTTTTACAGTTTTTCGTGCTCATGTAGTTATTTTATCTGTGTAAAGCTGGAAACCTAATTATCATAAATTCTCTTTTTTTGCTGAAAGATAATTCATTTCTGGAAATGATTGTTGATTATGATCTCAATTCTAAATCACCCATTTCTATTGCTAAGACATCGTTCAGAAGAACAACCGTACCAGATTCTGCAGGTTTCTATCTTTTATCAAGAAGAAATTATTTATAAAGTGCTGCGGAATGCTTTTTGACTGGACTATTCGTTTTCATGAAGTTTTAAGTATGAAGATGGTGTTATTTATGAGTTTATATCGAAAACGAAATGATTCCTGTAAAAAGCTTTCTTTCATATTACTCACTGCGGATAAGTCACAAAATGAACCAAGTTGTAAGAAAAAATGCTATTTTCACGTCTATAACCAAAAGATTTTTAAAAACTATTCCGTCAATAGATTATCGCCAAAATAGTTTAGAGGACTGCACGAATACAACTACAAATTGTAGTTCTGAGACATTATGCCCCCCCCCCCCCCTCAGAAACTTAGAATTTGCAGAACTTGTAGTGTCACGTAGTTGCCAGCCTTTTCCTCGCACCCATATTGACCGAGAGCCATTCTCAGTTCCTTCCTTGCACCTAGACTATCCTACAAAATCTTGATAACATAGATATGAGTCGTTCAGACGTTACCCTCAAAACTACCTAGTTCAAACTTCAAAAACAGTAGCACCATCGCTGTCGATTTCGTATCATCCATTGATATTTTCCGAGATTAGATGACACGACCAATTTTCAAATTCTACATTTTTCACTCAACACATCACACTGCATGATACTACAAATTCTGAAAATTGTAGGATTCTCAGGTCATGCTATTTCGGAACTACAAATTGTACTTCTATTCGCGCATATCTAGTAGAATAGGTCGACCTCACAAACACTTGAATAATCAGTCTGTGTAAGTAAATGTAGTAAAAACTTCAGATTTTTTCACGATTTTTCAAATCATGAATCTTGGTCAAAGAATAATGAAAATAAGTTGTATTGTTTATAAGTTTGCAGCTTATTGAAGACTCTAAATAATATTTGAGAACCGCCTCGATCCGATAGTATACAACTCCAAGTAGATAGTTTTCATGAATGAGTAAAAAATGACTCAACACAAATTAATAGCTCAATCAACTAATCATTTGGAATTCTATTTCTCAATATATGTTCTGTCGATCAATGATTGTTATATGTTCAAGTATAAATTCAGTTTTTTTGCTTTTCTTGTGTTTAGATTCTTTTAGTCTACAAAATCATATCCGAATATTAGACGTTTTGAACATATTCCCAACGTGTATGTATCATTTTAAAATCATATTTTACTTTTCATGAAAAATATTTACGTGAAAGTTGATTGAATATATCTTTATGTCTAAAAATAAACAAAATAAAAATGAAATATAAAAGAATAAATTTCCTTTTGCTAAGTGACAATCAGGATACACTACTTTTTGATAATTATTTCCTGAACTTTGTTTTGTTTATTTAAGTTTGAAATATATCAAATGTGTGTTAATTTTTTCCTAAAATAAAAATTATTTTTCAAATATTTCTTTTATCTAATTTCTTTTTACTATACTATTCCCATCTTCTTGAGCTTCGTTACAATTATCATTTAAATATTGGTACTTCATTTGAATAAATCAAACATCAGCTAAACACAACATTTGTATAACTGATTTCTTTTTTGATTATCTTTATAAATTACAAAATATAATCTAAACTTCAGATGATTTGACTCAAATTTCAGTATATAAACGAAAGACTGTAAAACAAATACATAAATATAAATGAAACTTTTTCTTTAAAAATACAACAATAGATAAGTTTTTCATCATCTTTTAAGCAATTGCTTGACGATAAAAAAAATTCAACATAATAGTTCTATACTTTTCAAACTGAACAGGTACAATCTGTCGTTTAAATAATGATGGATTTAGAACAATCTTACATATTTATTGAAAATAAATAATTTCTTAATAAAATACGAATATTTTTGTAACAAACCATATATCATAATGGAAGATTTATATCTGCTCCACCAATATATAATTTTACTAACTTTCTTGAATATGTCATAAATAAATGATGACTTTAAATACATTGAATATTTAATAAAAAAAAATATTCAAAGGATTTTAGTTACTTATATGATTTTCTTCGAATATTTTCTCATAAACAAAACATTATAAACGTTCATCTATGTTTTTACTGCTTTTAGTATGAAACTCAGTTGTTCATATATATCTGTATATACAGTGACTGTCAAAATTATCCAACCAATATATAATTTATTTTGTGTATATCTCAAAAACTAGATGAACTAGAATGATCTTGACTTTCATCGTATTCCAGTCAATAGTCTCTAGTATACTGGTAAAAATATTTCAGATCAATCCATTCATCTGTTTAGTTTTTATTGATGATACAATCACACCATGTCATTTTTCATCCTATCAAAATTATCGAACTGCATATGTTTGGAAACTACTACGTGCCTGTTCTCTGTTGAAATATTCTTTATGAGACATGACTCAATCGAATAAATTATGCTCTACGAAAGGAGCAAGTTTTATTGTAGTTTTCCTATGAGTATAGTTTTAAAAGAAATGTCTTTTTGACCTATACCCGATATTTTTACTAGCAATTCGACAAAAGACATTTTCCTTTTCATATGATGTTTATCCAATTTTTGGCTCAATATAGCATTAACGAGAACACTATAAATTGCATGGAGTAACCTATTTGAATACAGATTTCATATTGGAAAATTGTATTGGTCATTTCTTGTATATATACTAATAGATAAACCTTCTTAAACGGTCTTATTCGTCCACTGAAAGAGATAAAATGTTATTTTAGAAGCATAGATCTATTGGGAATCTTTTTCCATGAAAAAACTCTTATATTTGGAATGAAAACCGATTATGTTACTTAAGTTATAAATAGCAGGAGTAACAAGCTTATGATAATGTCAGCAACAGTCTATGCGCAGATCTCATTAAATACAACTAGTTTTTGCGCGTCCCGTCTATGTAGATATAGAATGATATTTAGAACAACGCACTATGTCAAGTTTTACTTGACATCTCTTTATTTGGTGAAATACCCATCTAGTCTATTGCTGGAACTATCATTAACTCTGTATTTCTGCCATTATCTATAGCCTAAGTGGCATAATCGGTTGTTATTTCAAATATTTAAGTTTTGTACAGAAGAAATTTCCCTAAAAATCCACACTTTTAAAATAAATTTTTATACATCTTTCAATGATAAATAAAATATTTCATGCAATCTATAGTGCTCTTGCTAACGCAATATGGAGTCATAAATTGGATAAACATCATGTGAAAAAAGTCTTCTTATCGTTTTGTTGTTGAAAATTTCTGTTATTGGTCAAAAAGATATTGTTCTTAAAGTCATATTCAGAGAAAAACTACAATCAATATTGCCCCTTACGTAGAACATAATTTACTCCAATAAATCATGTCTCATAAAAAATATTTCAACAGAGAACAGGCACGTAGCAGTTTCCAAACATATGCAGTTCGATAATTTTAATAGAATGAAAAAGGACATGCTGCGATTGTATGGTCAATAAAAACTAAACAGATGAATGGATTGACTTGAAATATTTTTACTAGTATACTAGAGACTATTGACTGTAATTTGACGAAAATCAGATCATTCTAGTTCATCTAGTTTTTGAGATACGCACAAAATAAAATTATGTACTGGTTGAATAATTTTGACAGCCACTGTATATGCACAATTTGATAATAGTAACAAAACAAAAGTTAACTATTTCATTAAGATTTCATAGATAATGTTAAGTAAATTTCCATCGACTGTTTCTTTTTCTTTTTCATAAATTTGAATTTTTCATGAAGAGCGAAAACGAACAGACATAAAATAAATAAAAAACACAAACGAGAATATTCGAACCATTAAAACTAGTCGTAGTAGAAAAATTACAAGAGTGTTGTATCAAAAAATCTTAATCATGAGAAAATAATATCAAAAAAATTAGCTACTTCATTACTCATAATTTAGGATATACATTTTCTTGATCGTTGGAAAATGCTGTCTCTTACAAATATTGATTATGATAGCTGATCAGTAGAGAACCATTAAAAAGGCAAGATGAAAGTAAATTACATTATAATTCAAGAATTGATTTCTAAAAAAAGGAAAGGAAATACTGAAAGAAAAGGGTCTCTTCAAAATCAATTAAAATGAATAATAATTGATTTTCCTACTCTCAAAATGCATTCTTATTTGACACTTTTACACATAAAACGCGCAAAAATTCGTTCAATTACATTAAAACATTAAGTAATTGAATCAACATTTTAGTACTTCAATATGAGCTATTTAAAATAGAATAAAAAGCTCGATTCTAGTTATTTATCAAACGCAGTTCGTAATAAACACTATAATATTGTTTTTCTTCAGAAATAAAGTTTAGAATGTACTTGAAGTAAATATAAAATAATATGTCAAGTCGTACTTTTCTTTTTTTCAAGACAACTTATTTCCACCCTCTCAAATCTACTTTGCAATGCTTGTGCCATCCTTAATGAGATCTCACTTCAACAATATTTTTCTGAATCTTGTCATAGCTCATTAATATTTCTATTTGAACACACTTAGAAGTTTATAAAAAACAGACAGAATATCGAAATGTCTTGAAATGTATAGCAATACTAAGCTGTGATATTTCAATTACGCAAAAATTCTATAAAATATCCAACAAAGATAAAATCTATCTAAGAACTGAATAAAAGACATTCTTCGTCTAATCTGTATAATTTGACGAATTCTAGAAAACCAAAACAACCTATTATCCATTATTTCTTACTTAATTATTGTCGCTCATGAAATTTTATGGATGAATGTGAATATTTGATTGAACAAAATAGCCTCGAAAATCTTCTACTCGGTCGATTAGAAAATATAAACGAATGATCGAATTATTGATTAATTCAAGGTCCATCGGAAACTTATTATAATTTTGTTGACATCTCTTTAGTAATTTAGAAATTCGTATTTTTTCAGTTTCAAATACGGTTGACAAGTCATCTTTACAATCATTTTTAATTGAAGCCAAGCATTTGTTGGAATAATTCTTCATATTAACATTGTAAATTGAATTGTCTTCTTAATAAAAATAAATTAATCTCTAAAAAATGACATATTCACATCATCTTCAAAACAATCAGTAACTATTCTATGTTAAATTAAAAAACTAATCTTAAAACGTCAGTATTAAAGAAAAAGACAAAAACGACAAGCCATCACATACATACACTTACTTTAACTAATTAAAACTCATCAAACACATTCATAAGAAACAAAATTCAATACAATGATACCTGTAGAACCTGTCAAACAAAAATAGAAAACCTCATTACTTGTAAAATTTATCTCGAGCTCAAACTATTATATAAAACAACTAGGATGGGATTAAAAATCATGAAGCTTCCACATATATAGCAACATGATAATGTATTTTATAGATTTCTTGACAAAAAATAAGTATTTTCGAATAAAAGATTCTCTAAATCTATGAATTTTACCTAACTAATTAATTGCATGACAATATCTCGACAGTCATATTTATTTGCGTTTTTCTTCATGTATATCACACAATGCTTCAGACGACAATGCACCAAAGCCGAGCAACCAGTCCACACTTTTTTAACTAAATAAACTTCAATAAATTTCACATTCTAGAAAAAATAATTATTTTTTTTTTAATGCAAGAATTCTTATTTTACGAATAAGAATTAAAACAAAAAAGAATTTCATCATTTCATAATAATACCAACATATTTAATCCTTAAATTGATTGACTAAAATCTACATATTTTAATTGACTAGTTTGTACCAAAAATTCTAAATAAATTATTATTATTATTCATAGTTTTCTTCATTGTATTTTTCATTCATCATCGTGTCAAAAACACCATTTACTAATTAGAAAAAGTGTGTAAACTTCTCGGTCTAGATGCAATTTTTTCTTCTTCATGAGACTGTAGCGCTTTCCATTGATTAGTTATTCGTTATTCACCAATAAAATCCATTTGAATAATAAGAAGAGAATAGAGAAAAAAAAAGAAAAAGGAGAGAAAAAAGAAACGTAAACAAATCCAATCGATCGATCGATCGTTTGTAGTCTTACGGCATCATTTTTTTCTTTTTTTTCTGGAAAGCTTGCTATCGTCGATTTTCCATCAGCTACATCTCCGTTATTCATTATAGAAAAGGACAAAGAAACATCATAATATTTTATCAATAAAAGAATTCGGGTCATGCATTCCGTTCATTATCTATTTTTATCATCATGGCTCAACTATGTGGTAAAATTATCTTAATTGATTTGAAAGAGCTTTTGAAATTTTGTTTTGTTTTCTTATTCAGAAGCCAGTACAATATTAAAACGATTGAGTGAACGTTTATATCAACATAATAATTGTGAAGAACAACTTGATATTAATTCATTGCAACAAATTCTTGATAGTCCTTTATTTAATACATTATATAATTTACAAGAGTCTTTTCAACAAATAAAATTTGAATTTGAAAAAGGAAATTATTTAATAAAGAATTGTTTATTTGATTTTGATATAGAAGGACATTTGAAATTAATTAACAATAAAATAACGAATTCAGGTATATATTTATTTTTCTTAATAGGAGAACAAAACATGATTAAATTCTTTTAGATATTGAAAACAACGATCATTTATCGAATAAATGTGCCATTCGAAAAGTTATTTTGAATAAAAAAACACCCAACGAGTCGCTAGGATTTAATATAGTTGCATATAAACATCAATTATTTGGTATTAATGCAATTTTTATTGATGATATTCAACCGAATAGCCTTGCTGACGTGTAAGTTCTTCGTTCTTTTCTTTTGTTTTTTTTTTCTATCAAGTGTGTTTTTCATGCCTTGGGTTATTCACCTGTTTTTACCTTAGGTTTCTTTTTTTTTTTATCTCTCATGGGATTCTCATTAGCAAACAATCTATGATCTGTTTTCTATCGACATATTTACAAAAAAAAGAGTTAATCGAAAATTGTATTGATAGCTATTATATCAACGTCATTAGTGCATATTTTTGAGTACATAGCGATGTACAAGATAAATAAATATATTAATTACGCGCTCGTTTTTCTTTCAAATAATGTCATTTAATGAAATTTGTTTTTTCATCGTTGCTCCTTTCATGACCTTCAATGACAACAAATCATGTTTTCCATTCTTTTATGATAAGGGAACGCAAAAAGAGATGATTTACAAATAATTTCTTTTGCTGTGTCGTGTCAATTTTTTGTTCTGATAGAAGAATGCATGCTGAGAGTAACAACCATCTTTTTTCTATTTGTACTTTTTCTAGCGTGTATGCTCTATGCTCTGCCACTTTTGACAGTTGTCGGCACGCACATAAAAGCCGAAAAGAGAAATATACATTGACAAGTTTGCCTCAAGAATAGATCGAGAAAAAAAAGTTTTTTCGAGATAGTAAATATATATTTCAATTTAGTGCCATCTATGAAACAAAGAAACCGAAAGAAAAGAAAGAAAAAAAAATCGATAACACTTTTTTATTCTTAGTTTTTGGTGTATGTATGAATGAAAAAAAAGAGAAAGAATCAATCGTCTTGCGTAGGTCTCGAGAGATCATCAACTATTGTCACAAAGGATAAACCCGTTGAATATAAAAAGAAAAAAAAATAAGAAATAAGAAAAGAGCGGAAGGAATAGATCATTATCATCATCATCATCATCATCACTGTCATCATCATCATGAATAGGAAATAGAAGCAGGTTTATTAATTATAAGACTACAATGAACGCACCTAGCTTTATGTTCTATTATCTAATAGGACATATGAGAAAAAAAATTATTATTGACAGCCAAGTAAGAATTATTATTATTATCACTATTATTATTAGATATATATAATAAAAAAAAAAAAAAAGTGAGGAGATATATATGATTTATAACGAAGAGTAAAGTCACACTATGAAACGTGTTTTGTTAACATTTAATATATTGATAATAACGCCAAGAAAAGGAGATGATAACAAGGATGTAGATTGTTGGTTTACGTGCACATGATGGATATTTTATCATGAAAATTAAATTATCTAAGACGTTGATGGACTACAAAGATAGAATAGCTTTCTTCATTCTTTTTTTTCTTCTCTTGCTTCGTCTTGTTTCCCTATTTCTCTTGGCGCTAAATTGAGAATTTTGTGCGTGAAGTCGAGATTGTCTCTGATGATGTGTGTATGCGTACATATAATGACGTATATATTTCGTCTTTTTTTAATTGAGTTTTTTTAGAAATGGTCAATTACGAAAAGGCGATCAGATAGTGTGCATCAACGATATTTATTTGGATTCACAAGATTCAACACTTGCCGTTCGTGCTCATCAACTTCTTCTTGATTTAACACGTTTATCAATTGAACTTGTTGTTATTGCTACAACTACTGATTATCCTCATGCGGCCGTGGCAACGTCGAACAACGACGGACACAGCTGTGTTCCGACATTGTCGACGCCTTCTCACGTCGACATGGTGGTAAGATTATGATTAATTGTACAGATAAACAAACAGATATATATACATGTAATACATATATCTATATTTAATTTATACTCATCTTATTTAGCTAAATACATTGTGGACACAAATTGAAGTTGTCGAATTAACCAACGACGGCTCCGGGCTAGGCTTTGGCATAACTGGTAACAAGTCAACGGGTGTTGTTGTCAAAGCAATTGTGCCTGGTTCAATTGTCGATAAAGTAATACCTAGTTGATCATATTATATTGTTTCTTTTCTTTTTTTTTTTTATTATATATTCGTATTTTCTTCTTTCCAACTGGTTTTTTTTTCAATTGCTCGAACAAAAGAAAACAAATAGACACGAGAAGAAGACAGACAGATAGAAAGAAAACCTTATAAAAAGATAGGGAACGAAAGGAAGAAAATAAATTGGTCTAATAAATGATAGTACGTATATATATCGTTATAGAAAAAAAGAATGAATGATAGAACGAGAGGAGAAAATAGCACGGACGAGAGAGACAACCAGTCATTTGCTTCTATATACTACCAATCTTATGAGCAATACATCAAAAATTCCTAATATCCGTTTTTTTGTCTGTTTCTATCTAGGATGGCCGTATTCGTACGGGTGATCACTTATTTCAAATAAATCATGTCTGTGTACGTGGTATGAGCTCTGAACAAGTAGCTGGTATACTTCGACAATGCTCTCAACAAGTTCGTCTTGTTGTTGCACGAAGTGTACGTGAGCCAACAGCATCTTCAACAACAACGATGACAACAACAACAACAACTGACATAGGGATGAATAAACCGTCATTAATGCCACAACGTCCATTATCGATATCCGAGAATTTGATACGAACAACAGATAATAATACATTAGCAACAACGACACCTTCTCAACCAATGGCTACTGATAATGATGGAATTATAAATAGTTCACAAAATCGGATTCTACTTCGTACTGAACGTTTACTAGAAAGCAATCATAGTTTTGAAAAGATTCTTGAAAATCTTCGTGAACAGGTTCATATCTATTTTCTATAAATATTATACAACAGGAAGAAAAAAAAAGGAACGATTAATTATCTTTCCAAACGAGACTAGATGCGCATGTGTGACGTCTTTTTCACTTTCTTCTAACCCATATATATTTTCTCTCTTATTTGGCATCCTTTTCTCTTTTTCCATCCATCTTTCGGATCCTTTGGGCACTTTCTTTTCTTCACTCTTCGTCATTCTCGTCAACTTCTCGACTCAAGCGTCTTTGCACACAACATAGCCATGACAGGTTGTTCTGATAGTCCTACTAGTTGGAAAAGAGAGGGTGTGAAAGAGAAGAAAAAAAAAGAAACAAGCATTCACACTAGTGAAAGTGCGTGTCTATGCCGTCGATTCTATTAAAGAAGCAAGACGAGTGCGAGTCGATTGTCGATTGTTAATCTTCCGCATCTTTTTTTTTCTTCGCCTTCTTTAGAACCGAGCGTTAGAAAGCACTTATAGATCTAATAATACTATGCTAAAGAAACCATAGTTGTTCTTTTATATATATATATATATATATATCAAACTATCGTTATTTGATTGTATCAATATGTTTAGTGTCAATATGAAGATGGCACACAACTATTGGATGTAACATTAGAAAAAGGTGATGATGGTTTAGGTATTACTGTTGCTGGTTATGTGAGTCCTGATTCCACGAATAATGGTAAAATAATACTTTTTTTTTCTTTTCTTTTTTGACATATTGTAAAAGCGGAAAAAGAGAAAGGAAATGTAATTGAAGCAAAATTTATTTAAAACGTTACATTCGAATTATTAAAAAAAAAATGGAAGATTCAATTTTTTTGATAAATAACTTCTATGCATGATTGAGAATAGATAATGATTGAGCCTATTGTATATATCATTTATCATTTCTATTGCTTCTATGTAAAACTAATATTAAAGCAAAAGAAAAAGTAATTCCTTTGAGAGAATTTGAATGTCTTTTTCTTTCATAGACAGAAAAAGCAATTTCATTCATATATCTTTTGACTTTTATATTTATATTTAGATGCCATCGCTGGTATATTTATTCGTGATATAGCTGAAGGTAGTGTATGTTCTCGTGATGGTCGTTTATCAATAGGTGATCAAATAATTGAAGTTAATGATCAATCACTTAATGGATTTTCTAATATTCAAGCACTTTATTTATTACAAAATACAAGTTCATCTGTACGACTTAAAGTTCGACGTTATCTTGATGGTATTAAATTTGAAAAAATTAAAGAAATGATTGGTAATATTGATTTTTCTTTTTTTTTTTGTCTCAAAGAAAAATTTCAATTTTTTTTTATTTTTAAGCACTTGAATCATCACATCCAATAGAAGAAAAAATTGAATTTCAATCTCCATTGGATATTCATGAACAAATACGTCAAAAATGGACTAAAGTTTTAGGAAGCAATTATGACATATTAATAACTGATGTTTATAAACCTGATAATGGTGGTCTTGGAATAACACTTGAAGGTACAGTTGATATTGAAAATGGTGAAGAAGTCCGACCACATCATTATATACGTGCATTGTTACGTGATGGGCCTATTGACACAGAAGGAACATTAAAGTCCGGTGATGAACTTTTAGAAGTAAGGAAATTTAATTTAGGATATTGAAAATTAATATTTGTTTTGTTTTTTTTTCAAAGGTGAATAATCAAATTTTATATGGAAAAAATCATATACATGTTATAGAAATCCTTAAACGTGTTAAACATCAAATTAAACTTGTTTGTGCTCGTCGTAAAATTTCTCAAATAAATGAAGCATCTGTAAAAAATAATATTCATAATCATAATCGTTCTCGTTCAATAACATTTGGTAAAACAGCTGAAATTGTTGTTAAAGCTAAAAGTATGGGAACATTAGATTCACCAAATTCATTATTCAATCTTAATTCATCATCAATACGTACAATAAAACAATATAAATCTCGTTCACTTGAAGTCATTTCAAATTTAGCTTTATGGTCAACATCAATTATAGATATTGAATTACATAAAAGTGATCATGGTCTCGGTTTTTCTGTACTGGATTATCAAGATCCATCAAATCCAAGTTATTCACCTGTTATTGTTATACGTGCATTAGTACCTGGTGGTGTTGCACAATTAGATGGAAGAATTGTTCCAGGTGATCGTTTAGTTGCTGTTAATGATATAACACTTGAAAATATGACATTAGATGATGTTATTAAAATTTTAAAATCAACACCTGTTGGTCCAGTTAAATTAAGCTTATCAAAACCATTGCCGTATCCAAAATTTAAAAATGATAATGATGATGATAACATTTTAACCGATAGCGATCAAGATACAAATAATAATAATAATAACAATAATCAAATAAATCAACGTAAATCACGTAGTAAGGCTACAGCGACAAATGTCATTAAGAATAATCATCAGGTTATTATATTTATTTTGTTTATTCGTTTTATAAACATTTAGAATATCATTTGTTTATTTAGTTTTGAAATGTTATTTTTGAGGTAAATTAATCATAAATATACTAACAATAGAATTGAATTGAATTGATTTGGTTTTTCTAATTATAAACAAAAGGTCAAGGATAGAGAATAAATTTAAATTTCAAGTACACTATGTCAATCATCCTATAGGTCATTTAGTGATGAATTTATAATTGAATTTTTTTTCAATTAATTAGTACAAAAAAAGAATTATTTCCATGTATATATATATATACTCTTTGTAGATCAAAGTAGAATGAGATTAATAGGATTTTCTTTGATATAGTTAATGGAGAATTTATTCGATTATTATTTTTCATTACAAGGACTGTAAGAAATAATAACTCTTTATTCATCAATTCTTCTTTTTTTCTAGATAAAGAACAAATATAGTAGAGTATAGCAAAAGAAACAAATAAGCCTATTTGGTTTTCTTTATAAATCAAATACACTGAATAAAAGATGAATAAATTATAATCTCTATTTCCTTTTCATTATTGAGTAGGGAGAAACTTTTTTAATTAATAAAATCAAAAGAAAAAAAAAAAGTTATAAATATGGAATCTTTTTAAAAATGAAATTAAAACTTTGCAAAGTCTTTAATTATTCAGATGGAATACATGTGTTTAACATTAAATAATAATAATAATTATTTAGATTACTTTTTTTTTCTTCAATTCTTTAGACAAAATTTATACTAATTTTTAATTCAATAGAAAAAAAAAAGACTAGTAAAATAACCTTTGATAGACTATAATCGATTGGTCGTTTTCTTAAAAAAGCAAAAGTTCTATTAAATTAGAACCCACAAGCATCAGCATACAGGAAAATGCTTTCATGTATGCTGATGCTTGTGTTTTCTAATTTTAGTATAGTATTGGCACAGGCGTTCTTATGATGCTTCGTAAATCCATTATTCTTCGTCATGCATAGGATAAAACACAGGCACTCAAACAATATTGTTCTGCAAACATGATAAAATACAAACTTTCATGTGTATCTCAAATAGAATAATTCTATTGAGTTCGAAACAAAAGAAGATATATGATTTCGATATGATTTTTATCGTTCACTATATAAAGAATATTAGCCTATTACAAACCATCATATATCTAGAGTAGATACTAAACAAGATTATGAACTCCTAGTTGAACTATTCTAATATTTTGATTATGAATAATTACACATGAATAATCAATAGCCTAGGGATGAACATGATTATGATGAAGATTTCTTCTTTTAACAAATCAAAGATCTAACTTAAGATTTTTTTATAATGATTTGAAACATTGAAATTGATTTGAAAGAAATTTAGAAATATCTATTATCTTAATCATAGAATAGTAAACTTTCAAGTCAAATTAACATAAGAAAAAAATGTTGAATGATTTTCCGGAATAAATCATAATATTCAAATCTTTTTGTTTTTTACTTCTTTTTATTGATCAAGCTCCTATTAATATCAACTTAGAAAAGCGAAAAACAAAAGTGCTCTTATAATATAATCAAATTGTTCTACTAAGACTAATCTACTCTTTGCTTTTGCTCTTTCTTCTTAACCATATAACTCATTCCGAAAAAAAAAAAAAAACTAATTTCATACTATTCAATTAAGTTTATTTTTTATTAATCTCCTTTTTTTCTTTTTGCTTTTCTTCAAAAACATTTGATAAACTATTAGATAAATTTTATATCGAAAATTAGAATGTAAACGGATGTTTTTTTGTTTTTCATTTTTAGCGTTCTGTTTCAAGTCATCGTCCTTCACGTTCATCATCAATAAAACAAGCAGCTGTATCAGCTGGTATTGCTTTATCAGCTCCAGCTATACTCAGTAAACATGAATATTTAGAATCATTATTAGAAAAAGAAAATATGAAAAATAAAATTGAACAACGTTCATCAAGTACTTATCGTAAAAATTGTCGTGATAAAAATTCTTTAAAATTATTTTCATTAGAAAAAAAAGAATTTCGGAAAGATCAAATTCGACAACTAAACACAGAAGAATATCTTGATTTATTACCAAAAAAAGCACGAAAATTATCAACAAATACAATAATAAATTTACCTGAATTTCAAAATTTTCAGTCAGATCATCTTGTTCTCATACCACAAATAATTTCGTATCCATTTTATGATCGCTTACGTGGTCCATCTGCTTTTACAGCAACGAAGTTTAATCGACAATCAACTAATAACACTTCTAATAATAATAATAATAATAATAATAATAACAATGTAATGTCCCAAACAATAACAATAGCTACATCCGGTGATTTACCACGTACAAGTTTTCCATCAGTAAAGCGATTATCTCGTTCACGACAAACACATGATACAAGTAATAACCATGACCAAGAACAAGCACATATTATGCGACCGTCATCATTGCGACAAATGACGAATAAATTTGACTCAATGGCATGTTTTCATGAAGTGAGTAGATTAGTGATTTTTTTTCGGACTCGTTTGCTTAAGCAAGCAGCATTCACTGCTCGAGGGAGAAAAAAGACAAGAACGAAAATGCGCATATACCGAACAAATTCGATTATAATCGAGAATGATGATGATGATGATGATGATGACGGCTCCAGTCATCGTACTAGTCCTATACGGCTGATGTAGTTTCAATGATGATGGCGGCGAGAGTTAAGGCTGGACTAGTCATAGGAGATAGAAAGAGACAAAGAAGAAAAGGAAGAACAGTCAATCTCTTGAGAACACATACTGGAAAAGAACAAAACAGAACGCTTTTGACATTTGAGCAGTAGCAATGAAAAAACAGCAGCGTTGTCGACATAACGGATGCATCTTGATTAAAACGCGAGAAACGATCTCTTTTCTTCGACTACATATACCAATTTCTTTTTCTTGCTCAGATTATCCTTTGCTCTAGTGCACAGTTTCTGTTCTGTTCGATGTTTCCTGTGGCTTTCGGATCCTTCTTTTTTTTGGCATTGATTATATCTTGATTTCTATCTTCTATCGTTGGTGCTTGTTTTTTGTTTGAATACGTACATAACATGTATATCTCAGTGTTCACAATCAATATTTTGGTTGATCCATGATTTCTTAACATAACGATAATGAAGAAATCCAAGAAGGTATGTGATATATAAGCGAGTATGAGTGAGAAAAATAATATACTAATATCTTAGTTGGCATCAGTATTTAATCAGAATATTGATCTTGTAATCAAAGCATCAGTTCTAACAAGTTAAATAGACATACATGTTATGTGTTTGAATAGACAGAAAGAAAAAATCAGTGAGGTGTACACATTTGATGTACGGCGATTCGATCAACTAAAAATGGTTTATCATATGAATGACTCTTCTTCAATTTCACATGTCATGTGTGTAGTTTAAATAAAACCGAACTAATTCGAAATGAATGATTGCAATACGAAAAAGAACGAGGTGTGTAACAAATAAGTGGTATATTCGACAGGTAGACAATATATATATAGAGGTGATTTGAGATGCGTATGTCAACATTATTTATATGAAGTGAGTCAATAAGTCATGAGCAGAAAAAAATAAAAAGACGAAAGAAGAGAAAAATACATATATATATACATAACTATCACACAATCATCAATTTTTATCAAAATAAAATGTTAAAATACCGTAAATATCCAATTTTACGATTTTGCTTTATTTGTTCACGAAAGCCCAATAATATTTATATTCGAGTAAGACATTTATTTCTAATATTTTCTTTTCTTTGTTTTATTTCTAATTAAATTTATTTCTATTGTTGACTTCATTCTGATCTTATATTTATTTTGTTATGAAACAACATTGTATTATATATATTGTCGTCTATAATAATTGCAATTTTCTTTTATAAAAAAAAAAAACGCGGTAAATCCACTTGTCTCTGTGTGAATGTGTGGTCTAGCGGAAAGAAAAAGATGCATGAATGATACACTGTGTTCCATACATCAACCGTTGTTTTTCAATTATAGCCTTTTTTTTTTGTTTGTCGTTCTTCTCGTCTTTTTCTTCAAGGAAAATGCTAGTAGTGCCTTGTAAAGATAGAGGAACACAAAAAAAAGACTATATGTAACAAAAAAAAGAAACAAGTAAAAGAAAAAGAAAAGAAACATTGTATCTTGTGTATGTGTGTGTGCGCGCTCGCTTTTGTGGTACCGCACCAAAAAGGCGGACAGAAAGAATTACTATTTGTTGTCGCCGTTATATAGCTGCCCGGTCTTTTTGCCTTTCTATCCGCCTGTTATTCTTTTGTGTATATACTTGCCTGCATGTGTCTCACGCTCTGGTTGTTCGTGTGCCACACATGCACATATTTTAAGTTTTTCCTTTTTTTTCTTGCGTCTTTTTTTTTTCTTCTTCTTCGCTGCTTTATTTTTTTTTGATCTACTGTGAATTATTAACCGATAGAATGAAGAGCGAGAGTCAAATTTAAATAAACATATACAGCTTGATGCTGTAATACATGAGGAAATGATCGTAGAGCCGTCGGCGTAATTGTACGAACGGATGACTCTCTTTTCGATCCCCCGGAGCGCGTCTGTTTGCATTCAAGTCAATTATGATTAGCAGATTGAGTCTTATACACTCATGCTCGTTTGCTTCGATGACATAGATTAGTTGTTTTTTGTCGTAAGCATATTGACCTATCTTCTACTAAATACGGTTCACTGTAAAAGCAGTAGCTATGCGTCTAGTAACAGCAAGATATGTCAGTAAGAGAATAAGATATAGAATGATGTTTTTTCATCTGTTCTCATGTACAAATTCGTTTATCAATTGTGACAACAGTCTCGTCAAGAGCTATGCAAACACCCATTATCTCCTTCTTCTTTCCTTCTCATCGATTATTCCCTTTTTCATCGTCATTATCGAAGCTAAGAAGCTAAACGAGAAGGCGAAGAAAAAATCATTGTACACTGATTATTTTCTGTTGTTTCTTTCTAGCCTGACTTGAGTAGTGACGACGACCATAATAATAATACTAATAATAATAATAATAATAATTATAATGTTGTACTTTCTTCATCATCATCGTCTCCATTAACTCATCGACAGTCCATAAAAAATGTTATTTGTCCAACACAAACAATAACAACAACAACATCAATTACAGACGAAGATGCACGTGAAGTTGACGCCATTATTAAACAACATCAACGAATACTCACAAATAATAATAATAATGAAAATAATAGTATAATAACACCAACAATCAAAACACCAACAACTCCAACTATAACACCCAAATGGACTTCATCAAGACAATCGTCGCGTATGGCATCACCTGCTCTATCGACTAGTTCGCAGTCTTCCGGACGTGTTATTACATTTCTAAATCATGAAGTTATACAATTACCTGTATATCTTGAACGTGAAATACGTGTTAAACAAAATTTTGATCAACTTGGTAATATACAGATAAATATACTAAATTAAATATATCTATCTATATCCATTAGAAAAAAACGAAGCATAATAATCTTTCTATGTTTAGGCTTAGTTGTTGATGCATATGTTGATGAAGGTGTTAATGGATGTTTGATACGTTCTATAACACCAACAACAACTATAACTAATCAGCATGGTTTAAGACCAGGTGATTATATATTATCAATTAATAATGAAAATATGAAAAAGATAAGCAATGCACAAGCACGTTCAATTATACGACGTGCTTCACTCATTGGGTCAGATATCAGGTATATATTATAATAAGTGATATCTTTTCTAAATGAGATTTTTCCTGTCTTTCTTCACTTCTACTTTGTATCATCTTTTTTTTCTAGTGTCGTTTTCATTCCGGGAGATGAAGCTAAGCAATTTAAAAATCATACACTCGATCCACAAGCAACATCGTCACCAGGACCACCCGAGTAAAAAAAAAAAAACTAAACAAAGCTAATTATAAAGGCTTATTCTTTTTTCTGTGTGTTTATTTATAGAATTACTGGTTCCGATATAGAACCTTCTTTAACTAAACCTGTAACAACAACAACAACAACAACAACAAATGATGATGATGATTCATATGGATTTGATTCTCATCCTAATCAACAAACATATCCAACTGTTATTGATAGTGAAACATTAAGTGCAACATTATGGGGCCCACCCAGGACAGTTATACTTTATCGTAGTGAACATGTTAAAAGTTTAGGAATAAGTATTGTTGGTGGAAAATTAGACTTTTCTGGTCCAGGAAACACAATTGAATCATGTATATCAGGTATATTTATAAAACATGTTTTACCCGATTCCCCAGCTGGACGTAATGGTACATTGAAAACTGGTGATCGAATACTTGATGTCAATGGGTATGATCTACGTGATGCATCACATGATCGTGCTGTTGAAATAATTCGTGCTGCACAATCACCTGTTCATTTTATTGTGCAAAGTTTACTTGATCCATCAAATCCAGCATCATCATCGCCATCATCAACAACAAATGATTATTCATCGACAAATTTTTCTCACATTCCAACAACAACAACAACAACAAGTTCTCCATCACAACATAAAATTTTAACAACAAATCAAACTTATCTAATAAATGAACGAAAAACTGAAGATGAATTAATTAAACAATATGGACATTTAAATGGTGATTTATTTTTTATTGATATAAAAAGAAATATATCTGAAATCAGTGAACCACTTGGACTTTCTCTTATTGGACATCGTGATCCAAATAAATTAGCTGTTTTTGTTTGTGATATTCAATCTGGTTCATTACTTGATCGTGACAATCGTATACGTCCAGGCGATCAATTACTTGAAGTAAGAAAAGAATATTCTTTAGTGCTTTTATTCCTTTATGATAAAAGAATAAAAAAAAAAAGAAGAAGAAATAAGAATGTTTCCGCTTTCTAATTTAGAGGTTTAATGCGTGACTATAATCGCGTTCGGGGGGAAAAAAGAAACTCGCTTTGTGAATTTCCTGTTCACTATGCGTGATATTTTTACAAAAAAAAAAGAAATAACGACGAAGAAAATGCGAAGAAAAACGAGAAAAACAAGAAAGAGAAAAAGAGAAAAAAAAGAATTCTTGTTTCTTGAGCATTTATGCTCTCAGAAAAGCAAAATGCTCCATCGTATAATCTATCGAAATAATTGCGTGACTCGCCATTTTCTGTTCATATATTCTTTCTATTCTAATTTATATTCATCTATAGAAAAAATAATAATAAAGCAACATTCCTTTTTTTTTTTGACATGTGCATATCATTAACAAATGATTTTTTAATATTACTCTTGATGTTTTTCCTCTTTCTTTATCTTTAAACAAAAAAAAAAATAATTATATTTTTTTGTTTAGGTTAATGGAGAAATTCTTTTGGGTAAAGCACATTCTGCGGTAACACCAATTATTAAATCTATCAAGGCTGACACATTGAATTTTGTTGTATTGCGGTAAAAAAGAAAAACTAATTTATTTTTACGTTTTTTTTGTTTAATCTATGGTTTTTCATTCATTTCAATTAGAAATCCCAATGCAATCAATGACATGGCTTTAAACAATCAACATGCAGCTGCAGCACGTATACGTGTATGTCGAATATATGATTGATTAATAATTTTCTATTTCGTCCTTTTTTTTTTATTAAGGCATCAGCAATGACATCTACTGGTATTCACCTCACATCAACATCTCCGAAATTAGTACGAGGCCAACTAACACCATCATCATTCCAACATACACCAGAAGAACAGATGACAAATGATGCTAGTCCTCATCATGTTCATGTCCCCAGGCACCAAACGGATGTCAATGAACGTTGGGAAAATGACGATAAACCAACATCGACATTAGTTTTTCGTTCTCCTACACATACATTAGACGAGAGCGAACATACAGAAAATAGAAATGATGATAGAATATGTTCTATACCACAAACAACAACAACAACAACAATAAAAGATGAAAAATTATCAGTTGTTGAAGAAATACCAAAATCGTCCTCGCTGTCGTCTAATCGAATAATAACAACTACTGACGTTCAAAGCGACAACAACGAAGTTTCATCATTAAATCATAATATTAGCAGTAATGCCACGATCACGACGTTTCATTCTATTTCTTCCGATGTCAATTCTTCGACTCATCGTTTCATTTCATCTTCATTCGATCAACAATCGTACGCATATGAAAATGACGAATTATCGTCGACACTACTACCATCAACAACAACTTCATCATCTTTATTAATGCATGAACAAGCAAATTATGCGAATGATAAATATTTAGAAAATAAAAATCAAACAAACAAAGATATTTCTATAGATAATGATCAAACATTAACCCTTTCAATGGATAATACGATAGAAGAAAATCAAAGTTTGTATCTTTTTTTTTTTGTTTTTGTTTATGTAAACAAACAAACATAAAATGAATCAATTATAATTTATTTCTTAGACGAAACATCGCCTACACACTCTTATTCAATTATGCAGTCAAACGAATTACAAAGCCAGACAGATAATATATTGCCTTCAGACGTCATTGCGTCATCACCTAATAAGCAAAAAAACGAAGATAATTTGCCAGAAACATCAGCATTACCCATAAAAACAACGACGAATGGTGCAGCTACATCGCCCATTTCTTTAATGTCATCATCTTCAAGTTCTTCATCATCACTCTCAGTCTCTACACCATCATCAACTGAACATGCAACTAGAAAGCCCATACTATCCTCATCAAAACAAGTACCTCGACGTTCTTCAGTGTCTATACAAGGTGCACCAATTACACTTATATTAAATAAAGTAATATTTCTTCTTTTAAATTAATATTTTCATAATAAATATATATATATATTTATTTATTTATTTTAATTCTTAGGATCAAAAAGGTTCATTTGGTTTAACATTAATTCAACATGATGATGGAATTTGGGTGCAAAGTGTTCAACCACATGGAGCAGCCGATCAAGTAAATAGATTTTTTTTCTTTCTCTAAGAACAAAATTCAAATGAATATTTTAATTTTACTTGTGTTGTTCTTTTTTCTAGCAAGATATTCGAGCTGGTGATCAATTGATTCAAATAAATGGAACATCAGTTGAAGTATTAAAATTTAATGATATACAAGATATGTTAGAACATGCAAATAGTAATCAAATACATTTAACATGCTTACCATATCGTGAACCACAAACTCAACCAGTTGTTGTTAGTATAAATCAAGCAGAAAGTTTACCAACGTTAATTCCAAGTAAGTAAAAAACAAACTTTGTCGTTGTTTTTCTAATTTATTGAAAATGTCTTTTTGCTTTTAAAGATGATAATGACGTTGTATCAGAAGATGATCCTTGTATACGACCAATTATTGTTGGACAAGAAACATTAATTGAAATTGATCGTGGACATTCTGGTCTTGGACTTTCAGTTGTTGGTGGATCAGATACACAATTAGTAAAATAAAAACGTGTTTGTTTGTTTTTTTTAATTAAAAAAATTAATTTTCTATTTTTAGTCAGCAATTATTATTCATGATATTTATGATGGTTGTGCTGCACAGCGTGATGGTCGTTTACTTGTTGGTGATCAAATACTTGAAGTTAATTCCATTGATTTACGTTCAGCAACACATGAAGAAGCTATTCAAGCATTACGACAAGCAACAAATGTTGTTCGTATACTTGTTTTACGTGGAAAAATTTTAACTGAAATGACGAATGAACAAGATAAATTTGATATAATAACAATTGATTTAATTAAAAAATCTGGCAAAGGACTTGGTATGAATTTTAATCAATGCATTTAATCTATAAATTTATTTTAACTTTCTTTAGGATTTAGTATCATTGGACGACGACATGGTTATGGTGTATTTATTTCTCATATTGTAAATATAATGATTTTTTATTAAAAAAATTAATTGTCTTTTGTTTAATTAGCTCGAAGGTGGTTGTGCAGAAAAAGATGGTCGATTAATGTCTGGTGATTTAATTCTTGAAGTAAATGGACAAGATTTAAGAACTGCAGCCTATGAACATGTTGCTTATACACTCAAAGTATAAAAATTAAATGTTTATATAAATAAATAATCTTTTGCTTTTTCCTAGACACTTCCACATGGACGTGTTAATATCAAAATTGGACGTCTTAAACCAAGTGTTCATGCACAAAATCGACCAAATTCAGTTCCAAATGAACGTAAAAATCGATCACGTTCATCATCATCAAATTTTCGACGTTCATCAGCAACTAAAATAAGCGATAGATGATAATTTATATTTATGTTATTTCATTAAAATAGTCATATAAACAAATCATCGTCTAGTCGTCGAAATTTAGCCGATAAGTAAAAATAAGATCTGACATAGCAACAAATTGAAAACCTTTTTTTTTTCTTTTTCTTTTTCTTTACTTTTGTGTTGTACATTTCTTTTTTTTTGTTTTCAATTCAATTCTAATATATAGAAGTTATTCTCTCTTATCAGCATAAATATATATTTATTTCTATACGAAAATTTTTGTTTTCTTTTCTTTCTTTTTTTTGCCAAAATAAAAAAAAAAAAAGATGTCATTTGTCAATGTTTTCATGAAAAGAAAAAAAAAGCAAAAGATTAGTCATTTGCAAAAGTTATCTATGCTTCCAATTTTTTTTCTCTTTTCTCTGTCTGTTATTTTTATGAACTCTTGTGTGAAAGAGTGAATCTTATTTTTTTTTGTTCTTTGTCGAATTTATGTACGCACAATTTTCATCTGTCTATTATGTTGTTGTTTATTGAAGAAAATTCTCTTGTGCGCATCACAAATACGTTAATGTATGCCGGTCTTTTTTTTTGTTTATCTCTTCTTAGATCTTTATTTCTTGTCTAATTACTACAATTGTTGTTTTTTTGTGTGGATCTTTGTCAGGCTCCGGTTGTTCTTTTTTTTGTACGTTTTTTTTTTCCTAAAATATGAGTCGGTAATGAAGAGATAGAACGGCAAAAATAAAAGAAGGCAGAGAATATATTATTATATTATTCATTGCTTTGTTATGTAAAAGAAATAAATGCAACAAAAAAGAAAGACATGTTGACAATTCAAGTAATTTTATATTTTTGAAGAAAATTGATGAATAAATACTAGGCCAAGATGATTGTTTCCTGCGGAAATGAAACGTGTTATGTATCTTGATGTTATATATAAAGTTCATCAAATCTCTATTTGCTCGATTGACGAGTTCCGGTTTTCTTTTTTGTCCTTGGCAACTTCTTCTGTCTTGTATTGTGACTTAACTTACTAGAACGAATACAAAGCCATAAAAACGAAGGACAATGAGTACAAAATGTTGAACTCGATTACCCTTTTTAACTAAATTATATTCTCGTTATTTTATTGACTTTTCTATATTATTATATATAATCGGAAAATAAATGATATTATTCGTTGAAGATAGTTATTTCTCTGTAGAGGAAGTTGAATAAGAGTCTTTTTCCGTTCATGTGATACATACACTCTCTTACATCTATGAGAATTGATGTCATTCATTCTTGATAAGGTCAGGTTCTCCATATTTTAATGATACGAAATAATTAGTTTTTGAATAGATACAATTGTAATTGAAATATGCCAAGAGTTTTTTCAATAGAAAATCAGAAAACCTACATTCTCTAATGATATATTTTCTTCAACAAAAAGAAAAACAAAACTTAGACATCACTGTCTATTGTTGCTGTACAGGGATGTCATATTACGATTACTTTATTTTTGAATTATCTTTACTAACTAATTGGTAATAATAATAATCATTAATTATTATCAAAGAAAGCTTCGTTTTTTTTTATTATTTTAATGACACTAAAATTCTTTTTTTTTAAATTTATTACTAATTACCTTCATTATTTTTAATCCTTTATTATTGGTAATTAATCATAAAATAATAATACGACAAGAAATACAAGATTACATAGATGAATAAAACACACAATGTATTGGTACAATAAGAGTTATTTATTATTTAGATTTTATTCAATAGATTTTCTCAGAAATACTAAATGTATCGAAAGGTTAGGTACTACAAGATTGTATCCAATTATATATATGCTCGTTCTTTTGTTTTCATATAAAAATGCAGAAATATATCAGCTTGCGGTGTAGATGAGTGTTGATATGTGTGTGGACATTCAGTACAACCATATTCAACGTCGCCTACACGCATTACACACTCGTATGCTGCAGAATCAGACTTTTTGTACTGCTTGTAAATGAAAATATCTCTATAATGGTTTTGTTTACTACATAACATATGAAGAATAAAGTTGTTACTACGTAGAAGCAAAATACTTGATTATTTTACTGATGTAACTCCAAGTCTGAAGGAACCGAAGTCAAGTTTCAAGGTTGAACGCAGATAGCTACGCCACATCCATTTTATTTGTGCATTAATACTTATTGCTGTATTGAAATGGCGGCTATTTTTAAATTGCATATTATTTGCAAAGAAAAACAAACACGAAATTTTTTTTTTTTAGAAACTCACGTAATCAAATCATTTGATATAAATGATTATTCGATTATCTTATTTATATATATATATTAATTTATAACGAATCAAATTTATCTATCGTATTCTAATAGAAAACATAGTTGAACCAAAAATTTTTATTCTAAATTAATATCAAGTGGGCTGACATTATATTATCGTAAATATGAACTTTTCAATGATTGAACATTTATATTTATTTAATATAAAAATATAATGAGTAGTTCTTGCAATTTTCTGTCAATAAAATTTTATTAATTAAATTAAATTAATAATGTGATCACAGAGTTATTTGTATCAACGAATGCATAACAAAAAATTCAAATATTGTTTATCAACTTATTCTAAAAACAAAGTAGGATTGTAAAGATACTTATTTGCAATCGTCTTCTTCTTTTTTGTTCTTTTTTTTCTCACTGATAAGAAGCTTAGGGTGCGTGATACTTCAAGATAAAATAACCTCCTCAAAAAAAAAAAATATTGGATTCAAAAGAAAAAGCAAAAATGGACACATTAAGTAATTCAAATATACCAATTAGAATAGATCCGGTCGATCATTATTTATCTACACATGCATTAAGAACAGTTGAACAACTTGATCAAGAATTAAATGAAAATGATAATTGTTGTAATGATAAATGTTGTTCATGTTTTAATCATTGGTGGAATGTTAAATTTAATCATCAACGTTTTATTATACATTTAGTTGAAAAAACAATATTTCATGTAGGAATTATTGTTCTTGTACTTCTCGATTGTTTACTTGTTGTTGGTGAATTATTGTTAGATTTTATATATTTAAGTGAACAATGTGATAATAAAAAGAAAAATGCAACAGGTGATGAAAAAGTTGAAAATCATAAATTAGAATTAGCTATTGAAATATTACATTATGCATCAATTGCTTTATTAGCTATATTTGTTTTTGAAGTTACTGTTAAAATATATGCATTTGGGAAAAAATGGTGGAATTTTCGAGAAAAAAAAATGGAATGGTTAGATGCTATTATTGTTATTGCTTCTTTTGTTATTGATATTTATTTTTTAAAAAAACCAAGTGTTATTGCAGAAATTTCTTTATTATTTATTTCATTTCGTTTATGGCGTATTGTAAGTGTTTTTTATCTTAATTAAAATTGAAAAAAAGAAATTATATTTTATTTTTTAGATTCGAATTATTAACAGTAAGTATTTATTGAATGGTTGTTTCTTTTTTGGAACTTTTTTTTTTTTAATCAATTAAAGGTGTGGCTCAATCGATACGATCACAAGATGAAACAGCAAAAAAAAATTTAGCTAATACATATATACAAGTAATTGAATTATTGTTAAATGTTTCAACGAAAAAAACTGATGTTGCTTCGGAACTTCGACATGAATTAACAAGAGAAAATTTTGATAAAATTATTGAAAAATTTACTTCAATTGATCGATCATGTCGTACAATATTAACACATTGTCAAAAACCATCATCAAAAAATGCTATTAATGATATAGCACAAAATTTACAAGAAACTCTTGAACAAGTACGTTTAACATCATCAACATTAGGTATAATGAATAAAAATAAATAATAATTATTTATTTATTTGATTCTTTTTTTTATAATTTTTTTATTTTATGATGATTAAAATATGTTAATAAAAAGAACATTTTATTATGCTTCATATTAACCTAATAGTTTTATTTTTGTAATGTAAAGAAAATATGTTGTGTTTCTCTCTTTATTGCATATTCTAACTTAAAACAATTTGATATGAATAAATTCATTTTGTTTAGTCTATTTTTCAAATAGAGATTTGAAAAACTTTCTATTTTCTAAACATCGAATGATGTTAGTCGTTGTCTTTAATGTGATAGACATAATACATTTAAGCTGTTTATATTTAAGATTGCATTCATTATAATTGTCTACACTTTTCTTTTAAAACGGAAGCGGAAATTATTTCTAATAATTAGCTTCTAAATTTAGATTTTCTAAGCACAAAATTTGTAACTGACGTCAAACAACAGAAAAAATCAATGTTTACTATCAATAATTATAAACTAATAATAGATACATGCCGAAGTGAACTGAACGGACTTGATGAAAAACATTTAACCTTACGTACAATTTTGATGTTGCAGTTGCAGTCAATATGAAATTGATTAGTTCTAGTCGAGAAAAAGTTTATAAACTGTTAATCAAAAGTTTCTTATTTAACAATGATTTCTGAACGATAATTGAGTTTTGAACTAAGCGCTTCGCTCGATTTATGAGTTCTATTTCGATCTAATATTCGCCTAGATTAATACGCAATTGGATGCTAATACATGCAAATGTATTTTATCATATCTGGAGAAAAATAATGCTGTCTATACCAAACCTAAAGTGACATTTACCAACATACATTAATAATCTAGAGCGAGAAAGATCGATGTAATTTCCCAAGGAAATAGAAAAAAAAATTGATATCTTAAAAAATGAAATTTATATGTATCAACGAATATGTATATGATATGAAATATTATATGACATCATATGACAATAATATATTCATATTCAACTGTACAGTGTTAAAGATTAAAGATGAAACTAAAATAAATATGAAAAATATTCTAAATCAAGTCACTGAAATTCTATTTTAGTTGAAAATCTTAGTTATGTGAAAAAATGTATCAAAGAAAAAAAATGCTTTGCAACAAAATGAGAACAATAAAAACGGAAACTTATTGAATAGAGGATGTTAATCTGACAAAAGAACACATTAT